TGAGCTTAAAGACTCGGAAACTGTCGACTGACTGAGTTTATGGCCGTAGTTCTGAGAGAACCATTCGATACATTGCTTTTGAGAAGGCTTCGGGTGTTGTTGATGTGCCCACTTGCGTAGAGCCCGGCGTTGCTCAATAGTTATTGAAAATCGTTTCATCATTTCAAGGTCTGAATAGGAACACCATAGCATGGATAAAGCGATATTCAGGAAAGGAGCTGCGATATCGTGATAATCGGTAATTGTATGGTGGTGTTGTCGGGACCAGGAAAAATATTGCAATAATGAAGTTATCGCTTAATCGAGAATCGTTATAACGGTGCTTTACTGTAATTGGGGGGGGAAGCGGTTTGCGCCACCTCGAAGCGAGAGGAAGCAGTTTGCGCCACCTCAACTTGCATACGTTCACCGCTACTCCTTACCAAAACCTTCGGCATTCCCCCCCATAGTAATTTATATAGTAATTAAATGTAATTCATTTAATGGAAGGGACTTCTCTATCAGATGCCTGTGAATGGCTTGCAGCAAATCCCTCTGAATCTGTAGCTGTTGCAAGTCGGATTTTTAAGATCCCAAGGTCGACTATACAGTCAAAAATCAGCCGCACAAGAACCACTAGAACCACCAGAACTACCCAAAATGGGGGTCAGAATAGGGTGCTTTCTACAGCTCAAACAGAAGCCCTAAAGGCCTGGATTCTAGAGCAGTATCACCTAGGATTAGGGGCTAATAGGCATATGGTTTACAGGGCAGTATGCCACCTACGGAGCCCACTGCCTCCACCGTCACAGAGCTGGCTCACTAAATATATATGGAATGAGCTTATAGAGTTTCACTTTGTTACTACAAAGCCTATTGCACAACAGCGTACGAAAGCTCAACAGGAGCCTACTGTTATTAAGTGGTTTCAAGAGTACACAGCATTAGTACTACAGCGTGGTATAAAACCAGAGTCAATCTGGAATATGGACGAAACTGGTTTTAGGATTGGAATTCCAGAAGCTGAGAGAGTTATGGTCCCCCGAGCTGTAAAGCAGCTCTACACTCCAAGCCCTGAGAATCGTATATCTATTACGATTATAGAGGCAGTATCTGCAGTTGGACAGAAGATTGCACCTGTACTTGTTGTACCGGGTAAAATTCATATGGAGGCGTGGTACCCTCAAAACCTTGATGGGAATGAGCTGATACTACTCTCGGAGACTGGCTATTCTAATAGCCAGCTTGCTATATGGTGGCTACAGCACTTCGTAGAGCTTACAGCTCCACACGACCCAGGAAATCCTAAAGTTCTACTACTCGATTCTCATGTGAGCCATACGAGCCCTGATTTTATCATTATGGCTACTAAATATCACATCATCGTATGGGCGTTTCCCAGCCACCTTACACATGTTTTACAGCCATTAGACGTGGGAATATTCCAGCCTTATACGCACTGGCATAGGCAATCCGTGCTCCGTGCCATACGAGAGGTGGATATTACCTACAACCTACCCCTATTTATGAGGGATCTCCCACATATGCGGGAGCAGACTTTTAAGGAGGCCACCATACAATCAGTGTTCCGAAAAGCTGGAATCTGGCCCATAAGCTGTAATACAGCCCTTGAGAAGCTGCGTACGTACTCGCAGCCTACGCCTACGCCTATAGAGCCTACAACACCTACCCTACCACGCCCTATTACCCCTATACCCACTACGTTCCAGGGCGTAGAACAGGGCCTACAATGCTGGAAAGACCGGCTTCCGGAGGCCTTCAGTAGCCCCTCGCGGCAGAGCTACAGTAACTGGGTTACTGGGGCCTCCCAGGTTCTAGCTGCCGGCCAGCTCCAGGAGCTCGACCTACGGGCTATTCGCCAGCAGGTTAAGAGCTCGAAGACGAAGCGGGCTCGGGGCCGACTCCAGTGTGGAGGTGAGCTCCGGGCTTCTGAAGCCCACGAGCTTCAGAAGCAGAAAGCCGAGCTTCAGGCCCAGAAGCTCGCTGCGGCCGAAGCCCGGAAGCTAAGCCAGGCCGCAAACCGAGCCCAGAAGCTCGCTACGGCCGAAGCCCGGAAGCTGAGCCAGGCTGCAAAGCGAGCCCAGAAGCAGCTCCGCCGGGCAGGAATTGAAGCCCGGAAACAGGAGCGCCTCCGGAAGAAAAGCGTGGCTCAGCTCACCCAATCGGGCTTCCCAATTCCTCCGGAGTTGCAGGACCCAATTACTGACCCAGAAGCTGATTCTGGGAGCGAATATGAGAGTGCGAGTGAGGGTGGGCGTGGGAGTGGGCGTTGGAGTGGGAGTGAGAGTGGGAATGAAGAAGTGATAATTTCGTAGAATTGAATTTTTAAGTACCTTTACATACAAATTACTATGTCTAGGTACTTGCGGTCGCAATTTTGAGGTGGCGCAAACCGCTTCCTCTCGCTTCGAGGTGGCGCAAACCGCTTCCCCCCCCCGATTATACCTCCGTATGTATGCGGGGATGAAACATCTACTAGCTTCCCCGCAAATCTTCCCTCAACGAGCATCCCTGCGTTATCTTCCAGCGGCGTCGCCAGCGGTGTCGACAGCACCACCCCGCCTGGCTCGCTCCTGACAACGATCGGCGATGTGACCAGCACATCTACAAGTATAGATCTGTCGACTGAATCGGTTTCGTCAACTGTTGTCAACACTCCCAGCAGCAGTGTTATCACTACTGCCAGCATCATCTCCTCCACGTCTCAAGCACCAACAAGCTCCGCGACCACCCTCCCTCCCACTCCAATGAGTTGCGCCAACGCGCAGCTGAGCTGCCACAACACGACCGCCGTGGCCGACCTCTGCTGCTTCAATGCTCCCGGAGGACAGCTGCTCCTGACCCAGTTCTGGGACACAGCCCCCAGCACCGGTAACTATTAGCCTTGTCTCCTGCCCTCATAACGCCCGCTGACACCTCTAGGTCCTGTTGATGCGTGGACCATCCACGGCATGTGGCCAGATCGTTGCGACGGCACCTACGATGCCAACTGTGATGCATCGCGCGCATACACCAACATCACTGCTATCCTCAACTCGTTCGGCAAGACGGACCTGCTTACGTATATGGACACCAGCTGGAAGGATTACCAGGGCAATGACGAGTCGCTCTGGGGGCACGAGTGGGGTAAGCACGGAACTTGTATCAGCACCCTCGAGAAGACGTGCTATGACAACTACAAGCCCCAAACCGAGGTTGTGGATTACTTTGAGAAGGCCGTCGAGCTTAACAAGGGATTGAACAGCTACAAGGTATGCAGAAACCCGAGGTGTAATGTGCTTGTTCTAAATACTGTTACAGATTCTCGCCGACGCTGGCATTACCCCATCTGCCACTGCCACGTACACGCTTGCCCAGATCCAGGCCGCACTCAAGGCTGCCCATGGATTCATCCCAACATTGGGATGCAAGAGCGGCGCTTTGGAGGAGATCTGGTACCACTACAACGTTCTCGGTAGTGTTCAAACTGGCAAATTCGTCCCAACAGAGCCAGGTACTGCCCCATCTTCCCACAAACCCCCGATCCTTTTCCATTCGCGGACACTAACAAGACTCCAGATGGAACCAAGTCCACCTGCCCTGCTACCGGCGTCAAGTACCTCGTCAAGTACGCCACAGGCGGAACCCCTTCCGGCACAGCTACCGCACCAGCCCCAACCGGGACTGCTGGTCCTTTCTCTGGCAAGGGTTTCCTCCAGGCCTACACCAGCGGAGCTAACAAGGGCTGCCTGATCGGTGCTGGTACTTGGTATACTACTGGCACATGTGCCGGATACACCGCAACTGCATCCGGTGCCGGATTTACGCTCAAGTCCAGCAAGGGAGGCTGCGGTATTGTTAACAGCGTCTTTACATGCGCGGCTGGCGTTACCCCGTCGACTTTCACTGTATGTTATCACCCTGATTGCCTTCTTAATCTGTAGTGATACGCTGTACTGACATGTCCATAGGAATCTGCCGGTCTTCTGACCTACAAGGGATCCTCTGACTTCTATACCACCGCCGTCCCATCTGCGTCCGTGCAAGGGACGGTTACCACCATAACGCAGGCCGTTCTTGTGACGTTCAAGTGGCAGAGCAATTACACTTTACGCCAAAAGGCTGGGGTGGGGGGACAGTGGGTAGCTAGTAATTGACCCTATATTCTACGAGCTATCCTATTGTTCTCATTGACCGCGTTACCTGGTCCTTTCACTGCCTATGAAACGAGACAAAGGTGGCTTACCGTAAAATTTACGAAGGGAAAGTTCTGTAGTTATTAAAATGCCTGTGAAGTTTGTAAATTACAGCCTTGTTTTCTGAAGAGGCTGTGCACATGCATCCCAGGCACACGCCTAACCGTTTTTAGTAGAATCTCATGGTAAGTTAACTACCATCCCCAGCCTTGTGGACTCCATGGTACCTATTCGACGAGGCTATGCTATAGATTGAGTTGGATGAATCTCCTAAGTTGCGTAAACTTATGGATTATATTGGTTTCGAAGATTCCTAGTTGAGCATGAAGCTCAGATGAAGAGGGAATTAGGGGTTGACACGTGGATTATGTTAATCGATATCGACATCGACATCAACAATAAACAGAAGATACTAAGCCGCATAGAGGCTGACAGAAAATATGATCGAGATGTTTGCGCTGCCGACCTATGTAGCTTCGAGGGTTGCCTTCTCTCTTCCCTAGAGACGCTCATGATCCGATCGAACGAGCGGGAAGGATAATGCCCGCCATATCTCCGGCCTCACTCCTAAATACCCTCTCGAGTAGCAATGCCTTACAAGTCGTTTGTGCCTGGCCGGTTTCCGGCCAGTATGGGATTGCGTCGAGGATGTTGTAGGTTCTCTCTGCTTTAATATCGTGTTTCCTCGTCACGTGGTTGCGATGTAGATGGAGTTGTATTAGGCCTAGTGGCGCTACCAGAGAACCAGGTGGGACACAATTAGTCTAACCATATTAGAGTTAGTGCAGTGTTTTAGTACGTAGTATCGCGGGGTGGCCCAAGCTCTGGGACTTTTATTTGGCAACGACGACGTCCATTGACCCAGCATGGAGAGGAGAGTATAGGATTGGATCGATCATTGAGGAGCAGCCGCCCCCCGGGCTATTCAAACATGTCGTCCCGATCACTTTCTTCCGTCCTACGAAGCAGACCCTCCATCTTCAAGCCCCGACAACCCCAACCCCAGCCCTTGCAGCGACTCTCGTGCCCCAGTCTGGGCCAAACCAGGTCCTACGCGCCCAACCACGACGACCCCTCCTCCACCACCACCCCGTCACAAAACGACCTCCTCAACACCAAACTGCTTACCCTCCTCAACGCCATACCCCCCTCCCAAAAAATCCGCTACATCAAAGACAACTCCACCTCCCCCTCTACCCACCCCACCCCCCCCCCGGCCCTCCTCGCCGCCCTCCTCAACTTCCCCTCCCCCCTCCCCTACACAATCGGCACAGACATATGCCACATCCCGCGCATCCGCCTCCTCCTCGAGCGCCAACTCGCCGAATCGGGGTACGTCGAGCCGGACATGCCGCGGTTTTGGACCCGCGTCCTCACGCCGCTGGAGGCGAGGTATAGTGGGTGGAAGGCGGGGGGGGGGGTGGAAGGGAGCGCGAGGTTTCTTGCTGGGAGGTGGGCGGCGAAGGAGGCGGTTGTTAAGGCGGTTGGGGCGGCGTATCCGGGAGGGGCAGGAAAGGTGTTTATGCATGATATTGTTATTTTGAATGCGAAGACTCAGTCGGCTCTCTTGGAGGCGAGGAAGGCGGCGGTGCGGATAGAGGCTAGGGACGCGAGGACGCAGGAAGAGCAGATGTCCGGGGGGGGGGGGAGGGTGAGGTGGTGTGGAGGGCGCCGAGGGCGTTTGTGAGGGTGCCTGTGCAGGAGGGGGGGTGGGTGGAGGTTAGTGTGAGTATTTCCCATGATGGGGAGTATGCAACTGCGACGGCGCTGGTGTCGGTGGATCCGAAGATTGCGGGGGTTAAGAGGGAGAAGAGTTTGGTGAGGGGGGTGGTGGCTAAGACGTATACTGATGCGCGGTATTTGTGATGACATGGTATTGGGAGGACAAGGAGGTGGATATATGGCGGGGGAGTTGTTTATGATTTTGGGTAGAGGGGGTGGGGGGTTGGCATGGCTTGGGGGGGGTTGGGTTGGGTCTGGAGTTGGTGGATATACCATTTTGCGGGAATTTATTGGAGTATGTGTATATTATCTCTTACCTCAACTCTTACACTCTTATATCGGATGTGGCGTTTGATGTTGATGTTTTGTTGGGTCGTCTCTTGAAGCATGGGCTGAGTCTTTCACTTGGGTTCTTTACGTTTTTAAAACCCGACGGCAGTGTTGTCAGAAATGTTGGTGCCATTCAAACCAAGTTGAGTTATAGAATCTGAATAGATATTTCCGAGACTGAGAGTTGATGCAAGTGTCATTTCGATTCGAAGTAAAACCTCGATATACAGAACCTCCTGATAAACCGTTTGGCGCATATTTCTGTCGACGTCCAAGTGAAGTCGAGCAGCCACGGGAAAGTGGCACAAATTACTATTATAAGTAGATGAGATGGCACAGGTTTAAAACGGGTTATCTCAGAGTGATTGGAATACTCGCCATCATCATTTTCTCTCTTTTTAGGAAGTTCTCATATTCTTCGGATCCTGCCAGCTGCTTGATTTGACTTTTTTTGCCCATTGCTGCGCTTATTGAATTGGAGAACAATACAAAGTTTGGCTTCCTCAGGCTTCTTTCCCCATAGTACTATTGAGAAGTTGTGAGAAACTTGGGATGCGAAGATTCTTCCTTCATCCCCCACACAACAACCTTTCTTCTTACCACCAACAACCTTTCTTGCTCAATCACCTTCTTCACAACTACAATAGCTCTTCTTCTTTGGGAGATCTTCAACTTCTTTCTTCAAACAACTACATCACGACAACCTCCTTCCTCAAGCACCTCCTTTGAAACAACAAATTTCTTCTTCAAAGCTCCACCACAATACTTCAGCTTCCTTATCCATCGAAGCTTACTTGTCCTTGATTCCTCGCAACACAACAACAGAATCAACTTGAAGTAAGCACCATCCATCACCCTTTACCCCAGATCGAAACCCTCACAAGCACAATATCATTCTTTGAACCAGATCGACCCCCTCCAAACACGATCCATCTCCCTTTGCCCCAGATGGATCCCCTAAAATTGATTTGATCCATCACCCTCAACTAACTCCACTTCTTTATTTGATAGACCCAATACAGACATCAACACCCAACAAGATGTCTCAAGGTTTCACTGCTGTGAACGTCCCTCATGAGGACGAGGCCCATATGGGGTCTCTAGCAATCGCTTCATACAAAGAGGATATGGAGGACATGGAGGACAACGCCGGCGATTCCGATGCTACTGAGGCAAGTTCATTAATTGTCTTGTCGTCTCGGAGTGAATCGAACTTCACGAACATCACATCTTTTCACGTTTGCTGTTCCTCCGATCTCGCAACATGATACCATGTCGTCGATCTATCACCACCAACTTCACATTGCATTGCCCTTCTACAAACACCTCTTCCTTTCCCTGACCTAGATCGATCTTGATTGTCTTTGTTATTTGACGCACTAACACCATCCCAGACTGTGGAGCAAGCCTCCTCCATGACACCCGCACCCGCCCCGAACACCACCAAGAAGCGTTCACCCAAGAATGCCCAAACCAACGCAGATGGTACTCCTGCGCCAAAAACTCCTCGCAAGAACGCAAAGCAGAAGGAACTCAACGAGGACAGCACTCTAGTCGTCAAAGCCACCTCAGCTCGCAAGAAGCCTGCACCCAAGTTGGATGAAGACCGAAATGTCATCCCCAAGCCCCATCGCAAGAAGGCTGAGCCAAAGCCGAAGACTGGTCCAAATATAGAGCCTCTCCCCAAGACTCCGCGCAAGTTTACCAAGAAAGTCAAGAGCGGGGACAAGGTCGTCGACGACGATGCTGCTGATGTGGACATGGCTGGCGACATGGTCAGCAATATGGTGGGTGACATGGCCAGCGCCAAGATGCGTGGCTTCGGGGATGAGGATTCCTCTGCCCTGAAATCTTACTACGCACCCACGCCCAATGGAGGCAGCAGTCCTGTTATCGTTGCTGAGGCGCCAATGACTCCCAAGGTGAAGAAGGCAGCCCTTGCTGCAACCGGTACCCCTGGTGGCAAGAAGAAGCGCGCTGCTGAGGAAGATGGCGAGATGGATCCTTTCACCACGCCAACAAAGAAGATCAAGGCCACGGCTAGCACCCCAAAGAGCGGCAATGGAAAAGGCACAGCTATCGCAACTTCCAAGGACCAGCTCACCGATGAGGATAAGATGATGATCCAGTGGAGAAAGGATGGCAAGGGCTGGCCTGAGATCCGCAAGAAGTGGGGTGAGATGACCGGCAAGCCACCCGGAAATAGCACTCTCCCCAACCGCTACAAGCGCCTGCTGACCAACATCATTGACTGGAAGGATGGTGATGTGAGTTACTCTCTTTTGCTTTACCCTTTTCAATTTATCTTCTTTGCCATGCGCTCCATGGTATCTGACTCAACTGAACAACCTTTGACTGACTCACCTCATCAGCTTGAGCGTATGCTCGTTGCCGAGCAGAAAGTGACCAAAGCTTTCGCAACTGAGCTGTATGGGCGCATGGCCACTGTGATGGTCCAGCTTGGTGGAGATACTTACACCGCTGCGGCCGTTGAGAAGGCCTTCTTGAAAGAGAAGCGTGAAGGCTTTCCCCACGCGGCAACCATCGACGAGGTCATGAAAGGCCCTGCGGCTCCGGCTGGCGATGATGATGATGAGGATATTGACCAGGCTGTCAACGGCGCCGCAATCTCGGTCACTGAAGATGAGGGCATGAAGGCCATTGACCAAGTCATCGGTGGTGGCGCTGTCGTGAAGCGTGACGATGAGCCCATGGAGGATGCTGAGACTCCAGATGTGGAAAACTCGGACGGTGGAGTTCCGATTTCGCCTGGGCACCGTCTCAAGCCCGAGGGTACCAAAGGCGAAGATGATGGTAAAATGGACTCCGACATGGTTTAAATCTCATTCTTCGATGTGTGTCGACTCGCCGTTTGGCATTTTTGAAGCCTCACCTCGCCTTCTCCGATCTGAGTCCGGAGCACACCTTTCACGTTCTGCCAGTGCCTTTTTATCGTCATCGACTCCCCTGAGCTGGTTGTGTCTAGGCACATTCCCAGTCACTGAAGTCTTTCTACCATACGGAGCATCGCTGTGCGAACGTCACTTACTTTACGAATACGAAAACATGGTTATATATCTCTCACGCGCTCTGCCGGATCCGAGACACGGTATATACGAAACTCTCATCACCAAGAACAATTGTCCCTCATGGGGTCTGGCATCTGCGTGCGTGCTTGTTTTTCAAAATTGGTTTTCTGAGATTTTACATCCCATGGTGGATATATGGGGGTGGCATACCTGGATAGGATGGAACGGGAGGTTTCTGGGGGACGAATATTCAGTTGCAAGAATGTTGTTTTTTCTCTGGCTTTGCTCATAATTGCTCCCTTGCTCACACGAAAGTATACAAATAGATTTCAAAATTTGGCCTTCATTTATCCTGTGGTGACTGAGTGAATGATTGTGCAATGTTTGGGAGGGAGTGGAATCTCCTCCTATTACTCTCGTATCCCAGACACTCACCTAACGAATGGGTTTGAAGAGACGAATCTCGTATTGTATATCTAAAAAACATTCATCTGCGTACCAAGTAGCATGGATGCTGTCTAAATAACCTGGCTAGAAATGATTTATAATTTCGTTATTTTGACTTCTAGCGACTAAAAATAAAAACACCAAGTTAACTTATTTTTTATTTTCCGGATTCCAAACTTTCTACCAAAACTAACATAAATCCACGACATACGAACTTGCACTCCATGCACAGAAAAGAACAAACTTATCTGTTGTTTTTCATTGTATCATATCATATTATATTCATATTTCATTCTTCTGGATTTCGAAGGCTTTCGGCCCAAAGTCAGAATAAATCCACCACATATGCTGCACTCGAGAGTGTCAATGGCAGAACAGACTTGACTATTTTCTAAAAAGTTTCAAAGCGAACAGAATTTTCTCTCCTACCTTCCTTCTTCCATTCACTGTCACTGTTGTCTTTTGTGTTCCATTCTCCGTAGCTCCTCTTTTTAATCTGACGCGCCTTCTTCGACCTCTATCCTCTCGCAGCCACTCTTGTGAAACCACCTTCCTTCCAGTCGCCATCTTCATTTTACCCTCACTCTCTTTCTTCCACCCCATACTTTCTTTCTGCCCACTACCACTCTCTTCCTCCCACTTTCTATCTTTTCCCCTTGAAACACACTTTGACACTCTCTTCTTTCCACCTACCTTCACAACCTTGATCAACACCCTTTGGCCGTTTGCTTTCAGCCACCACAACATGAACTCACAAATGCCATACGGTCAACAGCAAGGAGCGTGGATGCCCCAGCCAAACCAGTCTGGCTATCCACCTCTCCGACGCTCATTTCGCGTGGTCGACCTCTCATTACCACCCAGACGCCAGCCCACCCCCACCCTCCATAACGTCGACACCGAAAATTGTCACCGTACCCTCCACGAGCATCGCCAGGCCACCAAACAAAAATATCGCCGCATGGTAAGGGAACAGATGAAAGCTGAGGAAGCATTCTGGGTATATCAAGACCAGCAAGACCTAGAACCCTTCCCATACGATGCGTTTGAGATGAAACAACCTTTACTGCCTGCACTAGATATGGCAATTGACGAGAGCGGCGGGGATGCGGCGATGGCATGGCAACTTTTCGATAGGCGGAATAGCTGGGAAAAAGCGGCTGAGGAGGCTGCGAATGAGAAAAGAGAGGCTGAAGTCCGGAGGCGTGCGGACGAGATGATTAGAAATGATAAAGAGATGAAGGAGGACGAAGCAATGAGGCAATTGTTGGAGGAGCTGCCTACGTTTAAGTGTCCTGATATGTAAGTGGCATCGCCTTTTCTTTCTTTGGGCTGGTATTATCACGTTTATACGTTTGTTGGGCTGTTTGTTTGGGCGTTTGCAAGAGAAAGGAGATGCTGGTTCGCTTGTTGTTCACACGCGATTTCTTGTTTTGACCTTCGATCTCTCACTTTCAACCCAACTACTTTCATTCCATCCACTTCTCTCAATTCACCATATGATCTCTCCTTGGGGCCGTTCGTCCATCGTATAGCCGTTTCATCGGCCTGCGTATATTTCCACTTCATTCCATCAACCAATTCCGTGATAACAGTGCAGATTTTCTCGGGTTTGTGTTTGAATCCAAGACACCACTTTCTGATGTTCACATTCCTCACTCTTACAACTTCCATAACGTTCTATCAAGTATCTAGGTCCTCACCTAGAACTGCGCAATACTTTCTTCTTCTCTCAATCTTCTTCAAATATTTCTGTCATACGCTTTTCTGACCCCCCATTTCCTTTCCAGAAACCATACCATCCCCTTCGCGTCAGTTATAGGAAGTATCCAGGAAATGCTACTTGCTCCCATAGCTGACATCATAATATCGCTCCGAAACAACCCACATTTCGAACTCGAACTCTCGCAAGTTCTATCTTGGGTTCGAAAAGACTGTAATCAAGAGAATCTCGAACACGTTTTCCTCGTCTCGGTCGGCGAACTTGACAGATACTGCAGATTGATTGCAGATCGGATATTTCATCACCTCTCCGCCGATTTTAAAAAGCGCAACTACCTCAACCAACTTCGAAACGCCCAGGCAAGGCTAAGGAGACTCAAACAGGCCAACTCAGAGTTGCGAGTGGAGAATGAAAGACTGAGGTCTGGCGTTGAAGTCTTCGGCAGTCAGGTTGATATCCCGGAGAGAGTACCACCCTTTGAATTCTCGGAGCGTCGACATTATTCTCCCCCGTCGCAGCCTCAGAGAGTGAACTCCGACGTTGAGATCTTCAACAGCCAAATCAAACATAGTCAAGGAATAGCGCCGCCCTTTGAACCATTGCCAAAGCGACATTATTCTCCTCCACCACAATCTCGGAGACCAGGATTTCAACAGCCTCAAATAAATTGGGAACGCCCAGGAAGCATCGCAAAACCTTTCAACGGTCCAGATATGACTGTGGGATACCAGAACTATACTATCTCAAACGGCAGAATACCTGAGATAAACCCTATGGAGTACTCCTTTGGGGAGATGGAAGAAATGCACCATGATCGCCGCGATCCAAGAAGGGCGCGCTCAATGCCTCCGCACAGCAGAGACCGCACCGCGACGGAAGACTCCCACACACCCCTTCCAGAGTATGATCCTGTCACAGGGTACGGCAAAGTAGTAGCGGTTGACGAAATCAGCCCCCTTTATGAATACTCCAATCTTGAGGTTTCCTTGAGAGGCGGTGCTGGTGCTGGTAAGCATTGAATTTGGTCTTATATGATTGCAAAACTCACTGCAATTTAGGTCCATACAGTCTGTTAGAGGATAGTGACTTCGAAGGAGATGAAGATTCGGACGGAAAAGCAGCACATTTTTCAAACATTACGTCGAGTCTTGGAAAGGGCACACTGAACATGATGAAGAGGTTCGCGGACGATGACGACGAGGACGATGACTCTTTCTCCAACCACAGCAGCCTTAAATTTACGAGGCAGGGTGACACAAAAACCAATGACCCCAATAATCGATTCTGGGGAGGTGGACCACCTTCATCATGTGGGATAGGAGGACCATCTGCGACAGTTGACAACCCTGCCAGCCACAGAAACGATCGGCATCACGGACGACGAAGAAATAGAGGCGCAAAAATTGCACCAGGGCTTGTACCATTCACGCCGAAGGTGGACCCTTACGCTGAGGCTCCGCATGGCTTCCAATTCAGCTGGAACAAAGCTGAAAATGTGCCCCTGAAAAAAACTTGGACCACTCTGGATCCGAAAACAGGAGCTGTCAAATATGAAGAGGGAAACCAGGAAGCAGAGGAAGAGAATGCACCAGAAACATACATGTGGAATCCATCCGATGCAAGAAACACCCCTCTTGCTGCAACGTTTGGAACCTCCCGCGTAGTGTCCGCCGAGGAAGTCAAGGAGAAAAAGGCACCGAAGGTTGGAGGTCTTACTGAAAAATTTCTTCAGAGGCTTGACAGGCAATCTCGTCGCGACAGGGCCGAGTCAATTGATGATTATATTGATATATCTTCCACCCCTGGTTCTCCTAACGCTCCTCCTTCTGAGCCAAGTGTTATGGAATATCACCCCGCCTTGCCGCAAGGTAGCGTGGCCACAGATGAAAGGGCTCACAACCAACCCATCCAAATAGATGCGGACGTGAGAAAAAACTTCATAGATAACATCAATGCTATGCATGATGCCCATCCTGCACTAACGACGTTTGAGCTGCGAAATCAAGGCGGCTGGCTCCCCCAAAACAAGGCACCAGCGGTGTACATCAACGAATTCGGCGATGGTAATACTGTCGAGGTCAAAATGAAGATCGAGACGCGAACACGCAAGATGAACGAGAGGGGAGAATACGATGGCGAGGATTTGGGTCAGATAAAGAAGCGCTATCGACGGGGGTTCTCTGAAATGCTCCAAACACGCGAGGGCGAAATGATACGTGCGACTAAAGAATACCTCGAATGGCAGGCCATGCCCCTTGAGGACCGCATGGAACGGTTGACACTCATCCGTCAGCCCATCAATCTCTGGCAAAAGAAACCAGGCGCAGATGAAATCGACCAGCATGAGCTGCATTACCTCCCAAAATTCTATGAGAGACAAATCTCACGAAGGAAGGAAAAGCAGCGCATGAGAGCCATTCTTGCCGATAAAGCAAAGCAGAAACAAAAAGACAATGCCAGTACCTCATTGGAAACCGCAGAAACTGGTGACACTCTTGACACCTGGGGGGTATTGGGCGACTGCGATGACCCGCCGGTTGGGGGCACAAGTGGTGGCTCCCGAACTCCTAGGTTGGGTGATGACAGTTGGCAAGAGATGTTGGAGCGTCTGGTCGATATTGACCCACGTAAGGATTCGAGGTCTCCGTCTCGGTCGCGCTCGTCCTCCAAATCCGCCTCTGTGGCTGGCTCGATGGCCGCAGAACGCGTCTTTAGGCCCCCCGACAGATTGTATAATGACCATCGCTACAAGCCGCGTCCACGTCTGTATTCGGGCGGTTCCGGCACAGGAAACTCAGTTACTGGACCTCGCCAATCCAGGCCACGATCCTCTCATCCAAGCCCGTCCCCTGCCGCATTTTCCAACTCGTGGTGTGCCACAGACGACGGAAGCGACGCATCCTCTACCGTCAGAGGCCTTCGCAATGCCCCCCTCGACCGTCACATATTCAACGGCTCAGGCATTGACCGATCAAGCGATGGAACCAACGCAGCGAACGGACTCGCCGATCTCATTGCCGCCTATGACGACTCTCCCACTCTCAGAATACCAACGGATACTGACATCCCGTCTCCACCATTCACTGAGCTTGAGCAAGTACTATATAACCGTGCGATTGGGAATATGGGAGAGCGCGGCCGCGTCGTCACGGTGCGTCTCCATGCAGTCCAGGAATCCCACATGGCACCAGGCAGCGTGCTGCCAAAATTTACACCAGGCGCCATTGCAAACAAAGTCTTTGGTGGGGTAATCCAAGAATTCCAACTACACCCTGGAAAACGTACGGCAGTTGTCGTCTTTATGCACCCGAGGGAGGCACGTTCGTTTGTGCACCATGTCCGTAACATAAGAGAGAAAGGTACGGGACACGCTATCAGGGACCTTCAGATCGAGGCCTCGTGGTTCAGAGGCGCAGAATCCCGTGCTATCCTCCCCGCCCAGCCCAATCTCCTCAAACACAGCATCTCTAGAGCCAAGCGCTGCATACTCCTCTCTCACATCCCGAAGGAAAAATCAAACCGCGTTGTCTTCCAAGAGCTCTCAGAGTGCTTTGGCACGATTCTTGTGCGCACCTCCCTTATCACGCCACCGCAGAATTATGTCCTACAATCCGAGGGAAAGCAGGCTTTGGTTGAGTTCGCGAACCTCCAAGACGCCATGCGCGCGTACGATGACCTGAATGCGGGTCTTATCGCCGGGTACGAAAACGTGAACCCGGAGTTTAAGAACGAGTCGACGGAGAAGAGAGCGATTATGAAGGATTATTGCGGATGTCTTGGTTGTGATGACAAGAGAACCGCAAAGTCCAGGGAGAAGGAGAACAAGAAGCGGAAGATGGATGAGCAGATGATGGAGGATGAGAATGAGATGTCAAGCTACGATGATAGTGCGAGTGATTAGGTCGCAGCTTGGAAGGGGCTTCGTGCTATGGGTTTAGGGATGATTAAGGCGGCCGCTGGGTTGCTTTTGTGTTATGGGAGGTCCATTACAGTGAATGATTGAGTTGTTTGGTTGCTGTTTCGATATGGGTGGGTTCACTGATACCAAGAGCGGTCGACAAGCCAGCTGGGATTTCCCTGTGCTATGCGGTAGTTGCGAGTTCCAGACTCCAATAGGGAGGTTGATGCCCTCATGCATGGCTTTGAGTTACGGGCACCGAGAAAGCTTACACTCAGGTGCCGATAGGGAGGTTGTTTGCCTCATGCATGGCTTTGCGTTACGAGCACCGAAAGGGCTTATTCCCTGATACATGTGCTTGGGGAAATCGATGCATTCCTCGCCGGTTGTGCACTGCTGGCGAGATGAGTTCATTGCATAGTAGATAGATGATAAATGCAGGGGGGTGTGTTGGTGGAAGGACCGAAATATTGCGACCGCGCGCAAATCGTGCAGTGTATTTGGTGACCGGACCTTCGGGCTTTTGTGCAACGGGCAGGAAAACTCGACGAGCTCCAACTTATCGGCCCCCTATTCAACATGAATATGTGGCCCGAGACCGAATGGCGATCAACATGATCACCGGCATAGTCTGCGTCGCTATAACCCCGTAAATAGGGGCGGCTCTCGCCCCCTGTCCCCCCAAAAGAAAGACGTAAGCCCCGAGTCTTCTTCACGTAGCGCAATACGTGGAGGACCCCGTTCCAATTCCGTATCGTAGGCCTTGAGCAGCTCTGATGAGCTGCCCCCATGCATATGCGATATCCTGGCGAGTACAGATCGCGAGCCAAGCCAAGGACCCAACGCCTTGTTGATACAGGTGTTGGTCGGCCTCGGGCTCACTGCCGTCGCCCTTGACAAGCGCCGCTCTGTCGGTCGTGTAGACGTGTTTTAGCCCATCCATCTACTAATGCGTCTCAACCTGAAGACTCCCCGGCGACACGTAACGACTGGGCTCCATCGCCGCCACGCATAGATAGCGGCGAGCATGCAGGTAACAACATAGTCAATGCACCTAAGGTACTAACTGTGGCAGAAGGTAGGTTAGAAGACTGGCCACGAGGGCTGGAGGCTCGCCACTCCATCCATGAGCAATCACATGTACCGGACGGCGTCCTCTTAACCCCTCCGATGCGGCCGAGGACAGTTTGGCGTACGCCGACGCATTAGAGGGGGGCAATGGCCGTGAGGATGGCTGTGTTCCGTTCTATCCTGGTATGACACTCCTTCATTACACCTTGGCAAGACTAGATTGCTAGCTCTGCCTATAACTACCTTCGAGCTGAGTAGTCTAACTCACCTCTATAGGAGATCAGCGCGGGCCGGCGTTTGTGATGAATATATAATTGCGTCTGATATATAGCTCGAGGGGAGGCTAGCCATTCAGTCATTGTCACAATAGTATTAGGTCATGTTCCCGGTTCAAGAAGCATTATCATGAGACCCCTTAGAGAAACCGCCGATGTCTGGCGTTAGAATTGAGGACAATTGCAGCTGTTGTACACGAAATTCTCACAGTTATAGGCGTAGCAGATAATTCGCCGCATATAGAACAGCAGGGTGAAAATTAGTTAATTTACAAGAAGGCCCGAGTAGCCCGAAGGGGCACCCATTCGGTGTATATGTCGATAATAGATCACGACATCGCCCGCGCGATAGCCTGTATGCGCACCTCCTCGTTTATTCCTAACGCTGGCTATTTGGTTATGCTAGGCAAACCTAAGAGGCTCGCTATTGAGGTATTTGATTGTCAAGTACTAAGATAATACAACAAACTGTAACATTTCCACCCTACCTACCCCTCCACAGAAATAATACTCGACTTGTAGAATATAATCCAGACCCCAAAGAAGTAAAACACTATAAATAATATACTATTCAACCAAACCTATCAGTTAGTAAACGAGAAGCATCATTTATGGTCCCTTTGGCATATATACTCGCAAAGCCAACTTGTGAGAAACCCAGGGGAATACCACATGCATATATCCAACACCCATAAACCGCTTTTTTCTCACCCTGCACCTTCCCCAAATAACCAAACATACACCACCAGTTCCTTCACTCCCCACCTCCACCACAATGGACACCACCAAACCTCCCACCACCGCCACCAAACCAACCGACCCCAAATCACCACGCCCCCCAATCTCCCAAATCACACCCTCCCTCTACCTCGGCGACACATGTGGAGGAAACTTGATGAGGAGGAAAGAGGGCCTGGAGACGGTGATGGGGGATGTGAGGGGGGGGAGGAAGATGAAGCAGAATCCGAATTTCATGGAGGAGGGGGGGAGAAGGTGCCGAAAGCGGCGTATGCGGAGTATTTGAGGGAGAGGAGGGAGAGGTTGGACGAACCGGGGTTGACGGGGGATGAACCTATTGGAGTGCAGTGGTAGGGATCCTGTAAAAAGGGGATGAGGGGTGCTGCACTGGTTGGGATTTGAACCTTGAGAGGTTGTCACGACAGAAGGACTGTGACAGTAGTCTCAGCTGGCAGGTGAAAAAAGGTTGATGGGTGATGAACTTATCGGTATTCTGAACCTATGAAGTGATGTAAGACTGTAGTAATCCTTCCCAACAGACGCCATGCAAAAAAGAACACCATGCCAACCAATATCGCAGCGGCGTGCGTTTGTTCCGCTGAACTTCCTTCCTCCTCTCGTTCCCTTCCTGATATTCCCATAACGTGACGGACCGGCCTCTCTCCATCGACATGATGAGCGCTCTGCTCAATCCCCAGACGCACACCCCTTGCACCCACAGTTCACGCACTCCACCTCCTGACCCTCCTTCAGATTCGACTTCGGCACGCGACATATGCAAGTCGAGTTGAAATTCGTTTCCTTAGTCTGTATGCACCTCAAACAACAAAGCTGCATCTCATTAGCCCTTGCTCCCCACTCCCCCCCCCACAGAAATTATCGCACTCACCTTGGCATAGCTATCCTTCTTCCACTTCGCGATCAACATCGCATCCGCATACCCATTCTTACACAACCACTCATACAGCTGCTTGCTAATCTTCTCCTGCTTATACAGCTCCCATACATACCTGCTCCTCTGATGCGAGATTTGGAAGATCGGCCAGAGCGCTTGGTGCTTCGGGGCCGCGGTTGTGGGCGCGTTCTCGGCGTCTTTCATCTTGTTCGCGAAGACCAACAAGGAGTCTTCGATGTCGCTGAAGCCCGCGGGCGGGGCTTTGCGCTTCGAGGCGTGCCGGATGGCGGGCATATTTGCGGTGGAGGAGGGGGTGTGTGATGCACGAGTCGGTTTCTGTCGTATCGTCCTGTCGTGAAGTAGGGAAGAGAGAGTTGCCCGTCGTCTATAAGGCTGTCTAACATGACAACATAAAAATCTCAGCCTTACGATCCCAACCTCAAGGCACTAAACTATCACGTGATATCCAATCCCGGCTTCTGCCCGAGCTTCATACGAACGACGATGAGCGACGAAGAGCGACTTTTTTTTAGCTGCAAGAAGAGACAACAACCAGCGCACAATATGGTCATCAATCCCACCTACCTCGCGCAGCGGACGCGGCAGTGTGAGTTTTTTGCCTTCCTTGATTGGTGGTTGGGGGTGTTGGGGGATGGGGGCTAATGTGGTTGCAGCTGTGAATTGGAATGATGCGCAGAGGCGGGTTGCGAAGAGCTATCGGGAGTGGATTCGTTCTGTATGTCACCCCCGTTACCCCCTCGAGAGATACGGATGCGAATACTGCGGACTGGCTGGGCTGGCTGGGTTGATTGGATTGGATTGGGAGGGGTATGGAGAGGGAGGAGAACTGGAAGAGCCGCTGTTGAGTGTTTACGGATTGATGCTGATTGTGTACCGATACAGGCCCCGGAGATCCAGACGATGTACTCGCTGAACATTTCGGTTGGCGAGCTGCGGACGAAGATGAGGGAGCAGTTTGAGCGACACCGTTATGTGAAGCAGTTGCCCGTGGTGGATATGCTGTTGTTCCAGAGCCATGCGGAGTACCAGGTAAGGGATTCCTTTCCTTTTGTTATGATCGGAAGGCGGAGGAGGGAAAGACGTTGAAGATGGCGTGAAGGTGGTGGGGGGAATTGAGCTGGGGGTTGTGGGCAGAGCTCTGGATGGGGGCTTGCAACGCACCATCATTACCCTCCACTAGAAAGGAGCAACAGACGTGGCACCATATACTATGAAGTTCGATAACTAACACCAACACAGGAAACCCTAAACTACTGGAAGCAACTCCCCCACATCCTCAAGTACTTCCGCGCCGAGGAGGACCCCACCGCGCATCTCCCCAAGAACTTCATGAGCGGTTTCCTCGAGGGCCGGAATTAGAGAAGGAGGAGAAGAGAAGAGTGAGGAGGAGGGAGAGCCACGGTATAGAGATAGAGTCAGCTGGTGAGAGGGAGCTTTGGTGGAGCGGGCGGTGGTGAAGATGGGGAGGGGGATTTGTATATATCCGTTACTATATCGAGAATGGGACGGAATGTTTCTTGCTACGGAATGTGCTCTGGGTTTGATGCGGTGGGGATTTATGCCTTTGGCAAGTGCAGCACGAAACGATGCACGAATAGAAAATCGTGTGTGCTGTCACTGAGAGACTTGCATGCATAACGACCAGTGTGGTTGATTCCTTAGATTGCTCGATATGAAGGCATACAGCCATCCCGACAGCCAAATTTACATTTTCTCCCTCCCCTTGTATTCCAAACGCCCTTATAATCCCACGCAGCTTTTACATACACCCCAACCCACAAACGCCGCGAAACGCCACCACGACAGGCCTCTCCCTCATAAAGCCCCCTCTACACCCCTCATATCTCACAACCCCCCCTCTACTGCCTCCCAAACGCCTCCCTCTCACCGACAAACTTCTCCGCTACAACATCACACAAATCCATCAAGTCATCCAATCCCTTCTCCAGCGCCTCGAACGCCGTGCCCTCGTACGTTTGGATGCGGATGTTCATCTTTGGCTCCGAGGGGTGGGGGATCGAGTAGCCGCAGAACTCGACGTTGGGGCTGAGGGTTTGTTAGTTGACGTTTTGTGACTGGTTTGTAACAAACAAACTGGGGAGGGGAGGGGGGGGGGAAGGGGGGGGGAAGGGGGGGGGAAGGGGGGGGGAAGGGGGGGGGAAGGGGGGGGGAAGGGGGGGGAAGGGGGGGGGGCATATGCGTACTTCTTCATGATAATATACCTCAACGCATTACCAAGTGTATGATCCTCATTCGTAAATTCAAACGAAGCAGCCGTGTCCGACGACCCCGGAAGCTATCCACTCATCAGCACTTCTATCCCTCTCCGTCTGTCCAGCTGGTGGGGGGTCAGTAACATACCACGCGCACATTCTGCTTCGCCCACAGCGTAGCCAACACCGCATCCTCCGTAGGATCAACCTGCGCCTGCGCCTGCGCCACCACGGCCGGGGCGGCATCGCCCATGGAGACGTCGCCGTCGAAGGCGTCTTCCGTGCCTGCCATTGCGAGTAATTAGGAGAGACGGGGGTTGCGTGGGTAATATGTACAGGCTGTGAGGTGGGGGGAGGCTCTGAGATGGATAGAGCGAGGCGATTGGGGCTTTTTTATATGGTGCCTTGGGTACGAGGCAGGGTGTGGGGGCGATAAGAGGTCATGTGGTGATAAGGATTATCAGTATACTGTATTTTCAAAGTGCACACGTGACAATACGCAGGACCTCGTACTCTCGTACTCTCACAAATCCAATGTTTTTGCTTTTCGATCATCCCACTTCCCAGGGCTATGAGCTATTGTTCCTGCCCATGACGTCCCCCCGTCCCCCTCACCCCCTCAAAAGGAAGGGAGCAGCGGTGGTAGCGGCGGTGGCAGCGGTGGCAGTGGTGGCAGTGGTGGCAGTGGTGGCAGCGGTGGCAGCGGATATACGGGTCAGGAACCACGTCGGTGGGACTGGGTGCAGGGGACCAAAAGGGCGTTATCGATAACTGAGACGTGGCTAGACGACTAGACGGGGTGGAGGGGAGGGTAGCGGTGGGTGATTGGGGGGGAGAGCGCGGTGTGAATGAGGATGCGCGCGGCTAGGAGGGAGTGGAGGTGGTGTAGGGAGTACGGAGTAGGTGTAGTGGCGGTGGTGGTGGTGTGGCGGTGCTGGGGTGGTGGTGTGGTGGTGTGCTGGTGGTGTGCTGGTGGTGTGCTGGTGGTGTGCTGGTGGTGTGCTGGTGGTGTGCTGGTGGTGTGCTGGTGGTGGTGGTGGTGCTGGTTGAATAGTGGTAGTGGTGTCGTCGCGTTTCATCTCGACGCGCTCGCTCTGCCCTGTGTGGTAGGCTGGGTGGTTGGGGGTAGGCTGGGTGGTTGGGGTAGGCTGGGTGGTTGGGGGTAGGCTGGCTGGGTTGTAGGCTGGCTGGGTTGTAGGCTGGGCAGGGTCTGGCCATCTCCACTTTTCCAAAACGCCAGTATGTTTGACAGAGTACCGAGGTGGGCAGGGGTGCGTCGGAGGAGGGGGGTTTAGTTAGCGATGGGGGATTCTGTGAGAGCATGTTAGAGACGACAGAGACAGAGGACATGCGGGGCTTGGCCGTCTAGAAACATATCATATAGTGGTCTACTTACTACCTGTCCAGCTGTCATGTCATATGATTCCCTCTAGGCAGGCTGGAAGACCTGATGAGAGCTGGTAAAGTGAGCTCTGATGCTGAAGAAACTGCTTTTTGCAATGCCCCTCCTTTCATATGGAGAACTGCCTCATACTACTACCTACTACATACTACTTACATAGAGTACTCCCATTCAATGCACTCCCCTCTCTCTCCCCCTCCCTTCTCCCCCCTCCCCTCCCATCCCCTCCCTCCCATCCCCTCCCCCTCTTCCCCCCACACCCCTCCCTCCCATCCCATCCCCTCTCCCCTTCTCCCCACACCCCTCCCCTCCCATCCCCCCACACCCATCCCCTCCCATCCCCCCACTCCCATCCCCTCCCCCCTCCCCCCCCCCCCCACCCCTAACTCCTGAACTAAACTCAGCTAACATCTTATACTAGTACTTCAGTTCCACCATAAAACCCTACGCACATACATGTACCACTAATTCTAGCAGTATACATCTCAGCTTGCTCTCTAGAAAAATGTATACTTCTCCACCTCAGTACTGCCTTGTACCGTGTTACATCTTCCTTTGAGGTTGTTCCGTATTACTTCACTGCTGAACACTACTAAACCCCCTACCACAGAAGTAGAAGGTACTTACTTCCTAGGAACTCAAACAATACTCCGTAGTCTAAACCATCCCCCCCCCCTTATACAGTACAACACTAACACCAACATTTCATTTCACACTCCTACTCTCACACTCTTGCTCTTACTCCTACCATTTCCACTTCCACTTCCACTTCCACTATACTCTCTACTCTCTCCTCTTCCTCTCCCTCGTCTCTCTAAAACTTCTTCCCCTCACTTTCATCTCCACCGACTCCACATCTGCCTCTTCTGTATCTATTAGAGTGGCACATTTAATACCTCCCCTGCGTTTCGACCAGCCCCACTCCTCATTCCTACTGGAATCGGGAGTCTAAGTAAGACCTACAGTTCACCATTCTTAAACCTAAACCTCAACCTTTCCACACCCCACCGAGACTCGAAGAAGCAGGAAAACTGACTTGTGATCTCGTCTCCAGCGCCTTCCTTTACACCTCTTGACACCGGAGTTCAGCATCTTGCCAATCCTCGGTGACACAGCTTCGCTGCCTTCAAGTTTGTTATATCCGCCCCCAAACTCGAGTATTGAGAGCCACGACTACCGCGGCCCAATATCTCACCGACACCGGTTCTCCAGGCCGGAAGTGCTTCAAGACGACTAGAACCACGTCGCCGCTACGCTCAGAACCCTACGCTCATCATGAGTACTGCCATCGCAATGGCTCCGTCGCCCGCTCCCCATGACCGAAACGCATACGTGGATATTGCGCCGTCAAACTCTTCGCCGCGCCAGACTCGCATCGCGGCACCTAGCGCATCGAACCACCATGAGCCGAGATCAGAGAGCACGAGTCCCAGAGGCTCGTCGGGCTCAAAAAGCTCGCCAACGAGGTAAGTCAAAGAAACAGCGGCCACAACTGCAGTCTCCCCCGCACAATTTGAGCGTGCTAACATCCCCCCGAGCAGTCTCCGAAATGCCCCTCCCCCAAAGATCATACCCCCAAAGATCATCGTCAAGAAAGAGCCCGCGTCGCCCGGCCTCCCCACCTCCCGCCACAGGCCGCGCAAGCTCGACCTCTCCAAGAACAACTCCAGCGCCGCAAACTCGAACCAAAAAGGCACCGCGCCGCTCACATCGCGAGAAACAGGCGGCCTCGCAATCCAAGACGTCGGCCTCGCCTGCCTTTCCCCCGGCTTCGTGACGCATGACCCAACAATGCGCGAGCAGCTCCAGCGCAGCATCTCCGTACGCGAACAACAGCGCCACATCATCGAGTCGCGGCTCCAACAAACCGGGCGCCCCGGCGACGCGCCCCTCGACAGCGCAAAAGAGATGCCCGGCCCCAGCGCCTTTGGGTCTATGAAAACCCCTGGCACATCGCGCCGCAAGGCGCCCCCCGGACTCAGCATCGTGGCACCCTCGCACGAGCAGTTCGCCAACGAGCGCGTCATCCAGTCCGCGCCGCTGAACCAGACGTTCACGGGGCGCCATCAACCGCATCCGCTGACGCGACACGTCCAGAATCAGCCCTCGAACCTCTCGAATACGTCGCATATCCACCATGTACCCGCTACGCAGACGGCGAACCGCCTCCCTCCCATCTCTGACGTCTTTGCAGCCGAAAACCTCGGGCAGCACCGCGACGCAGCGAATAACGGACCAAAAACTTCGATATATCCCCCTTCCTCTAACGCCGCGTCCCATCACAACCGCCACACCGGCTTCCCCTCCCCCACCCACGCCGCGCAACAACAACCCCCGCATTCCGCGCGCCCGCGCGAGTACCGCTCTGCTGAAGAAGCGCAAGTCGAGCTCGCGGGGGGAAGGCCGGAGTTGATTCCTAAAATCGTGCATTATGGCGGTCATCAGCCTCCTACGCCGCCGAGTCCGCAGACGGGGAATGCGATGCGCAACGGTGGGGCGGGACGGAGGCGGGGGAGGGAGGAGTATGAGGAGGGACGGAGTCCGCCGTTGGGGCAGGGACCAGCTGCTGCGAGGAGGACGGCTGCGGGAGTGAGTGGTGCGTTTGGGGAGGGGAGGGATAGTGAGGAGGCTGTGAGGGCGAAGAAGGAGGAGTTTTTGAGGTTGTGTGATCGGGCTTGGGATTTGTTCCATTTGTAGGATCTTTGTTTGAGGAGATGGAGAGGGGTATGACGTACACGACGGGCTTGATGAGGCCGATTCACGAACTGGGATTTGGGATACTACTACTAGTACTACTACTACTTGTTGCTGGTGGGATGGGGGGATGGGGGGGTTATAATTTTGTTTCACACCGGACAGGACCGGGTCGGGCTCCCTGGATTGAAATGATTCGGATACCACATTTTGCTTTTCTACATTCTCCGCTACACCTATTTTTCGTGCTGTTTTTTGTTGTTGCTGGTTGTCTGCTGTTTCTCTTCTTAATTCTTTCTTCTTTCTTCCTTCTTCAGCCCTACCGCATGAGCGAGAGCGGGTGCGCGTGAGCGGGAGAGGGGGCGATGCGAAGGGTGTGTATGCTATATTACTAGGGACCCTTGTTTTTTTTAATATCCACGCTACGGCTGTAAAAGTGAGGTGTTTAACGGTTGGGGGAGGGAGTTTTATTTGGCTGGCTTGCTTTGGTGGTTGGGCGGGCGGTGGGGCGACGTCGCTGCTGGCGGGGACGGGGTTAAGGGGTGGAAGTTTTGGGCGGGATGGGGTTTGGGGGATATGAGAATTTAAGTGTTTTGAAGTTATATCTAGGTGTTGCATTGTGTGTTGTGAATGGTGATATGTTTTCTCCCCTGCCCCATAGTTGGGGGGGGGGGCTACCATATGGTGTCTTAAAAGCCCATGTACGCACGCCTCTTGACTCCCAATATGAGAATGATATCTCCTACCCTAACACGAGTAGCGGATCTAGGTACGCAGCCTACGGTTCTCACATCCTACCATTCTCTCGCGCATTCACAAGGTCATCACTCATCACAATCAACACCTCCAAAGTAGTCAAAAGTCTTCCAAATCCATGTATTCACTGGACTTCTTCATTCCTTCTCTATCTATCCCCCCTCCCCTCCCCAACTATCCAACTCCCCCCTTCAAACCCCCAACCCGTCGACTGAGCAGCACGCAGAGTGTAGAGACTCCACGAGCAATTAAGGCTATAAAAAAAAAAGAAGCCGCCAGACCGATCGGGTTCCCCTGTTCCTCCCTCATCCATCCGTCTTATTTTCCTTTCCTCCCTCATCCATCCGTCTTATTTTCCTTTCCTCCCTCATCCATCCGTCTTATTTTCCTTTCCTCTCCTCCCATCATCCACCCGTAACATTAAAGAAGAAAAACAGAAAACAGGGCACAGGTGTCATGACGTCGTTGATGCAATTCGGAACGCTCAGCCGGCCGACCAAAAAAGAGTAAAAAAAATAACAAAAAGCAGACCCAGCAAAACCCATACAAAACCAAAGGTGGCTAATTCATTCCGCCACCCACACGTATATGATGCTGTTGCTCTCTAAAAAATCACGCGCGTGCGCTGCCTCTGCCGCCGTCGTTTGTCTCTTTCGCTAACGCCTGGAAAACTCCTTTTGGATAAAAACAATGAACGCCGGTGCATGATGGGGTGATGGTATGCATCGCCAACTCCCTCCCAAAGATAATAAAAAGAAAAGTGTGGAACTCGGGCAGCGTTAAATGAAGAAAAACGGCCCGTCCGTCCCCGCCTGCTTGCGATTGGTATCGTGCGGTGTGTGTTAAGAATGGCTCTCTATAATAATAGAACAGATGTAGAAAAAAAAAGTTCGAAAGTCTATTTGCACGTGTGGCGATTTGAGGATGCTCATTGAAGCGCTGCAATCCATTTCGTCCTCGTTGCGTGGTCGTGCGTATCTTTTCTGCAGGGAAAAAAAAGGTTCGCGCAGGGTTGCGGAGCTCATGCGTTCGGTGGAGAGCGGGAGATGGGGATTGGGATCGTCGTGGTGGTCATGCGCCGACCGCTCCACGAACGAGGAGTTTATAAAAAGAAACCCCCATCCTCATCTCGCGCGCGCGAGCAAGTCTTTTTCAAGAGGAAAGAAGTCTTAAATCCCCTCCTCGCCCGCCTTACACAGCTTCACCTCGCGACCCCACTCCGACTTCAACACCTGGCTCGCCGTGATGCGCCGGCTCGGATTCGGGTCAAGGATGGAGTAAATGACATTTCGGCAGCGGGCCTGTCGATCAGTTAGTCTCTTGCTGCGCGACACGACAGAAGTAGCAGAAGTGCTGGGTGATGGGCGAGGGCTACTCACGCGAGCCAGACTCTCAATAGGACCATAGCCCTCCTCGTCGCGACGCCCCTCGAGGTAGCGCTCGTAGAACTCGTCCTCGTCCTTGCGAGCGACGCGCCACAGGTGCCGGCCCGTGCGCATGGCCATGTATATGACGCCCGTGGCCCAGACGTCGACGGCGCGGGCGTCGAATTCCTTGTCGACGTACTCCTCGGGCGCGATGTATGGGGCGCTGCCGCAGAGGCCGGAGACCATGTGCGCGTCCGTCTCCCAGGCCATGCGGAAGCACTCGCCGTTGCCGAAGTCGGTGATTTTGAGCGCGCCGTGGGTGGTGAGGAGGAGGTTCTCGGGCTTGAGGTCCCGGTGGGCGACGCCCATCTCGTGCATGTACTCGACGCCGCGCATGAGCTGCTTGAAGTAGCAGTCTGCCTCGGCGACTTCGAGCTTGCCCGCTGCGAGGACGAGGGTATACAGGTCGCCGCCAGCGCAGAACTCCATCACTTCGCAGTAGTCGCCCTTGGAATCCTGGAGCAGGTCGAGGGTGTGGATGACGTTGGGGTGGCGGAGGGAGGAGGAGATGCAGAACTCGGAGGTGAGGCGCTTGCTATACCGCTTCTCGCTCTCGTCGGGGCGGCGGCGGAACTCTTTGACGGCAAAGAGCTGCTCGTTGTCGCCCTCCTTGCGCTTGTGCGAGATGCGCACGATACCGAAGGCGCCGCGGCCTACGATCTCTTGGCACTTGCCATACTTCTCCACCAGCGTCGCTGTTGTGTTCGGGCCGCCCTTCTTGTCGGTCGAGGCCAGGGCCTCGCGCTCGCGCTTCAGCTGGTCCACCCAGCTCGACATGAGCGATAATTGCTGCTCGCCCTCGTGTGCCTCCATCGGCTTCTTCTTGCCGATCAGCATGTCGCGCAGCATGTCGGACAGCTTCTCTTGGCGCTTGGCGCTCTTCAGGTGATGTTCATGGCCACCGGGTACATCAGGGACGAGGATGTATCGCTGAGCCGGCCACTGTGGCTCTTTGGGTTTCTCTTTAGGTTTCGGCATTATTGGGATCTTTTCCAACGAAGATTGTTGATGTGAAGGCGGGGCGTGTCGAGAGGTAGGCGCCGTTGATGGCTCTCCAGGCACGGGCGTTGTGGCGTGGGGGGGTGATTTTGTACCGCCACTTTCGGAGCCGGAGCCGGTTTTGTTGGTGTCACGCGCGGAGAACATGCGAGTGAGCCGCTTGGTCATGGATTGCTTCTCGTTCGCCGGCCTGTGACTGGTGTGGTCGGAGTGTGGCGCAGCCCCATTGGCTGTATCGTGCGTACCTTGTCCACTGGTTGGTGGCGACCCTGACGATGCTGCGCCTGCAGCGCCATCACCGCCATCAAAGGAGGGTTTCCTTGGGACTGTGAGGAGTGATGAGGTCGCTTTGTCAGCATCGCGATGCGGGAGGATAGCGGTCATGGTGGCTGGTGCGTGGGGGTTTTTGGGCCTTTGGTGGTAAGATTTGTGAGGCGTCGGCTATACCGCGCTGTACCGGTAGGCTCTTTAGGCGGTTTTCTTGTGGAACGATAATTAATATGTGTCGCAGTAAACCGTCAGAATGTCGATGGATTGCATGTGCTACCTGATCGTGCGAATAAGAGAGCAAAGGTTCGTCCAAGGTAGCACGTCCAAGGTAGCAGCTGTGTAAGCAACTGAGAAAATATAAAATATAAGATAAAAGATAAAAAAAAAAAAGGATTATTAAGAGGGCCGCCTCCGCGGTCGCGGGGCCTTCACGGCCCTGGTAGGAGAAAGCTTTCAGCAAATAAAGCTGTAATTTCTATTTTGTTTTTGAGATGGAATGACGACAATGATGATGATGATGATGCGCGCGCGCGGAGGTTTTGCTGTAGTGAAGTTGGGAGGGGGGTCGCAGGCGATTAGAATGGTGTCTTGGAGTGACGATATGACAATGTCGTAGGGGTCTGAAGGGTCGTCGATGGTGGAACACTGAGCACTCTGGAGCGGCAATTCCTCAGTGGCGAGGCGATTGAGTTCGAGAAAACCAGTTGTGGAAGGTATGGAAGAGCAGGAGAGAGGTGTTTGGTATAATATACGGAGTTGAAGAAGGGAAATTGAGCAGATGGTGGCGATGTGGACTGGGTGTGTATGAATCGCTCAGAATTGCTCGGAATTTGGTGGTTTGTTTTGTAATTTCTGGTTGGGGGTGGTGGTTGGTGGTAATTGGGTGGTGGTGGTGGTGGTGGTGGATGGTAGGGGATGGGTAGGTAATAGACACCAAAGGCCGCCGCCAGGAGATTTGAGATTTGAAGATACGTAGAATCGAGGTAGAGCGAGGTAGAGAGAGGTAGAGCGAGGTAGAGAGAGGTAGAGCGAGACAGAGAGTGGTGATCCGTAGGCGGTAATATGACTGATATATTATAAAAAGGGCGAGTTGAGATTCGAGTAGGGCGAGTTAAGGGCGAGTTAAGGGCGAGTTAAGGCGAGTTAAGGGCGAGTTAAGGGCCAGGGCAAGATAAAGACCAGAGGCCAGAGACCAGAGACCAGACACCAGACACCAGACACCAGACACCAGACACCAGACACCAGACACCAGACACCAGACACCAGACACCAGACACCAGACACCAGACACCAGACACCAGAACCAGAGACCAGAGATCAGAGATCAGAGACCCGTTGTTGAAGAGATACACTACAAGAGAGTTGCGTGTACTCAAGCATGAGGTAGTCCAAGGGGGTTCAGTTCAGTCGATTTGTACGAACCAGGGGAAAGGCAAATGGTACTTTTGTCCGATATGAGGGATTTAATTTTTCTGACAGTCGGTTGGTGGTGGGCCGGATGTAAATGGAATTCGGAGTAGCAGAGACCGCCGAGCTATAATGAGAGAGCCGGATCGGGGAACGAGAGGAGAGGGACGTATCGATGTCCCGTCATTTCGGGGGGGGAAAGAGATGGTTGGAAATAGAAGCAGAAGTAGGGAGTGGGAAAAGATAGATAGATAGCAAGGTGGGAGTGGGAAAAGATAGATAGATAGCAAGGTTACTTTTGGGCTTCCTTTTTTTCTTTTCTCACTTTTGTGTCGGCTGGTCTCACCATGTACAGCAGCAGCAGTAGTTAGTCAGAGTCGCAGTGTTTTAGTTTATGCAACAGAATCACCACAAGTCAAAAAAATGGGTGTACCTTTTAATACCGCAGCATGCAAGGCCAGGTGCAGATGCCGATGTTAACGGTCTTTGAATCATCGCCGCCAACACTCAGGATCCTCGTAACCCTAACCGTACACTCTACTCTATATGACGAATCACTCGCCGATGACGAATCACTCGCCGACGACTCGCCGACGAGTGATTCGTTAGAATGTGGGCCACCAGGGCCAACCTCGCCCAGCCCAGCCCACAAAAATAGGGCAAAGAAATAAATCCCAGTGGTGGCCAAACCCCATCTATTACCGCCTGGAGGCGGTTGGCGAGTGTGCCACAAAAGCAAAGTGTGCCATCTTAGATAGGTAAATAATAAATTAAAACTATTTAAAACAAATTAGGATCTATGTTGTTGTCGGGCAGTGATTCATCTTCACTCGCGCTTGCAATCAAGTCGTAGTTAAGGCTTGAAAAATCGACAAAACCGCCTTCTTTAGCCGCTAGTTGTCGCTACAACTCCATCTCCTCTTCCGCTTCTTCTATAACGTGCTCCTTTACTATCTTCTCATGAATCTTCTTTCGTGCTTGTTCAACTGTAACAGCTCCGCCCTTTTGAATAGACTTTCTACTTCTGATTTTCCGCCGTCTTTGCTCCGTCATTATAGCAGTGATCTACGTTTAAGCTCTAAGTGAACCAATGTACTTTCTGTTAACTGTATTTGAATCTCCAAGAGGATGTCCATCTATGACGAGACGGTGAGCTAAGGATCTCTTCAAATCTCTAACTCCAATTTGAAAGATCTTGACTTGCTTGTGTTCGGATTGTTAAAATAACATTATAGTTAGTGTCGAAATTTCAAATTGCTTGCTGAATTGCACGACGGTGCCAATGCTTATACTGCGCGAACACAGTAACATCAAGAGGCTGTAATATATGCGTAAGGTGAGAAGGTATGTTGTTTTGATTTGCGAGTATTATGAATTCCGGAACTTCATGAGAAATATGAGAGTCCATTATAAGTAACTTTGCCTTTATAGATGGTGTAGAGTGTTGAATAAAATGCTGTAGATATTCCATTATAAGCTTAAGAGTTTGTATATCCTGAATCCGATACTGCGACTCTCTCACTACCGTGTAGATTATTGTGGTAAAATTGTCTCGATTACTGTAAGACTTTGACGATTCTCTAGAGCTTGTAGTAAAGCTATATAAATTAGAATAATATAATGTAAGATAAGTACATAAGTTATGACTTTACCTCCTTTACTGCTGTAGGCACTAACACATGTAACATCTAATTGATTACACACATCTTTTGAATTCACGAAACCATTCTTTAATAGCTGATACATCATGAGAAGCAACACGTGCTGCTTCAATTGGCTGGGGTTTAATAGTGTGGAAAGTCTCATGTTAGGACTTGATCTACGTCGTTGTGACGGTGGATTACGCGAAGGGTTGTTAGCTGCGAGTAGTTGGCAGACAGCATTAAAAACTATTGGCTTTGTTGCACCGTATCCATTTTCACCACGAATCTTTGGTGGCTGAGTCTGACGCGTACGGCGCATCCGGAGTGTGGTTTGGTCAACATGGAAAATCCGAGCCGCTGTAGCATTGTTCTCCTAACTAAGCCCCCCAACCCTCCCATTCATGTCATCATCCCGCCTTAGCTTCGCCGACGCCTTCCCAAATCAGCCACAGCGAAAGATGCATGAGCTTTAGTCAGTCCAAAGTCACGGTTCTCACACCCGGCTATCCCACCGCAGGACCGCGCTCTACAGTAAGTTACTCCGTACAAGCGGCGCATTTCTGAGTGTTCTCCAGTATTTGATAAATAGAACACGCCGCGTCGCAACGTGCTTTTTTTTTTTTTTTTGTTTACTCACGAGATACCCGTACAGCGGTCAAGACTCATTCTCGGTCTTGGCTGGTGGCTGGCAACACATGCTGCTTCCCCGCGCGCAGCTCGAACAACGATACTACATCCGTTGCGTTTGTAAGCAGGACGACGAAAAACACCCGCACGGTGATGATGCTCACATCATCACCGTGCGGGTGTTTTTTGTGCACAGCGAAGACGAAATAATTCGGACCTGCCCGATGGATGTATGCACTTACGTCATGTTAGCGATATCAAAATTCCCATATCAGTGCTGTCTGGCTGGCTGGTTGGGCGTCTGTATCACAGTATCACAAAAAACTCCGCTCATTCATAGCGGTATTGCATTTTCTAGGGGTGGTGATATCAAACAACTCAAACCAAACACCCACACCATCCCATCCCATCCTTCTTCCCACTCCAACGCCCGAATACCGTAGAAGCACCAACATCCATCTGCAACGATCTCCAACAGGCACTAAAGCATGCATACCCCCCTCCATCGAAGCTTACGGTATGCGATGAGCTTCCCCGTCCCCATCAAGCCAGCCCCCTTATTCCAATTCCAGACATCCCCCTACAGCCCTGTAGCTTCCACCGCTGCACATGGCTCGGTCGCGCATACACACCCCTCCGCCACGGGTGCTGTGCCACGTTATACAGACAAAATAGGTAGAGAGGAGTGCAGCGTAGATAGAGTAGTACACATCACAACCACCGCACGGTTCGCCATGCCACGACAAAAGACATAGCATGACCAACGCTGCCTGCACAGACACATGCAAGACCGCACGCACAGCGCCTTACACCGCCTTATCAAAAACGCAGCAGATAGCAAGTGAGGTATGAGGTGTGAGGTGCTGGAAAATCCCTCATAGCGTCTTCATACGGGTGCAGGAGGGCAGATAGTAGAGTATAGCACTGCACCGGCACTATACCGCCTAGCATGCAGACCTGCAGAGAAGCAAGCCAAACCAGGTATCCCCCATCCCCCATCCCCCCTCCCCCCTCCCCCCGTCCCCCGCGCCCCGCACACCCCGCCAGCGCGCAGGCGGCCGACCCTTCCTCCCTCACGGCACCACACCGCCGGGGCCAACAACAAGGAGACAACCCTCCCCGATACCGCTCCGGTATCAACCGACCCGCAGCACACCGGCATCAGTCCCAAACGTCCCAAACCGCCGGCATGAAAGCAAGCTCCAAGCTGCGCTGATCCCCGCCTTCCACGCTACTGGAGCTATGACAATGCTGCAGAAGAGCTCCAACGGCAGCAGGAGTAGATGTGGGAAGGAAGCTCCCCTGTCTGCCCGTTCCTAGCTCAAGCGCCGATCACACATGTCCAACGTCCAACACAGCTCGAGCTCGTGCCACATTACCCGCGCGCTCAGGGACCGCTCGCTACGCCTGGTGCGTCTCTTCCGGTGCCTGGTTCGCCGGATGCGCCGCGGAGGACGGTGTAGCTGATTTCGCGTCATTAGGAGCACCGGTACCGTCAGTAGCAGCAGTGGTGGTAGCAGGATCAGAAACAGCAGCAGAATCAAGATTAGCAGCAGGATCAGCAGAACCATCACCACCCGGCGCGGCCCTCCCGCCCGTCTTGGCTGAATCCCACGCGCTCACCCGTCTATTGAGGTACACCAGCGTGTTCTCACTCACCCCCCTTATCCGCGCGACTACCTCGCGGTACGCTTTGTCGTAGATGTTGAACTCGGCTGCGGCGGGGGACTGGGCGATGCTATCACTGTCGGTGTTGGGGTGGTCGACGTGGCCGGAGCCGACGCGGAGGTAGAGTGGTGCTTCGTGGAGGGGGTAGCGGGCCTGGCCGAGGCCGGAGGGGGAGGGGAGGGGGGAGGGAGTGGTGGTTGTGGTTCTGATGGTGGTGAAGGTTGGGGGGGGGGAAGTGCGGAATTTGTTGTTGTTGTCGTTGTTGGCATACGGGGCGGCGGAGTCTAGGGGGTTGGAGGTGGATGAGGTTTCTGTCGCCTGGCCCGGTTCGGATGTCACGGCGTCGGGAAGGTCGAGTTCGTCTGGGAAGCTCTTTGTGCTTGCGATGGTGGAGAAGTGGTCTTGGCGCTTGGATTTCGTCCGTTGGGGCACATGCTTCGCTTCGAAATCCGACTCGTGCATTTGTGCGGGCGGCTGAAACAGTTGTTTGTGTCCGCCGAAGAGGCCCCGTGTTCGCTCGGGGTGCTTCTTGTACAACAGGCTCTTGAACTTGTTGACGGCTTTCATCTGGGTGGGAGTTAGTGGTTGCATTCATTTTTTCATGCTGCATATGGGAAGACGTACGACGATGAGGAGGCCTCCGATATTGGAGGTGATGGCATGATTCATCTCTATCTGCGTCGGAGGCTCGAGAAGGTCCGAAATATTCTCCTCCTTGGACAGGAGAGGGTCAATGCCGTCTTTTGTCACCCAAGGATGTTCCTAAAGCCGTCAGTAAGTCCCACGTAAACTGCCAAAGAATCTTACCCTGAGCTCGTCCATGGTTATCCTCTTCTTTGCATCCTTCTCGAGAATGCGGTAAATCAGGTCGACAAAGTTCGGATCATCAACTGGCGTGCAATCGACCTTGTCATTCTGAATGGAGTCATACAACTCCAGGATTCCAGTCTTCTCGAATGGTATGTGCCCCAAACGTAGGCAATATAACGAGATGCCCATCGACCAGATATCTGCTGCTCGACCCGAGACATCACCATGCTTCACTACACAAAGCTCCGGAGGCAGGAATGCAGGAGATCCAGCCGACTTAGCTGTCATCATTTCTGGATCCTTCTCGAACATTTCCGAAACGCCAAAATCCACAACCTTCAACACGTCGTCTGCCGTGAGGAGGAGATTATCTGGCTTGATATCCCGGTGGGCAATTCCTTGCGCGTGAACTTTTGACTGTCAGTAATTTACGAGCTGTGTCAACCGCTGTAGACTTACGGAACTCTATGCCCAGTATCATATCGCGGAACCAGTACCTGCAGCTCTCTGTGTCGTAGAGATCTGCCCTTTCTCCGAGTCCAACTTTCATTATGACCCCCTTTTTGCACATTTCCAGCACCATGTACAGTGAATCTTCCTGGGGATCATCTAGAACCTCAATCAAGGAAACGAGATTTGGGTGATGGAGCTGCTTCATGATGGCAATCTCTTCCTTGATCAGATGCAGTGAACCTTCTGGCCCATCACCTCCCATGCCCGGCATGGGATTATGGTGAAGAGGGGAGTTAAGACCACTGCCGGTAGGCGACTTGCCAGAGCGGAATGCGGCATGAGGACGGCGGAGAAAGTTAGATCTCGCACGTTTTCTTAACCTAGACTTTGAGAACTCCTTGACTGCCTGCAGACGTTTAGTTTTAAGCACGAACATGCGGAGTCTGTGAAACTAACAAATTCATTGCCATACTGGTCCGCGGCAAGGTGGACTGCGCCAAAAGACCCGCGCCCAATCTCCTCCCCAATAATATACTGGTTGATGTGGTGCTGCGACTTCCCATCATCTTCACTGTTTTTGTATTCTGAGCGAGCGTTGGGTGTCTCCTGAAACGGTGTTAGTATAATTACATATAAATGCGCGTTGGCCTACTTACCTTGACCGGCTGGTGCATAGAAGGAGTCCGTTGATGCTGCCTTAACGGGCTTTGGTATTCAGACATCGGCGCCTTGCTATTATAACATCAGCACAAGAAATACAATAGTAATTAGATAAATGTACCTGTTATTACTTAAAAACCTAGGCTGCGCTTGCTGAGCCAGGGAGACGGGTTGCACATATTCATCTTCCCCAGGACATTGCGTTTGCTTATTCGCTGGCTCGACCTGATCTGCGATATGGGCCCCGCCTTCTGAGGCTGAACGAGGCTCCATCTTAGCCTTTTACGCCAGCGGGTTTTGAGAGAGGAGATATTATATATCCCCCGTAAGGTTTGAGACAGTAAATGCGTAGGACCGTCGGAGTCATCAACGCGACACGAGAGGCGATGCGGTTGCAGTGCTCAAGATCGAAAGCTGAAAACCCCCCGTTCCCTGGCTAAAGCTACTGTCATGTGGATATTTGGTTGATCAAAGTTACTCCGCTCCCGACTTCCAGCCAGGGTATTGTTCCAGGCGAAGCGAAAAGCTTGACCATGCTAGCGCGAGGGCCATAGAGGTGGCCCACTCCACAAGGCCAACGACGATGTGGAGGGTCCTGTTTGCACCTTGTTGGCCCGTGACAACACCAATTGAGCCATTACGAGGAGTCCATGGATCTTAGCCCGCATCCAGCTTTGAGGACTGCGGAATCATGGTAGTTTACTCCTTCTACATCTTCGATAGGCATAGTAAGTTCATATCCCTTTCGACGGCGGACTCCTGGATACTGATTCAGCGGCAGCGGAGTGCATCTACAGCAAGCTCTGGGCGAGGCAAGACAACCCCAGCTCCATTGCTGGTCCGGGACATACGAAGGGAAGGCCCGTCTCAGACTCCAGCAGCATAAGCAACGATGTTACAGTAGACCTGGGTCCAGCCCGAGCTCGACCGGCTCGGCTGAGCGCGAAAGACGATGCGAAACTTATCTTTGGAACAATATTCTCTTTGCGAAATATGGTTAGGAAGTTGGGAGGCGATGATGACAGGTTAGAGCGCCCGCAGCTATACTTCCTGATGGGCTTGGCTAATACGATTGCGTGCAGCTTCATATCGTACCGGACGGGGCAATATAAACTCCACTACTACGAAACGCCGACGAGCATCAAGTTTGTGATGCTCACCGATACACAAAGTCTCAATATGCGGAATGTTCTCCATCAGATATATGTGAACCTCTACGTGGAATTCGGTATTTCTACCCAGTCATAAGTTGTGGATCCGTTGCTAATACATATAGTGGTGAAAAACCCCCTCTCTCCGGTAGAGCACCCAGGAGGCGATGGAGTCGCAAACGAATTGTTTGAACTGGCCTTAGATCAGTTCGTAAAGGGTGTATTATAGAATATAACGCCTCCAAATTTCACATGTGCTTGACCTTACAGTGAACAACAATAGTGACTCTTCTTCAAATAGATACCGCTTTATTCTGCAATGCATGATCGTATATGTTTGGATGACTTCGTGATATATAATTACATGTTTTACTAGTGATACCCTCTTCGTTTACTTATTTAGCAGATTCAAAAACCCCTCCACTAGACTCCGTCGCTTTACCCCAGGCACTCTCGAACGCGCTGGCCTCCCCAACATCGACAATGCTGCTTCCCAGAATACCAGACTCCGCCTGGTCACCTCCGTTTGGCTCCTTTGCCTTTCCGTTCTTAGCGACACCCTCGTCGCTCATGGGCGTTATTTCATTTTCCCAGTTACTAGAATATACAACAGCCGCAAAGGCCTCAAGATCCCCAACCAGCTCCATCGCTTGGAGATAATCATTCGGGACGCCATTGCCAATTTGGTGAGCTTGGCGCGTGAGGGTTGCGAGGACGATGGGTAGCTTCATTGGCTTTGGGTCGAATACCTCTTGGATTCTCGGCTCTGAGTTAGGGTCGCTGGGTGGGGCAGGCACTTTGAATGCTTGCTGAGCGACCTTCTGGTCCACCAAGGTGGAAAATCCAGCATCGAGGAGAAGCGTGAGGACGTATGTAAATGGCGGCGAGTCAATGAGGTCCGACGTTTCATCTAATAAGCGTCGCAGAGGGCTGGCATTTGAGGAAGCAAGGGTAGTAGATTCAGGCGATTCAGCTGACATTCCCGACTGTTGAAGGACGTAATCCTCTTGGTCCCGGGATGGCAGGAGATATTGGAGCCACCTGGTGGACTGACGGTCGGCCTCGGTAGCGCCCTCAACTCTCTTTCGGACTTCAAGCGTCAGCTCAGAGAACCGGCTTAAAGACAGGTCATCCCTCGGGCTTAATGGGCCGAACACATCTTTAACTGCGTTCTGGACTTTGAACATAACCTCTCTCCATCCTCGATGTAGCAGCCACCAGGAGAACGTCAAATATCTCCTGTTGGTTTCGAAGTCATTGCCGTATGCTTGGTCCGTGTTGTCATCGTCGTTGTTCTCAAGATTGATAAATGAATCTTGGAGCCCGCCTGTGGCTAATGAGACAACGCTGGAGAGATAGCTGCGACGGCCTAGCAAGTTAAGCTGGATACGAGTGAGGAGCGTAAGAAGTGCTAATGTGTATATGAGAGTGAAAGCTCTAGTGATAGCTTTGGAAATAGTTAGTAACCAACAAATAATCGAATTCTTAATAGTTCTTACCGCTGATTTTCAAGTCATTCCATAGTTGCAACTTCGACTTCCTCGATTTCTGTGGTGTCGGTGCTGGTTGGGCACCATTTTGGGGAGCATTTTCATCCGCTGTGGTGGGAGGCAGAGAGGCCTGGCTTGCATGGACCCCGCTCTCACTGAATTGGCTGATATTACTTCTTCCGTCATCGTCTGTCACAGACGGTGGTGTTGAGCCTAGGTCCGATGGTCGGTCCTCCCTTGCTAATTTCGAGGCTTTCTGCTCCTGCAGGGCGAAAGTGATCCGCTCTGTTTCCAGCTCAGCCATAACATTATCCGTTGCCGTCGGGAGAAGTGCGAGTATGGTAAATGTACAATCTTCTTGATTCTGTTGGAACCTCCTCCGAAGGCTAGCCGCACGCGATCAGCTACTGTTCATGCCGAGGGGGGATCTCCACGCCATAAAACCCACTTCTCCTTTGCTATGCGATCACTGCTCATGCGCTCGCGCGCATCCGACAGCTTCCCCAGTACATATTGCGCGGCCATATATCCAGCGCCCAAGACGCCGACCCCAATCGCGATTGGGGTTCGGTTTCGGCGAAACCATCGTCGTGTTGCAGAGATCATGGCTCAAATCTGGGAGCCACCAGTGCGGCCCTTCTACATGAGAAACTTAAGAATCAAAAATAAGACACCCCTCGAATATATTACGAGTCTAATGGCAGCCGAGGTATGGTTACTTCGTTGACGTCGGTCGTAGCATATTGGGAGCAGGTACGCTTGCGAATCACGGTTGCTTTGGTTGTCCCTCGGCTCGCTTGGCTGTATTGCCATGGGGGAACACTTTTTTAGCGTGTCAGAAACAGTAACGTGGTCCGGACGGATTTAAGTTTATCCTTGGGCGGCTGGATGAATCGCCGTGGGTTTGAAGCTTGGACCCATCCATGTCATTGTCTTACGGAACCCGCAAATAGACGATGACATTACCCCTCCATTCGCGATATGGCCATGCAGCGATAGATAGGAACGGTGAGGAAGCTAGACGTCTGGGGAAGCTCCCGTCTCTAACATCCTTCGCCGCATAGGAAACCCGAAATTAAGTCGATTAAAGACGGCGACTACTTTGGTCTTCTTGTGATGGAGCAACGACGACCGCCAGAGTACATTCTGGAAGTCTTCGCAGACCCATCGTCTGTGAAGGACGTTGTAAAAGGTATGCGGCGCTTGAGTACCTGCGCAAACACTCTACTTACCATCTATCAGGCATTCTACATACTATCTTCTTCCACCGATTCTTCCCCTCTGTGCGACCCAGGACCCACGATGTCCTTGACCTGACGCTGCCCGTTGTGGGGGATGCGGAGCTGGAGACATTGATTGAACAAAAGACATCTTCTCTTATACGCCAGCTCGATACTACCTCGGACCTGGGGTCCAGAAGTTCGGGTGTTCGCGGCCAAATTGCCGTCCAGTTCTTCGAGAAGCGGCGGAGGAAGGCATGGTTCACCAAAGGGGAGGAAGAGGTGTGCTGGGAACAGTGGACCCTAGATGTCACTCTGGCCATCCCACGAACAGAGAGTGGTGGGTTTACTTCTTTCTTCTCAAAAGCAGGACTATGCTGACTATAAACCAGAACGAGCAAAGGTTCGGAAGGCGATGGAGACGATGCTGCTGAAGACAGCTATGAAGATTGTGACTACTGTGAACCGCGAGAAAGACCATATCCCCCCGATCACCACGAGTGAGTCAAACCCGTTTCCATACCAAATAAGTACGAATCCGAAGGGTGATGGATGGGGAGCTAGGATCGGGATTTTCTAAAATATGAGGCGTGGGATGGCGTTCATGGGAACCAGGTGATGGGCGTATGTTTTTGCGGGGAATATGGGAATATGGGAAATGAGCGACATAGAGTATGATACCCAGTTAAACAAATGCTATACCTCTGGCTGGGATATGACTGGTGCTGTATACTCATATGAGTAACACATGCGAACATGTTCCTGGTTGGATGGCGAGCTACGCCAGGATCATGCCGCCACGACTTCTCCCGAGCACTTGTTTTGTTGCTTGCCGAGAAAATAACGAAATAACAAATATGACCTAGAAGCAATAGAAGGAAGATGTTTGGACAGGCTCAGCCTTGCAACGAATATACAACTAATATACAACTAATAGTAATCGTGGAAAAACAAAGTCAATGGAGTAGCTGGCTGCTTTTAGCCTGGTGCAGTTGCTTATAGCACGCCATCAAATTGCCCCCAATAAGAATGCAGGTGAATGTCGTGGGGTATATCGGGTGGGGGTTTTCAAATCAAGCCTTCGTCTATATAATAACGTGGCTGCCCTCGTGTTTCGTATCTTCTTCCGGAGTATATTCTATAGTTCTATATTCAGTTATATCGGCTGCGCTACTACATAAAGGTCATAATCTCTTTGTCTAAGCCTTGTTCGTAGTTTGTGTCACGTGCTTCGCGAGCGAAAGGCTGAAGGGTTTTTGCAAACTATCTGTTATCTATTGGTCAGAGTATCAGAGTAGTAGATAAGAGTCAGCCTCGCCCAATTTTCCCCCGCCCCACAGCGATTATCGGCGTGCTACGTACTACGAGGTAAGCATTTTACCTCTATAAACTAGTAGCGTTTCTTAAGGTTGTTTCTCCCGCCAAAAGCTAGAAACTAACATTGTATTTGACCCTGCAGTCATATGGTCTCTGTGAAGGATGAGTCCGTCACTTCTCGAGAACGAGGACGGGTTGAGAACCGTCTCTCTGACCGCATGTCACTCTCCAATTAAGAACAATAGTCGTGGGGGATGGATTGTCCAGAAATTTGGCGGGACCAGCGTCGGCAAGCTTCCATTCAACATCGCCGAGGACATTATACGGTAAGTTGGCATTGCGATTCGACGACCACGACCTTTTCTAACTCGGGATTAATAGGGCAAATCTGAAAGGCAATCGTGTTGCCGTCGTATGTTCTGCTCGGAGCACAGGTAAAAAGGTTGAGGGCACCACAAGTCGGTGAGTCATTAACCACTGCCCTTCCAATGCAGCGTTTCTAACATATCGAAGCCTCCTAGAAGTGTACAGTGTTCTTGAATCGGTCGCCACCGTTAAAGACACAGAATCAGTTCATTACGACAGTCTTGTCCAGGAATATAAACGGCTCGTTCAAATCATCCAAAACGACCATGTGCATGCGGCCGAGACAAGCATCCGTGATCTTAAGATCAGGAATGTGCTCTCCACAGAGATCATAAGCGAATGCAAGGAGATACTCGAATACAGGCTTGCTGCGCAGCGATGGCACCTGGAGATCGACTCCAGGTCGAAGGACCGGATTGTCAGCTACGGCGAGAAATTGAGTTGCCGATTCATGACGGCCCTACTGCGCGACAGAGGCGTGGACGCCGAATATGTCGATTTATCAGATGTCATCAATTTCAAGTCGCCTGGAGGGATTAACCAGGAATTCTACAATTCGCTGGCGGAGTCTCTCACGGCGAGAGTACTGGCATGCGAAGACAGAGTGCCAGTCCTCACAGGGTTCTTCGGCACCGTGCCTGGTGGACTTATGGACGGCGAAATCGGCAGAGGCTATACCGATCTCTGTGCAGCATTGGTGGCTGTGGGTCTGAAGGCGGAAGAGCTTCAGGTGTGGAAAGAAGTCGACGGCATCTTCACCGCCGACCCCAATAAGGTGCCCACCGCGCGACTGCTCAGCACAATTACGCCTGCGGAAGCTGCAGAGTTGACATTCTACGGTTCAGAGGTTATCCATCACCTTACTATGGATCAAGTTATCCACGCTCAGCCGCCCATCAGAATCCGCATAAAGAACGTCAAGAACCCGAGGGGAAATGGCACAATCGTCCTCCCAGATCCAGTACTCGCGCCAGGCCAGCAGCTCATCCGCACACGAAGTGTGAGCATTCCAGGCACCAGAAAGACACCAAAGAGGCCTACGGCTGTTACTATCAAAAGCCATATTGCTGTTATCAACGTACACTCGAATAAGCGATCTATCTCTCATGGGTTTTTTGCAAAGGTCTTCTCCATATTGGATAAGCTACGACTTTCCGTTGATCTCATCTCAACGAGTGAGGTTCATGTCTCTATGGCTGTTCACTCAGTTTCTGAAGATGATTTACTGAGGGCGAGGAGAGCATTAGAAGACTGTGGTGAAGTCAGTATTCTGACTAAGATGGCGATTCTGAGTCTTGTCGGAGCGGAGATGAAGAATATGATCGGTGTAGCCGGGCGTATGTTCTCTACCCTGGGGGAGAACAATGTGAATATCGAAATGATATCGCAAGGTAAGCAATCACTGCAATAATCTATAACTTGACTGTGCTAATCATATCTTTAGGTGCTAGCGAGATAAATATATCCTGTGTGGTCGAGGCGTTCGAAGCAAATCGCGCGATGAACATCCTGCACACAAACCTTTTTACATTTTTAGAATAAGTCCTTGATTTGATATGGGGAATGCATGCAATCCGAGGACAAGGCGTTGAAGGGCTGGGTTTGTTGCATAGTAGTGTATCTCTTAAGGGGGAGCGATCGTGGAGAACTCCTGCCAAATCCATTGGTAATGCTAGACGTACTGTATTCGTACGAGCATTCAAATTTAGCGAGCAAGTCATCTAAAGAATTTAAAGTCGGTAGATCATATCTTACGTCCATGGATTCGTTTCCCTAGTCTACTTTGGAGGAAGGGTGGCTATAGCACAGCATATTTTCTGTACGACACTCATATCCGTTAAGAGACAAACATTACCAATGCTAATATCGATAATTGGGGAAGGGCCGAATAATTCTGTGAGACAGATAAAATAGCAATAGCTATCCATCCCGGCTGTGCCTCATCAGAGGTGTCTCCTTGGCCAGCAACTTGCATACCACGAATACTCCATAATAGCACCATTATCTAACGGCTACCTGTTTAAGCGTGCGATTCTGCCTGCCAGGGCTGAATGGACTGCAGTGCAACATCGGTGTCCTCAGAACCACCAATCCTAACGGGATGTCCCAGATGGCTGATGTCCATGCGTAATGGCACAGGTCATTCCTCAGCCACTGACGCATTGTTTGCCATCTATCCAGATCATCTGTATCTTGGTCACTGGCGCTTGTAGCCGATGTACGAGGGTGGCATAGATACCCGTGTGGCTCCAGTCCGCCATCTTTCATCGAATGGCACTAAGACAGACTCGCTGGCTCCTCTTAGTAATACATGTCCGAATATTTGAAACAGCCGATCTTTAAAAACTATTCGTCCAATCCACTCGCTTCCTTGAGCCAACTTTACGTCCCGGCTTGCCTGTGGATGGCTTATGCTACACACGCACTTGTGAGATGTATAACGCCCAGCATTGAACCGCACATCTTCGTATCAATTGCCATGTATAACGTGCCGAGCCGAAGTATGTATGACAGGAATACGTGCATGGTGCTCAGCCGTGTAATACGACGCACAGCGTTTCCTGGTAGATTGGAATATAGCCTTCGTACATACATACGTTTCGTGGATTTCATACTATAATGCCCCTGAGCATTTCATATTTGGTGACAATAATCTCACATAACCTCTCTTGCAGTCGTCTTACTAAGTTTTTGCAAAAAGATGGGTTGGGTTCGTGCCCGACCATCCGTACTAGAATATTTCTAACTTATCATAGGCCGAAAAAACCAATATGGCGATGGCGAAGAGTGTAGTCGGCCGGCGATTTAGACTTGAGTTTTCGGGCCACAAGTTCGAACGAAAGGGCACGAGGTTTCTCACAGAGGTACGAGCCGGGCTCGCTACATTCTTCGCCATGGCATACATAATCTCTGTGAATGCTGGTATAGTCTCACAAACCGGAGGCACATGCGTCTGCACTTCAACGACGGATCCGCTCTGCAAGGATGATCCGCAATATCTGCAGTGTGTTCAGGAGATAAACCTCGACCTTGTCACCGGAACAGCGGCAATATCAGCCATCAGCAGCTTCGCTATGGGGCTTTTCGCCAACATGCCTATTGCTCTGGCACCTGGGATGGGAATTAACGCGTATTTTTCGTACCAAGTCGTTGGTTTCCACGGAGAAGGCTCTGTCTCTTACCAGTTAGCTCTGACAGCAGTATTTGTTGAAGGGTTAATATTTGTTGGATTGACCTTGCTAGGAATTCGCCAATGGCTTGCGAGGTCATTGCCTGCGAGCTTGAAGATCGCTGGCGGTGCTGGAATTGGCCTGTATTTGGCACTGATTGGCTTAACCTACGAAGCTGGAATAGGGGCAATAACAGGAGGAACAGCGGATCCGCTACAGCTCGCAGGCTGCGTCCCTGAACTGCGTGACGCCGACACTGGTATCTGCATTGGAGGCAAGATGAGAAATCCAACTATGTGGCTTGGTATCTTCTGTGGGGGATTATTTACCGCCTTTTTAATGATGTACCGAGTCAAGGGAGCTCTTTGCTTCGGCATCCTGCTCGTATCAATCATTTCTTGGCCACGGAACACTGCTGTTACAGCTTTCCCAAATACAGAATTGGGCAACTTGAGTTTCGACTATTTCAAGAAGGTCGTCTCATTCCGACCTCTCAAGCACGTCTTGGCCGTGCAAGACTGGCACATCGGGGGCGCCCAAACTAAAGACTTTATGGTGGCGTTAATGACTTTCCTCTATGTGGATATATTGGATTGCACGGGGACCCTATATTCTATGGCTAGGTTTTGTGGCGTAATCGACGAAGATACGCAAGACTTCGAAGGATCTGCAGTGGCATATCTGGTTGATGCTTCGAGTATTTCGATAGGGTCACTGTTGGGGATTCCGCCCGTGACTGCATACATCGAGTCTGGAGCTGGCGTATCCGAAGGAGGGGCTACCGGGATGACTGCCTGCGTAACCGGACTTTGCTTTTTTATCTCCTTGTTGTTTGGACCTATTTTTGCCAACATACCTTCGTGGGCAACAGGGTGCACTCTAATGCTTGTGGGGGCGATGATGACACGTGCTGCTGTCGATATAAACTGGCGATATATTGGAGACTCAGTGCCTGCTTTCTTGACTATGGCAATCATGCCATTTACTTATTCCATTGCTTATGGATTGATAGTGTTAGTCACGTCCACTTTCAGACTCCACGGCCTTGAATACTGACAAGTGATAGTGGAATTCTCAGCTATATCATACTTAACGGATCCGCTTGGATCCTAAGATGGATAACTAATGGCCGTATAATTCCTTACGATTATGACCAGTCTGACTATTGGAGTCCAAGACCTGCTGGTGGCATCCTGCCAGGCTGGCTGAAACGGCTTGCACGAGGGAAACGGGACTTCTGGAGAGAGTATGACTACGATGACCAAATAGAGCAGGGCAACCGACACCACGACAGCCTCCCCACAAGCGACCAATATACGGTCTCCGGGTCACTTGAACGAAAAGCCAGTGCCTCCGGCGCTTTGGGAGTGGTAGATACCACTGACCTCAGCACGCTTGCCATGGCTCGACTTCGTGATAGTATCGGTATTACCACGAAACCAATAACCGGGCCATCCGTTTCTGAGAAGAATTAAGAGCTCGCGGGGGTAGAAGTAGATAAACGCAGCCTTGAAATAATTCAATAGCAGCTACTTAGTGCCAGCCAGAACAATCTCCATATAATTTGACAAGGGTCAGGGTCGTCATGCATTGTATGGTAGCGCCCTAGCGTCAATGGGGTCTAGTTCATGTCTGTAAAAGCTTAAACTTTAAAAATATCGGGCCGTCGTATTTCCGGTAAGCCTCGCCTTTCCGAGCATTTTTGTACTTAATCGATAACATACAACACCGCGCCCCATAGTCCAGGGGAAGCAAGAACGCAACCATGCCACGCGCCGAGGCAGGATCCACGAAGCAGCTCAACAATCAGCTTAAGTCCAAAGGGCTTCAGCGTTTAAGATGGTATTGCCAGGTGAGTTTAGTGTGGTGGCGCATCCAATTTGTATTTGAAATCCTAACAGTCTACCAGGTTTGCGAAAAGCAGTGCCGGGACGAAAATGGCTTCAAGATGCACACTCAGTCGGAATCTCATGTTAGGCGGATGCTGCTGGTTGGAGAAGACCCCAAAAAGTTCATCAACGACTACAGCAACCAGTTCCAGAGAGACTTCTTGCTGCTACTTCGAACATCGCATGGCGAGAAACAAGTCCAAATGAACCACTTCTACCAGGAGTATATTGCCAACAAGGAACATATTCACATGAACTCGACAAAATGGCCATCGCTCACAGAGTTTGCGAAGCATCTTGGCCGGGAGGGCATATGCAGAGTTGAGGAAACAGACAAGGGAATTCATATTGCGTGGGTAGACAACTCACCAGAAGCATTGCGGAGACAAGATGCCGTGCGGAAGAAGGAGATGCAGGACAAGGGCGACGAGACTCGTGAGCAGAAGCTTATCCGCGACCAAGTTCGGAAGGCCCAAGCGGATGCTGAAGCCCGCGGGGTCCATGACGAGGATGAAGGCGACAAAGAACTAAAACGCGTCGAAGGGGAGAAAATCAAGCTCAGTTTTGGGTCAAGGCCCCCGGCAGTAAATCCACCGTCAGAATTGGAGACACAAGGTCCGGCGACGAAAGGCGAGCCGTCGTCTACGAGCACAGTCACGGCCTCCAACAGCGGGGTGGCGAGTGGAGATACTACTTTGGCGACGGCCGAAGGTGACAGCACAGCAAACCCCGTCAAGGAAGATATTCCAAGCGCCCCCGCCAAAATATCACTGCAAATGGGATTCCAGAGCAAGCCTAAGAACGTCTTTGTGGCAGCTAAGAAGAATGCGTTAGGAGGAAAAAAGGTTGCTCAAATACAACAGCCCAAGAAGATGAGCGAGGCAGAGCGGATTATGAAAGAGGAGATTGAGCGAAAGAGAAATCGAGATGGTGGAGGCGGATTTGGAGGGCCAGCCCCGAAGAAGCAAAGGTTTTGAGAAGAGATATGATGATGTGGATATGAGGATAGGGCCAGATGGAGATGGACCTATCCAGGGGCGTTTGTATGTATGGGTTTATATGGCGTTTCAAGATACCAAGCATAACATGAATTATGAAAAACACTCAGGAGTCTCATTCTTGAAAGGAACTGGGCTCTAAAATCCGACTCCTTAATCCCATTCTTGCCCTGTGATTGACGCCGTAGCAATGCCGTTTAACCCAACCTATTTCCTGCGCCATGTAAAGAAGTCCCATTTGTGTTGTGTCTAATCCTCCTGTGCACTGCCATCGCGACTGCAAATCTGTTAGCCGTATCTTTGTTTCACTTATTCAAGATCTCTAACTTACGGAATATATCTGATCCTGGCTTCATTCTCCATCGTATCGACAACCTCCTCGGGTAAGATTCCAGACACCTTTGTCGCATACACGCCTCTTACGTAGCCATCAAGTCGCTGCCACTTTGCGACCCAGGATTTGCTTGGTTCTGCGAGTGTGATGAGGCCTTCGAAGACTTGCGATGTGCAGTCGGCAATCGCGTCCATGGAGCCCTGGAGACGCAGAAACTCCTCGCAGTTTGGACATCCTTCCTTGTGAAATGTCTAGAGCGCAAGGTTAGAGTGGTGGATTTGAGGCGAAAAGCACCCCAGACTTACAGATTGGGTCTGGACTATTGAACAAACCATGCATGCGCGCATGTTCCTCTGCTGCCCTGGGGGAATGTAACGAGTCGACATGGTGTATAATGAATTAAGATAGCTTAATAGTCTCGGTGAACACCTGCGCTGGTGGCTTTCCTGCGACACTCGTAAGAGATAAGGCACGGTGTTGTAAAAAAGCTGAAGTTGGTTTCGATCAATGAGGCTGAGGGTGGCGCTGGTTGATGCATACCAGTAGTAAGTACACTGCCACGTGACCACGCGTGCCTTGAGCTTGGGTTGGGATGGAGAGGCCGAACGATCGAACATTGGAGAATGCCTGGTCCTAACTGTTCCTGTTTCGCAAAACATTTTACTCTTTCTCATAAATTTCCGCCACTCCAGAAACATAAACCAGATCTCTTCAACGAATTTTATGGAATACAAATTATAGGCATTTAGTCTAGCCAAGAAGAACTCTCCCACCATGACTGCTGCTGATCCAGCAGCGGTTGCCCTGAAGGACCAGGGCAACAAGGCGTTTGCTGCGCACGACTGGCCAACTGCCATCGAATTTTACACCAAGGCTATTGAGAAGGACCCATACCAACCGACATATTACAGTAATAGAGCTCAGGTAAGTCACACCCCGCCTATCCAAGTGGTCGCATGACTAACCAGAAGACATAGGCCAACATCAAGTCCGAGGCATTTGGCTACGCAATTGCCGATGCGACGAAGGCCATTGAACTTGACCCCAATTTTGCGAAGGTATGAAGGACATATATTTGGTTTGGGTGCTGTTTCACTCATTGATATATATCTTATAGGCTTATTACAGACGAGCTGTTGCGTATTCCGCGATACTCAAACCTCGCGATGCAGTACGAGACTTCAAGGCTGTCGTTAAGAAGCTGCCAGGTGATAAAGATGCGAAGCTGAAGCTCGCAGAAGCTGAGAAGCTTGTACGTCGGGCCGCCTTCTTCAGTGCTATCGAGCTGGGAGAGGAACCTTCCGCGGCCGAAGGACTGGATATCCCATCTATGGTTGTCGACGCGGATTATGATGGTGCTCGACTTGGCGATGAGATGACCCAGGAATTTATTGATGACATGATCGAACGCTTTAAGGCTGGCAAGAAGATACACAAGAAATACGTTTATCAGATTGTTCTCGCTGTGAAGAAGATTGTGTACGACGAACCAACCATGGTAGAGGTGGACATCCCCGAAGATGCGACGCTCACTGTTTGTGGAGATACCCATGGTAAGGCAATCACCCTATATCCCTAAAACATTGTGCAGGTTGAACCCGAGTGCATTGTATTCACTGCTAACAATATGAAGGCCAATATTTCGATCTCATGGAGCTTTTCAGGTTGAATGGCTTCCCTACCGACAAGCATTACTATCTTTTCAACGGAGATTTCGTTGACCGTGGATCTTGGTCGACAGAAATCGCACTCCTGTTATACTCATATAAGTGGATTCGCCCACAAGCGTTCTTCATTAACAGAGGAAACCATGAGACGGACGACATGAACCGCGCTTATGGCTTCGAGGGCGAATGCAAAGCGAAATATAACGAGAGGACCTTCAGATTATTCAGCGAGTCATTCTCAGCGTTGCCGCTGGCTACTTTGATCGGACATGAGTACTTTGTCCTGCATGGAGGTCTATTCTCTGATGATAAGATCACCTTGGACGATATCAGGAAGTTAAACAGGCATAACCAGCGCCAGCCTGGCCAAGAAGGGCTGATGATGGAAATGCTTTGGACCGATCCACAAACCGAACCTGGCCGTGGCCCATCGAAGAGAGGTGTAGGAATGCAGTTTGGACCTGATGTTACGAAGCGATTCTGTGACAACAATAACCTCACTGCCATTATCAGAAGTCACGAAGTGCGCATGGATGGTTATGAGGAAGAACACAACGGGAAGTGCATTACAGGTATGCCGAAACTCCCCATTTTTATTGGATTATATTAATTGTGAATTCTAGTTTTCTCCGCGCCGAGGTACTGTGATAGCACAGAGAACAAGGGCGCATACATCAACATTGGGCCAGACTATAGGCTGGATTTCCACAAATTTGACGCCGTCCCTCACCCAGACATCAAGCCAATGGCTTATGCTCACAGCTCGTTAATGTCGTCGATCTGATCTGATTTGGGATTATCGAAGTCCACTGTTCCCTCATGAAATCATGCATAAACTTCAAATATTTTGGGAAGATATAATGGTAGCGTGGGGCGTTTTCGGATCATTCGCATTGCCGGAAGTTGGAAATGCACATATCATATACACTAGACTTTATATAGCCAGAATGTATAGTAGCCTTGCATCAACGTTGTAAATTGCTTGGGTATCGTTTGTCGTTTGCTGGTGGTTCATGTTGCCCACGTATCTTGAATCCCTTGAGAGGCAACCAGAGACCCTAACCAGTTGCCGCTGGCCTTCAACTTCCATGCCACCTTTGAATTGCCTTCACCCGTCCCAATCCATTGCCCCATCGCGGCGATGACGGCCCTCGAGTCTTCTCTTGGCACACGAATCCAGCAGCCTTTTTGGTCCACCTTGAGAATATCGACTGATATGGCAGCGCCAGTAAGCCCCAGAAATTGATTTAAGCCGGATGTGAGATGTGATCGAACAGTGAGTATGTCAAGATCAGACGTCGGTTGGCCATCTGAAATGTACTCTAAATAGGCGTATGAAAATGAAGGATTCTTGATAGCTTTGGTTGTGATATCGCAACCTTTCTTCGGCGCAATTGGTAGCTCGGTCCTACTTTTCGCGTCGTCCACGCTCGTCATCGAAATATCTTCTCGTTCTGTGTCACGGTTCATGCTGCTCTCTAAATTTGGAGCTTGAACACTAGCCATTTTGAGGGTTGTTTGTTATCTTTTTGGCTGAGATGAAGTTGACTGGATGCAAGGCTCTGTAAATTTAGCGTCAGCCTTGGATGATGCACGCATCGTCGATTTTAGAGCCCCAACCTTATATTCATTCCTACATGGCCACGACGGTGCCTCACCATTTGCAACACACCAGAGCACGCGAGTCCGTCACAACTTAGTAGAGTTCCTAGGGCTTTAGGACAACATGGCTTTGCCTCCTTCAAATGCGTTAGTGCGCCGACGGGCCGATACGAAGTTGATGCCGCCCCCGCCAAAGCGTATCAAGCGCCCTCAGAAAGTGCTGGACGAGGAGGCGTATACCGAAGGCATTTCCCACATCATCGCCAGAGACTTCTTCCCGGGGCTTCTCGAATCGGAAACACAGTCAGAATACCTCGATGCATTAGATTCCAAAGACCAAGTTTGGATCTCGAGTGCAGGGCGCCGACTGGCCCATGTCATGACGCCGGGGCGAAAACGAGGCCGTACAGGAACTTCAATACAAACAAGAAGCGGAGCGGAGACTCCTACCGGATATGCAGGAGATACGCCTATGTCTGTGGCGTCAGATGTTTCTGCGACATCAACACAGGCAGATGTGAAAGAAGAAGTTGATACGAATATGAGCTTGGACGCCTTTCAGTCTAAATACACCAGCGAGGACAACGAAAGTTTCTACAAACTACTCGATAAGCAGAATAAAGCTCGAGCCGAGAAATACGCATGGATGTGGAGGGGAAATAAGTTGCCATCTAAGCAGATGCTGAAACAGAAGGAGGTCGAGACAAAGCTGTTAACAAGCGGACAGTCCCTGGTCGACGATGGAGGCGAAAGGCAAAGATTGGCCATACGGGATGTTTCCGAGAAACCTGCCATGGTGGATACCTGGAAGTCAAAGCCAGATAATAACTTTATGTTCGGTCCTGAAGGAGTGGAAGACTCTGTCGAGACAGTGGTACAAAAGGCACAGACTGCTTCAAAAGCGGCTCCCAAGGGGGTCGTATATAACAATACCCGTATGCCTGGGCTGGTTACCGTGGACGAATCCCAAGTCCCACCATCACCATCACTCTCAGCGATCCAGGACGCTATCGCTGGAAGACCACGCCCTACCGACTCTGAGCCTGGCTATACTGGCAGTGAAACGCCACGTGTCAACGGCTATGCATTCGTGGACGAGGATGAACCTGAGCCGGAAGAGCGGAGCCAGTCGTCGCCCGCGATTCTGCTTGGGAAGGGTGATGCTACGCCAAATCCCTTTAAGATAAAGGAGCATAGCAAGAGGGAAGGATTGCATCACAGGATGGTTGATCGGGTCGCGAGAATGAAACGAGCATCTTCTCAAGCCGGCATGACAGGAAAGGTTGATGCGAGTCCAGTGCCGAAGTTTCCAAGCAGTCCACGGGTTGGAAGTGGCGGGTTAACTCCAGCAGCACAGCGCCTTTGGAGTAGAGTAGGGAAATCGGGGATGACCTCTCCAGGCTTTGGTAATAAGACTCCCGGGGCTACCAGGTCTACGTCGACGAACTTGAAGGCTAAGTGGACTCCAAAGTGAGTGAGGATCAAGGCAAATTGTTGATTATGATGGAACGCCTTATGAATATAAAATGATAAAATGGAAGCAGGGGTCACGTTCCCAGGAGTTAGCATACCTCCCCGGGCATTGAGTTAGAATGATAATAATAATAATACCAAGAAATTCTGGACGTTTCAAAGTATTTTAAATACTCAAGTTGTAAAACCAAGAATTCGAAGAATTCTTTTACATTAGCAATGCACTACAACCCTAGAGGCAACTGAGGATGATCCAAGTAAACGTAGTAAATACTTGAATTATGAACAAGAATTATTTAAATTTAATAGAGGATTTATTTGTATAAATACTTTGTATTTATACAAATAAGCCCTGAGAGAATGCCGTTTGCCGTTGGATCAAAAATGGCCCGTGCGGGAGTGTGTGTTTGTTCATGTGCGTCATTTGCAAGGGGACTGAACGACTTCATTCCTAGCAACAGCCCTAGCCCCCGACCACTCAGAATGCACGGGCTATAAGAAAATATCTTTGTGCGTCTAGCACTATGTCGGGGAGACGACTTCTCGATGCAGCAGCATTGTTCAATGCGTCCCGCGGCATTGCAAGGAAGCATGTAGCGTTGCGGCAGGAACAGTTCGATCGTTTTACCAAGACTTCAAGCATCGCCAAAGCCGTTAAATCAGAAGCTGCACGCTATACTGAAACCGCGAAGGCCGCTTCTTTTTTGGCATCACGATTGAACGAGGACAAGCCGCAATGGGCCTCAGAAGCGGCAGACTTAAACCTGGGCGACTCGGCACAGAAGGTTGCGCCTCATCCTGGCCCCGAAGGCGCCAAACCAAACGAAGCGCGGCATATTATACAAGAAGAAGCTAGCATCCCTAGTCGTCCGGATGGCACGATATCTCCAAGCAAGCCAGATATTGAGAAACTCGAGAGGGACCGTAGTATCTTGTCAGAACAACCCCCCAAGGCGGCAAATGCGCATCCTAGCCAGCCAATCGAACCCAGCCCTCATAGTCTGGATAATCACTTGACATCGGATGAAGCGAGACGATTACAACGGAGTTATGAGAATCAAGTTCCCTCATATGTCGCAGATGGGAAGGCCGACACTTCACGAAATGACACAGCCAATGGTTTTGACAACGATAGCTCCTACAAGCCATTGCAGTATAACTCACCCATTCTGTCTTCGTTGCCCAGGGTTAAGGTTCCGAAACATCCCAGCCATGTTCAAGCAGACGATGCGCACCTGAACAACCAGGGCTTAAACTCAGAGTCTTATTCGTCTCCTGTTCAAACCCCAACAGCCAGCGCAGTTGGAAAAATGGACACTCTCACAGAAGAAGAAGAGATCCCAGAGGGAATAAATACTGCGGTCTTTTCTAGCTCCCGCGTTGCTAAGTCATTGGGCGGAAGAACGCATACCAACGTTAGGAGCTCCGAGAAAGTTACTCCACAGCCTACCCCTACTCAGATACCTGGGGGGGTTCCTTCCAAAGCTGCTCAGCAACATGACACGTTAACTTCTGATGCCGAGGTTAGGAGTTCAGAGACAGTGCTGGAGCAGGAAGATGAAGACTCGCTGATCAAAGTAAGCACCGGCTCCACGCCCAAAACCAGGCGCGGGCGTCCGATAGCTAACAGACGCGCCCTAGATAATCGCAGAAGCTAGCGCACCAAAGGCCGTATACGAAATGCGAGAGTCTAAAGTTCCATCTTCCAGAATGGGGAGGTTGTGGAATTATGGCGGACTAGCAGCGGGTATGTTCGGTGGCGCTATTGGCGAAAGCCTTCGTAGAGTCACCGGCAGCGGTGGAGAGGGTTCATTCATGCTGAGCGCCGCGAACATGGATAGGCTAGTTGCCAAACTGTCTCGAATGAGAGGAGCAGCACTTAAGATGGGTCAAATGTTGAGCTTTCAAGATTCAAAAATGCTCCCTGGGCCAATCCAAGAGGTCTTGCTCAGAGTGCAGGATAACGCAGACTATATGCCCTCGTCTCAGCGGAATAAAGTACTTGCTGCTGATTTGGGTGCAGACTGGCGTACTTTATTCGACACGTTCGATGAGAAACCAATAGCTGCCGCCTCCATTGGGCAAGTCCACACTGCTACTTTGAAATCTACGGGAGAGCGAGTAGCTGTGAAAGTACAGTACCCTGGAGTCGCAGATTCTATAGACTCGGATCTGAGCAACCTCGCCGTGCTTCTCACAGCATCTCGGTTGCTTCCGAAGGGACTCTTCCTGGACAAGACTATCGCCAATGCGAGAATAGAGCTTGGCTGGGAATGCGATTATCTACGAGAGGCACAATGCGGCCGGCGATTTCAAGAATATCTTGCTGACGAAACCGACACCTTCATAGTTCCGAGGGTCATCCCTGAAGCTTCTGGGAAGCAAGTCATAACAATGGAATTTATGGAGGGAGTAGGCGTTACAAAGATCCAGGACCTCACCCAGGAGCAGAGAGACTGGATTGGCACGAATATTCTCCGCCTCTGTTTGCGCGAGATCACAGAGTTCCGGTTCATGCAAACTGATCCTAACTGGACCAATTTTCTCTTCAATGCCGAGAAGAACAAATTAGAGCTCTTGGATTTTGGCGCCTCGCGAGAGTATCCAGAAGAGTTTATTACGAAATATACACAGCTTTTAAATGCTGCGTCAAAGTCTGACGAGGAAACAGTACGCAAATTTTCGGTCGATCTTGGCTACCTCACAGGCCATGAATCTAAACCGATGGTCGATGCACATATTGCGTCCGTCATGACTCTGGCTGAGCCATTCCTCGCAACTTCTCCGGAGGTGTACGACTTCAGAGATCAGACTATTACCGAAAGGGTGAAGGGTTTAATACCTCTGATGATTAAAGAGCGGTTGGCACCACCGCCGGAAGAGACCTACAGTCTTCACAGGAAGCTGAGCGGAGCTTTCCTACTTTGTGCACGTTTGGGAAGTCAAGTTCGCTGTAGAGAGCTCTTCGTGAATAGTATGAACAAGGGCGGATATAATTAGGTTGTACAACACTGTAATAATACAGATGCATTGGCAAGGGTATGACAATATGTAGACATAAGTATATATTGGACATAGACAATACAATTCGACTCATAATCTAACGCCGGGGTATATATTTTTCCATCCAGAGGCGTACTACGAAATTCATGAGTAGTATGGTCAATTGTCTCCGCCAAAATCTCGTCTGGCATATGGAAGGTTCTTCTTTTCCTTTCCTTCCACCTTCTTCCTTCTCCTCTCGATAACATGGTCCAGTTGCTTCCCCTTGAGCGAGCTGTATTGCTCCATGATGAACTGCTTCTTCTGCTCGGCCTTCTTGAGGTAGAACGGCGTCTTGCCTTCCTTGACTAATTGCTTCTCTTCCTTGCGGTGCTTGTCCAGAATCTCGGACTCCTTTGCCTTCCTCGCCGCTGCCTTCACTTTAGATTCAAGCGAGTGAAGAGTACGCTTCATTTTTTCTTTCTCGTGCTCGTCCTTGATTTTCTTAATCTGCTCCTTGAGAGCCTTGACCTCGTCCTGCCTGTAGTCGTTCAAGAACGAGTAGGCCTTGTTTACTTTCGTGTCATCAACCTGCCCTACCGATGGATCAAATCTTGGGTCTCGGTAATCCCGCTTTATAACTGGAACGACGTCGCGCTTTCGTGATACTGCCTTCTTGCTTGAAATCTCTGTTGGGGCGTTTTTATTTGAGCGGCTAAAATCTCTGTGGTCTTTCCGCCCAGCCTTCCTTTCGGCTGCCTCATTGTTTTCCCATGGGTCATCGGACACTTTCTTGGGTCGTTTTATCTCCTTCCCGGATTTCCCTTTCGCTGACCGCTGTATAGACTCCTGCGCTTTGGCCAATGCGCCAAACGATATTGATGCTGCCTCGCCAGGCTCAGAGCCGTCTGATCCAGAGTCTCCCGCATCTCCCTAATACAATGTTAGAATATATTCATAAAGTATCTGAGTGAATCGGCTCACAGAGTCATCGCTTTCATTATTGGTAGCTGAGTTCTCATCTACACCATCCTCACTGCCACTGGCACCATCGTCTTGATCTGATGACTCTGAGAGTTCTTGTGGCTCCTCACTCGCATCTCTTCTAGCTCGGACTCGCCGTTGGAGCGATGACTCAAGGGCCTTGCGCTTTATAGAAGACATTGTTCAGGCTGCGAGTAATGTATGACCAACAGTGGGGTAATCTTCATCTTCAAAGGCAACCTTCATAAAAATTTAGTGGTCCGTGCATTGGACCTGATAGTATTAACGCTAGACTGGTTTGGGTCATATCTTAGGCGGAATAATGCGGCACAATCTTTATCGGCCACGGTTATTTCGACACTCATCGAGCTGTACTCAGCGGGAGGCGGAAAGTGAATTTCACTGGTGCCTGGACTCGCAGTCTTTTCAAATCGGGCAACCTAACGCATGAACACTAAGGCGCTCATATATAGAGCTGCTTCAACACCTGTTTGGAACTGCATCGAGGCGTCATCCAAGATTACTCTGACAAGCGCACACCGGCGACATAGCCGCTATACCAAAATGATTCCCGTTGGGATGAGGAAACAGGCCCATAAGGCTCTGCCTACATTCCAAGAAATGGCATCGCAAAGGATTGCCGTTCTAGATGCCGCGATTGCGGCTCTAAATTCGAGGGAAGACGCAAACTCCAAGAAACTCAAAAAGCTCGCACAACATCTTGCCGAAAAGGCCGATTTGGAGAAGCAGCTAAGCCAACCCCCCAGCAGTGAAGCCACTCGTGGCTCATTGATAATGTATGTGAATAACTGGCGGACGAACATGTCCTTATCTTACTCCTAGAAACTTTTCATCTCAGGCAATGTATTAACCTGGGGCTTGTTACAGAGGCGATGCGACTTCGATAGATTCTACAATGGCCACTCCAGGGTCAATACCCGGTGTTAAGAAACAGAAACTGAAGAAGGAAAAGAATCAAGAAGGTCCTAGTTCACAGCCAGTGAATCAAGGCGAAGGACAACTTCCACAGCCGATCCCGGAAGTACAAATTACCACGCGCGGACTACGATCACGAAAGGTCACAGCCACAACAACCACGACCGTGAAGACTACAGCTCGTAGAGAACCAATAGTCCCACCATCAGCCGGCTCCGGCGGCGTTCCCGACCCATCACCGGCATATCTCGAGCGCTCACTTCTTGCCCCTCAGCAAGCCCATGAGCCGCAGCACATCCTCCTCGTACTGGATTTGAACGGGACAATTCTCTATCGTCCGGACAGGAGGCGCCCCTCGCACTTTTTGGAGCGCCAGTCTACAGATTCCTTCCTCAATTACATCTTGTCCCGATTCCAAGTCATGGTCTGGTCCTCAGCACGCCTTGAAAATGTCCGACTCATGGCCGACAAGTTGTTTCCAAGGCGGCAATACCTTGTTACTGAATGGGGACGGGACCGTATGGGCCTAACCCCCGAAGACTTTGTGAGGAGAGTTCAAGTGTACAAGCGCCTCGAGAAGGTCTGGGCCGAACCGGGCATCCAGAGTCGGCATCCTCTTCAAGCGACGGGTGCGACGTGGGATCAGTCAAATACAATTCTGATTGACGATTCATTGGAGAAAGCCCGAAGCGAGCCGTTCAATCTGGTGGAACTTCCGGAATTTAAAGGCGACTCGGAACCTACTGACGTCTTGCAAGACTTAACGATGTATCTGGACGACATCCTAATGCAGAAGGATGTCAGCGCGTACATGCGCCAAAATCCATTCAAAGCAGCCAGCTATGCGGCCAGTTATGCGGCCAGTTGTGGAGCCAGTGATGGTGCCACTTCCGAGGGGGAATGATAAGGTTTACTTTTACAGCCTGTTGGAAAACGGCAGGCCAAGGGCAATAGATAAGCTGATGCTGGGCGTTTGTTAAAGTTACAGACAGGTGTGCTGGAGAAAAGGGCGAGTATGCCAGCAACAGGATCACTAGTGGGAGGAAGACTTGTACATTGTCACTTTGCTACAGAGATAAACTAGGACAGATAAACCATGATTCATAATTGTGTATAGCATTGCGTCATAAAAGTAGTCTAAGCTACAATCATTGACAAGTCAACAAAATTACTTGCGATATGTCTACTTGAAGACCTTTCCGTCGGCCCATGGGTACTCCTTGCCGTTGACGACAACGGGCTTCTCCCAGGTCCACTGCTCGTTGACGAACTCGCGGTCCTCAGGCTTGGAAGCATCAAGCTTGGTGAACTGGTAGCTCTCGTAGTCAGGAGCGACATTGAAGCAAGGGAAAGCATCCTGGCCACGAATGAGGAAGGCACCCTTGATCACGGAGTCGTTGGCAGTGCCGTACACCGAAGCACAGCCGAAAATGTACTTGCGCGAAGCCTCAAGACGAGTGAAGAATCCACCGATCAAGTTGGCGGTCATGAAGACCTGGGTCAACTCGTCGTTGTACTTGTAATCGACAGCCCAGAGGGAGTACTCCTCAGGGTTGTAGTTCTCCCAGAACCACTTGAGGGCAACTGGAGTGTCGAGGTTGGAGTACTGACGCTTCCACTCATCAATGGGAATAGTGGGCTTGGCGAGAGCCTCGCAAGGGTGCTTGGCCTTGGGGGCCTCAACCACTGGCTCATCCTCCTCGTCATCAACCTCCTTAGCCTTGGGCTTAGCAGCGGCCTTTGGTGCCTTAGGGGCAGACTCAGCCTTCTTTGGGGCGACGTTCTTCAGGGTTGGCTCATCAATGAAGTTAAGCTCACCAGCAACGTTGGTGTAGATTGGCTGGTTGTAGACGGTCTCGTACCAACGGGTGACGTTGGGGTACTCCGCGCGCCAGGCCTTGTCGAAGAAGAACTGGAAGCCACGGGAGATGAGAGCAGTGCCGAAGAGATCGGCCAGAGTGATGCGCTCGCCAGAGAGGTAGGTGTTGTTGGCAAGGTGGGCCTCAATGACAGAGACAACCTGGAGAACCTTCTTCTGGGCATCTTCAACGTTCTTCTTGTTGTATGGGACACGTCCCTGGAGAGGCTGGAACCAGCTGCCAAGGCTTGGGAGAACCTCGGAGTTGAAAAACGACATCCACTTCAAGATAGAAGCATAGTCCTGCTTGGTCTTGCCAAGAAGGGTGGTCTTCTCGTTCTGGGAGGTGACTATGAATTGTTAGCAGAAGTTCATGAACGCTGCGTCATTTTGCAAAAAAAGTAAACAATTTGTTGTTATGCTCAGAGTCTAATTAATAAATTACTCAACACGGAGGATTAAGACAGGGATAAACTGTTGACAATGTTCTTCATCATAGCATAGTGTAAATAGCGGGGTAAAACAGATAAAATGAGCTTACTGTAGATGGCAATGGCGATGCACTCGGAGAGGACAAAGCCATCGGCACCAACGAAGGTTGGGATCTTGCCCAGAGCGTTGATCTTGAGATATTCATCGGAGACACCCTGTCTAGGATCCTCGTTGACAATCTCAAGTTCGATGTTGTTGGCCAGAGCAACCGCCTGGATGGCAGTGGACCTTGGGTTTCCCTGTTAGATTGTTGGTCAACTCAATCGAGAGGACTGCGATGGCCAAGAGGCATCTTCACTTACCTCGGAGGTGTAGAGCTTTCCAAATGCCATTTTTGCGGTTATGGGAAGTGATCAGTTGTGTGGATGAGGAGGAAAAATAAGAACAAATTGCCGCAAAACTTTCCATTTTGTGTTTCGCACTAGCGCCAACACTAGCGAAACAAACGACATAATCACGTGATACGAAATATTTCGTGGTTTCGGCTCAGCTCTCGAAATGGAGAAGTTGACTGTCCAATATACCCGCCAATTCAATTCCCAACCCCAGGGCGGCGCTTCAAAATGAAGGCAGCTTCGCTCCCAGGGAGATTAGTGCGCTCGTCGCAAGTCTGCTCTTCGGCAAATGTTTTCAGGGCGTTTCCCCGACAGCGACATGGCCTCCAAGCTTCTGCTCGACACTCATCCACCATATCCGACCCTCCAGTAGCCGCGCCTCAGATAGATTTTGCCCAGATGTCCAGACACAATTCAAAGAATCTCCACGCCCGCGTTGTTCCAGCTTCGCCTTCCTACTTCACAGGCCTCCCCCAGTTTATGGACAAGCTCCTTAAGCTCCAGACCCTGCTCCGCAAGAACGAGACACTCCCTGTTGTCAAGCCCGGACAAGCGCCACGAGTAGCATGGCAGACATTGGAGTCTTACCGGTCTGCACTGGGCGAACATGTGCGAACTTCGAAATACCAGAAGGTCATTCAAATACTACACCGACTGAACCATATCCATCCGACCCTGAAGACACCGGAAGTCATCGCAGCAATAGAAGCCCACAGGCGAACGATTGACCCGTTCGCAAACATTGCCAAGCCGATCACCATAGACCGATTTGGCAGAGCACTTGGGGTTGGAAGACGTAAGTCCTCCACGGCGAGGGCGTGGCTTGTTGAGGGTAATGGGGAGATTTTGGTCAATGGAAAGACGTTGGTGGAAGCATTTTCAAGGGTCCACGATAGAGAGAGCGCTATTTGGGCGCTGAAGGCGACGGAGCGGATAGACAAGTACAACGTGTGGGCCCTTGTGGAAGGTGGAGGAACGACTGGGCAAGCTGAGGCTTTGACATTGGGTGTTACGAAGGCCCTGCTCGCACACGAGCCGTTATTGAAGCCAGCGTTGAGGAGAGGTAAGCAAAATATCCCCCGAAATACTCTTCTGGTCGTTAAACAATGTACTAATTCTTCCTCGCAGCTGGTTGTGTCACGCGCGATCCGAGAAAGGTCGAGAGGAAGAAGACCGGTCACGTCAAGGCTAGGAAGATGCCTGCCTGGGTCAAGAGATAGTTGTGGGGCTCATGTATTGTATTATATCTGTACACTCACGAAATATAGAATTTACCATTTCTACTTGGCTTGGGGTAACTCTGGCTATTGGAGCTGCTCTGCCTGACAGAAATCTCCCGTGCCAGGTTATTACAAGTCTTGCTTTGATATTTTGAAGCCCAGATTTTATGCCATGACCTTCATGAAGTCCAAATGACCCGCATCCAGGCCAATTCCAAGAAACGGGATAGGCATGGGATTTATGATTATATGTATCACCACGTCCTCCAGTGAGCACCCATGTTCCATCTTGTGTTAGAGCGAGGGAGCTGATGCGGCGAGAGAGGGGGAAATAGATCATGTCGGCCAATGGCAGGGGGGGTTCGATGGTGGTGTTGCACGGCTGGGCGATGGTGTTTGGCGTGTCTATCAGAGATAAAAACCGATGTTGCGTAACGGAACGGGGTTATTCGAGGAGAGGCGAAGGGGTGGGATTCAAGTCTTCCATCCCCCTTCTTGTCACCGATATCTTGTTATTGGGATCCGCCATGGGACGTTATATACATGTTGTGAACAGTGAGTGTCTCTGTTTCTCTGGTACGAGGACCTGGCGCGGTTGATATTCCGTCCGTTTCTACCCGCCGCACCGCTGTCGATGGTAGGTATGCTAATTTCTCTTCGAACTGAATTTCTTGACCTCGGCCTCGTCCTAAATGATCTATCCTTCTTCAAACGCCCGCACTCCAAACCCCCACCCCAACGCCATACCGTCCCAAAAATCAACCCCCTTCGAAGGACGGACTACCGCTTCCATATGCGTGCCTTCACAGTGTCATGCTCATTCCACCCTTTCCATTCACGATGCCCATTCCATAGCCATTGTGTTGACTCCTAGCCGTTCCCCTCGCATTACTCCCCCTTCTTCCGCCTGCCCTTCTTCTTCGGTTTCTCGTCGGAATCGCTCCCGTCCTCCTCCTTCGTCCGCTTGCCCTGTCCCGCATCGGGGCCGTCGGCGATCTTACTCACGATATCGTTGAGGAAATCGAATTGCTCGTCAGCCTCGATCGCTTTCTTGAGGTGCACGGCGGTCACGCGCTTCGAGTTTGTGCTGCGCGTCAGGGAGGCTGATTTGGTGACGAGTGAGATCATGAAGAGTTCCAATGCTTTAGCTGGTGGAGTGTTAGTCACTTGTATTTCATCGTTTGGGAGTAGTTGGGGGGTGAGAGTGAGGGTATGGCATGTGAGATGGGGCACGTACAAACTGCAACTGGTGTGACCTGGGCCACCTTGCCCACCTCCTCATCAGCCTGCATTATCCGCTTTATCCTCGCAACAGGAAACTTCGTCTTGATCTCAATACCCTGGCTGGCTCCAAGGTGCGGTTTGACATCCTCGCTGATGCGAGGTGCTGCGCCGACGCGCTCACGCTTCACGCGTCCTGTCATCGTGTCGTCCCTGGTCTCGGATTTGATGTGAAGTTGTTCGTGTAGTTGCTGATGCGGCGCCTGTGGTGGTTGCGGTGGGGGTGGTTGATAAGTAAGAGCTTGTTGGGGGAGTGAATATGACTGCCGTGAGTAATTCTGCGGCGGTGAGTGCGCTTGTGAATATGGCAGTGTTGGAGCGTGGTACGCCGGGCTGGTGTACTGCCCTCTCGGCGGCTCAAACGTATGTGTAGGAGGTAGGTCGGGGATGGGCGGCTGGTAACTCGAGTTCCGGCGGCTGTCTCCAAAGCCCTGGTACTGCTGCGGCGAGGGGGGAACCTGGTAGCCTGAGCTGGACGAGATGCTGCTGCTCTGGGGGCTCGTGAAGTCCGGCAGCCGCGGTGAGCGGGGCGTGTAGGCGGAGGTGGGGGGTTGGTGGTGCTGCTGTTGCTGTTGTTGGTGCGGATGCTGCTGCTGCACAGGCGTCGTCGTCGAGGACAGGAAGGATGAGAGGTCGGGAGATTGCGGTGCGTAGGTACCGTCGGCCGGCATATTGGGGGAAGGAGAAGGGAGCGAAGCAGCGGCAGGGCAGGCAGTCAAGTCAGGGCCCGGAAAAGTGAGAAAGAACGCGTCCGTGGGTGGTGCGGAGTGGGGACGCGGGTGGCTTGTGGCTGGTGCGCAGGAGCTAATGCAGCTCCAAGTTGCTGTGGCTGGTGGGGAGGTTGCTGTGGCTGGTTTTGGGGGGGGGGGGTAGGGGGTATATGTTTGTATTTGGGTTTGACGTTCAGTTCAGTGCAGTAATCGTACTGGCTGACTGGGGCTGGCAAGATGATTTTGCTCAATCGGCGGTGCCCTCAGCGTCTCGACATGCCAATTGAGCCCGTCGCGGTCGTGCCAGGTCTCAAAGTGTCGTCGCGGTCGTGTCGGTGCGCGCCGACGTCGACAAGAATAAAAAGCGGCAGTCACGTGATTGGCTTTCGTATTGGTATTGGTTGTGGCTGGATTTTTGGGGATTTGGAGCCGGGAGGGTGCTGCATTATTATATGCTAAGGACCATCGACCGCGAACCCCGCGCTTTAGGCTACTTTGAGTTAAACGCCGATTCAACTGTTGCACGAAACGTCACCATCTTATTTCTACAAGGGGGGGAACTAATTTCATAAGTTGCCCATTCATCGTCTGTCAACAATCATCTATATATCCCTACAATGGCGTCATCATCAACATCGTTGTTAAATTGCCTTGATGATCCCATCGAACCCATCCCATTCTGTGTTTCGCATTCCATGTCTCATCCTGGTCCCGTTGAGTGATGATGACAAAGAGCCTGCCAGAGACCACCTAGAGTCCGAAGCCCGACCTTGCGTTTGCGGTTTCTGCTCTACATCGTGGTCGCGTGAAGGAGTAACTTGATCTAATCTGACAACACTTCTGCCCCTATCGAGAATATTGAAAATATTCCGGGGTCTTTTCATACTCTTCGTTTGTTGTTGATGTCGGCTTTATGGGCTCGGCGCGATCAAAGCGTGAGGCCCCCTTTGTCAAAAACACCTCAGATTTCTGCCTTGAGCACAACCGCGGATACCAAAAAGGATGGCCGTTTAAGACAACATCCACACGTATTTCCCGTCCCAAATGCAGTAAATCAGGTTGACAGCTTGTTTGCTTTATCAATATCTCATCGTTTGGCAGGCAAAACATGCCAATGTTCTACGTCTTCGCCGTTACACATGCGAGTCTGTTATGGAAGCACCCATACTTTTCTATTCTCCCCTAATTCGACACCATTAACGTTAAAACCGAACACTCTCAGCCAGAGGAATAAAGAAAGGTGTGCTATCTACTAGGCATCTATATGAAGATGGATTCCCATTTCCACGAGAACCACGATTATGTTCCTTAGATATTAAAAGAGCCATCCTCGGAGAGCATTTCCAGCTATCCTGAGCATATTCCTTCAAGTCATCCTCCCTCCCAATCGGCCTAGCACCAGTAATACGCCACCGAAGACCTCAAGACACAGGGTCGCCTGGAAGCTAGCAGAACCCAGCTCCTGCCCGCGGTATTATCTACCCCGCGGGCAGGATAACCCTCATGCTTTTCGGCCTTTGTCTAGATATCCCACGTTCTCTCTGGTCAGGGGCTCGCCGTACCATGGCCTTTCTTCGTAGCCGGTAGTGAGTCTACCTTTGGGGGCTGTGCCCCGAAGTCTTCTGCTGCCTCCTTGCTTCTGTCCGGCTTGAGGTTCTTGGATCGTGCGAGACGTCTTCTGGGTAGGCGTGGGTTTGAGGCCAAGCACTGAAACCAGGACGCTTGAGATGGAGTAAACAACGCCTCCAGCCAGGAGCCCGACTATAGAAGCAACGCCGAAGTACATGTAAAATATCTGTGAACGAGTTAGAAATGGCTCACTTCTAGATTACTCCGCAGATACAGCAGCAGTATAGTACCAGTACATACCTCGAGATTGCCAAATAGGGACAGGGGAATCAAAAGCACGTGAGTGATATAGCTGGCGAGGTGGATAAGAGGCGCGGCTATCACGAGCACGGTGTTCAGGATGCCAGTGGCGATTTTAACGACAGGAAGGGTGCTGTAGTGGAAGATGGACGCTGATACGGTCTTCCATGTCGTCGGCGGTGGGATGCCGGCGATGCGGTCTAATGCCTCCATTGAGCTCCGAGATAGGTGTGATGTCATATATGTAATTGGGCCTATGCGATGTGCATCACTTCCGCGGCGCAGAGACAGAACAGTCCGTTCTGTTGCGGATATGTGATTGTTGTAGAGGGATGGAGATGACCAGGATATGTAGGCTTCCAAACACGTGAATTGTGAGATGTGAGTTGTGATGCTGCCCCCCCAAAGTCCAAAGTCCAAAGTCCAAAGTCCAAAGTCCAAAGTCCACCGCGTATACCACGTACTTTGTTGATGGCGAGAGTGCCGCGATCACCGTCAATCACTGGGCCGGGAACCACAATAGCAGTTCATTTATACCTGTAATCCTGTCCAACGTCTGCGTGCCAACAAGTACTTCCGATCCACACAGTGGGGGAAGAATAGTAGCCGGGCGCTAAAGAGGATAGCCTGGCGCACTGTATATATCCAACCTCTCCTCTCCAACCTCCGATACCGTTTTGAAAATCACCAACCTGTTCGCATTCGCCCATATCGCTCACGTCGCTGTACTCATCTTTTGAACAACCGTCCATCCCAATTGCTTCAGATTTGTACAGTACTGTAGAGCAGCCCCAGACCAGCGAGAAAGAAACTACGCCCCCGGGGAAACAGCTCACGGCTCACAGCTGACGGAGCTGTTGCATTGCACTGCTACTCCCAGGCTTCACCAGCAAATTCCACAATACAGCATCCAAAAAGTCACGACCACCCAGAGCCTTCTAGAATGACCGTAACTAGAGGGTGAAAAGAAAAAAAAAAATATATATATATATAACATCATTATACCGCCATCGTTTATATTATTATACCAGCCTGAATCATGGGTAATAACCCGTCGGCCCCTCCGAAGTCGAGCAGCGCATCGCCTGCCCACGGCCAGTCCGTAGGATCAGCCTCGGATCGCCGTCGCGAGCCAAAACTAAGAGACACGATACAATCACAAAGAGGCGCCGCACCGCCTGAATCTTCCCAGGTACAGGCACGTGGCACAACGGTCCCTCATCGGACTCGCAACGCCCAATCCCAACATGCGCAATTCCACAACAACGGCCAGTACTCGCACTCGCCATCGCCAAAGGAGAATTCCATCCCTTCTTCTACTTCTGCCTCGCAACCTCTACCCCAACAAACCCCTCCAAGCAAGCCGCCGCTCACGCTCTATGACGAACCAAGTAAACCCGTCGCTGTCCCGCAACCTGTGAATGCGGCCGTGCCAGCCACGCCGAGTGAGAAGTCGCCCTACTCAGCTTCGCAGAGCGATCAGTCTGGGCTCGCCACCGACATCATGTCCTACCATCTTACCAGACCGCCACGTCTACCGCTGCCCATCGAGGAAGAAGTCCACACACCAGGGTCACCCATACTTGGCCCTGCGAGTTCACAAGGTCCGGTGTCTCTCCACGGCAGTGAGGGCCTCGCGCGCCCGCTATCTGCTCTGAGCAATACAACCGAAGATGATGAAGGAGACGAACTGCCCATTGACAGGACGAAGCCAGTTGTCCCTACTGAATTTCACTGGTTCGGACCCGCAGAGAAGGTATACGTTACGGGGACAATTTTCCAGTGGAGCCGAAAGTCAAAGCTGTATCCGATGTGAGTCCGAGTTCATGCATAGCCGATTATAGCCCTTATCGGCGCATTCTATTTAATAAGCAAACCCGACTGACGTTACTCAGACCTGGAAAGAAGGATGCCTTTTCGGCCATTATCCATGTTCGGCCTGGCACTCACCATATCCGCTTCATCGTCGATGGGAATATGCTGATATCCTCAAATCTTCCGACGACTGTTGATTTCGGCAATAATCTCGTTAATTATATCGAGGTCAGCGCCGATGATCTTCCCAAGGACTCACAGGCACAAGGACAAGCACAGCAATCGAAATCGCAAGAAGGCCGTCAACCGCGGGAAGAAGCGAAGCCTGCAGAGCAGGGGGCTGATGCGAAACAACCGCGAACGAAGCCTGTCCCTCCCCAAGAACACTACACATCTACCGTACCCCAATACCTACTTGATCTCGACAAGGCCGAGGACTCTCCTGCGTATCAGTATGCAGCCAGCGCTATTGTCAAACTGCCTACCCCGCCGAGTCTTCCGGGCTTCCTTGGGAAACCAATTTTGAACGCCCAGACGCCAGTGAAGGATGACAATAGTGTGCTGAATATGCCCAATCACACGGTGTTGAATCATCTGGCGACGAGCAGCATCAAGGGCAATGTGCTCGCTGTGTCTGCTACCACGAGATATAAGCGCAAGGTAAGGTTCTTTGTCCCCGATGTCTAACACCGTATTAACATTGATTTAGTATGTGACGACTATAATGTACAAACCAACATCGGATGATACCACGTGAACATATTAAAGCTATTCATATAGTAAAATCAACGAGCTATAGATGGCATATGTTCTCCATGCCGAACAGATGCGGTTGCAATGTTCTGCTTTAGCTATCAGCTAAGGAGTCAGCGAAGGTCGAGACACGGCTAATAGATAGCACTGGCCTTTCTTAAAATAGACCAAGTTACGCCAGTCCAGTGGATTCAATCTCTCCATTTAACAAAAACCTCATCTGTCCTAAACCGCTGCGTACACGTGCTCTCCTCCAGCGGAGTAGTGAACCCCGTCTCGTACGCCAGGAGACCAGCATGGGAAATCATAATGCCATTATCAATGCAAAACCTCTCATCAGTCGCAAACACACTCCCCCCCCTATCCCTCGCCATCAACCCCATCATCTCCTGCAGTCTCTCATTACACCCCACCCCCCCCACAATCAACACCTGACTACTCCCCACATGCGCCATCGCCCTCTCCGTAATCTCCACCAACATCGCATACACCGTTTCCTGCAGACTAAAGCACAAATCCGCCGTCGTAATAGCCTTCCCCGTAGCCTCATCCCTCGTGTCCGGATTCACCACCAGATTCGCGGCTAGAATATCGATACTGGCTAAGATCCCGGAAAACGAGCAGTCCATCCCCTTAACCGCGTACGGCAGGTCCACCAACACGCTCCCCTTCTTCGCGAGCTGCTCGATGTTATACCCCGGCGCAGGGTCGTTGCTGATCTCCAGCGTTCGCGCGAATCGGTCGAGACAGTTGCCGACAGCGATATCGAGCGCTTCACCGAAAATCCGATATCGCTGCTCCGCATACGCGATGACCTGCGTGTTCCCCCCACTCACATACAACACGACCGGATTCTGCGCCCCCGTAATCTCGCGCCCCATCTCGATATGCCCCACGCAATGGTTGACGCCGACTATGGGCTTATTCCAGAGGAGTGCGAGCATGCGCGCAGCGATCGCGACGGATTGCAGGGGCGCGCCCATGCCGGGGCCTTTGGTGTAGCAGATGCAGTCGATGTCGGCGGGCTTGAGGCCCGATTCGGCGAGGGCGCGTTTTACGAGCGAGACGACGTGGGAGCGGTGGTGGAGGGCGGTGTCTTTGGGGAGGAAGCCCGTGCCGGGGGGGGAGACGTAGGTGTGCCGGAGGTTGGAGAGGATCTGGGCGGGGGTGGTGGGGGAGGGGTGCGAGATGATGCCCACGCCGAGTTTGTTGGCGCTACCTTCGAGCCCGATTGCGTAGCCCATGGTTGTGGATGCCCCGAGTCGGCGGGGGGAGGTGGGTTGTTTGGCAGGCGGTGAGAAGTTGGGGTGGTGGATGTTTGGAGTGGTTATGTTTTACTTGGATCTTTATTTTGAGGCGTGATATGGGAGTCGCCGCAGTAACTTATGTCCAAGTGCCTTATTTAATCGATAAGATAAGCGTGTAGGTCCTACGGCGGCGGGGTCAAAAAGCTAGCCTTTTTTTAGTGCCTGAGGCTTGCATTTCGGGGAATGCATCCCGCCGGATGATGGGTTCGCCGCTAAGTGGCACTAAGCCCCGGCCACAACAATATCTGTGTATAGCTTTGCCTATAATCCTCTGCTTCCGCTCTTTTTTCCTTCTTCAGAGATTTGCTGTTACCAGTGCCAACGAGGCTCCCATCTTCCAAAATGGATGATCAGTTCGATTCGAAAACGGAAGCCTTTGTGAAATGGTTAAACCATGTCGGCGTCCGGATCAGCGCAAAGGCTGAGCTTACTTGTTTGAGAGCGGATGGTCGAGGGAGAGCATTGGGTATGTGGCTTCTTTGACGATGTTTCCCAACACGCTGCGATTATTGCATGCAATATGATAAAAATCTCGCTACGGGACATTATCATATTGGTTTTCTTGTTAAGAATTCTGGCTAACAATTTTCTCAGTCGCCAAGGGCGATTTTGCAGAAGACGAGTTGATCTTCAGCGTCCCTCGAACGAGCACCTTGAGTGTGAAAGCGGCATTACCGGAAATGCTATCGGGAAGACAGGATATTTCGCCGGAAGATATTGAATCTATGCCTGGTTGGGCGGTCAGTCGAATTTTATGTGTTCTCTGCTTAGAAGCATTGTGCTAACATTAACAGGCTCTGACCGCTGTCATCATCTCAGAGGGATTACGCCCCGAATCAAAATGGGCACCATATTTCAATGTCCTCCCAACTAAACTCGACAGCCTCGTCTTTTGGAGCCCCGAAGAGCTCGCCGAACTTCAAGCAAGTGCCGTTTTGAAGAAGGTTGGCAAAGACAAAGCCGAGGAAATTTTTCACCAGAGTATTTCGAAGGTGACACCTGAAGGCACCGACGTCGACATCTTTCACCGGGTTGCTTCGACTATAATGGCATATGCCTTTGACATCCCTGATATTGAGCAGGAAGATGAGGAGGGTGCAAATGAAGACGACCTTGTCGATGATGATGAACAAAAGACGTCCCTCGCTATGATCCCTTTGGCCGATATGCTGAATGCCGATGCCGACAACAATGCGCGTCTGCATTACGACGGAGAAGAGCTGGAGATGAGAACTATAAACCCCATCAAGACTGGGGAAGAGATTTTGAACGATTATGGTCAACTGCCTCGTTCTGATCTCCTGCGCAGATACGGTTATGTGACGGACAAGTACGCTACTTTCGATGTCGCAGAGATTTCAACGTCTACCATCACCGACCATATTTATCAAGATCTTGCAGGCGAGCTGAAGGTGTATCTTCGCGCTGGTGAAATAGAGGCGCGGCTAGAACTCGCCAGGCGCGAAGACGTCTACGAGGATGCACACGATGTCGGCCACGCCACTGAAGAATGGCCATGCATATCTGATGAGCTTGTGGCCCTCGTTTATCTGCTTCTTGTCGGCGAAGAGACTCTTGCTGCAATCCAGTCTTCAAAGATGAGTTTTCCTTCTCGATCAAAGATGGAGACAGAATTGGTCGGCAAGGCGTTGCAACGTATCCTAGAGCGACGGGAACGAGAATACGCCACTACAGTCGTTGAAGATGAGAATCTGCTCCAATCGGGCAACCATTCAAACCGAGTCAAAATGGCCATACAAGTGCGAATGGGAGAGAAGGTAGTCCTAAGGGAGGCAAAAAAAGAGGCGGGAAATTTTCAAGGTGACAACAAGCGAATGCTCGGGAGGGAAAAGAGAGAGAGGGAAGACGATGAGCACGTTTCACAAAAGAAAAGCAGGCACAGATAAGTTAACATTATTTTTGTCACAAGCTATCTCAAAGAAGACACAGGACATCCGTCTCCTGAATCATTTCATCTTGTCGCTTCTTCCACATCTCTTATAGTTGACCGCACGCTAGAGTACATACCCTTCCTCTTGGTCAGGGAGAAGGCGATCTAAAATCAACAAAGGTTCGACGCAATGCTAGCCCAAACCAGGGCAACTCCGAAAAACAAAGGCCTATATACACAATCAAGACTACCCACAAGTCCGATACACCTGAGAATGTCGATTCAGGTTGGTTTTTGAGAGGGGAGAGAGATTGAAGGACGGTTTGCAGGATTCGACGCTGTACTGTTTGCGACAGGGCCGTTGGCGCCAGCGATTTCCGGAGGACGTCTGTTCCTGTCCGTGTATGGGATAGTAGCTCTGAACTTTAATGCATTGGTGTCGTACGGATCTACATCATACATCGGAGTGTCGTCATCGTCATCCTGGTCATACTTCCATCGGTCAGAGCGAGAATCAGTCGGACCTGCTGGAGGCGATGGTAGACCCCTTCTGTCAATCCACAGCCGCCCAAGACGACCGATACGCCTACGATACGAAGGCAGGCCATATGGCTCCTCTTCTGGTGGTGGCGAGAAGCCCCGAATCTCTCTGGGTTCCAAAGCATTCTCGCATGACTCTTCGCTTACCGATGCAGGTGGTGTCATCGGGTACTGCGTCATAGCAAGGCGGAAGCTGGAATCTGGTGGCGGAGTGCGAGCATCGGAGAGTGGTTCTCTCGTCATGTCGATATGGTTTTGGTTCCACCTCTGGTGTTGCTGTATCTTTGAATCGATCTCCATTTGAAGTAAGTTCTCCTTCTGGGCGAGCACGTCGGACAGGAGAGTGAGATCGGCCTCGATTATGCGCCCATCAGTTCTACTACTGGGAATGCGGATCTGGGTTCCAGGGGTACGTTGAAGTTGAGGTACCTCGACGGGCTTCCTCTTCTGTGGCTGTTGGATGATGTTAGCAGTGCTTCTATTACTGGCTCGACAATGTAGGTCACATACCTTTTGGTTAATGAGGACTTCGTCATCGACCTTGATGCCGAGTCTCTGTCTGATCTCCTTGACCTTGCCACGTTGCTCAAAGATCGAACGATCAATGACGAGAAGGTCTCGTTTGGCATGTTCCCTTTGCAGAGACATGAGAATGAGTTGTCGTCCATCCTCCAATTCTTTACGCAGCTTGCGTAGCTTATCCGTGACTTGGATATCTCGTGCCCTCGTCTTACGGGTCTGGCGAACATCACGGCGACGGAAGCACACATATGGATCTCCGTCGTCACTGTCCTGATGAAGTTCAAATTTCAGAGTCGGCTGAAGTGGCCGATTGCTGGAGCATTGCCTCCTTGTCTTCCAATAATCATAGATATCCTTGGCAAAAGCTTGAGCTTTCTTATCAATATCCTGCTTCAGGGCAAATGCCATCATTTCAAACCCTGCCACAGTATTGTCAACTGCGGCGAATGGTGTTTGGCGATCAGCAGTGGTCTCAAAGGCTTCCATGATCTTCTCGAAGTCATCCTCAGAGCATTGGCCCGTCGGGGGCTTCTTTTGGTTGTAGGCTTTGAGGAAGACATCGTCGTCGGTGGTCATGTCATATTGACAACCAGTACATTCTTCTACCGTTTGGGAGAAGCGAATGTAAGACGAAGACTTGGAGAATTTGAAAGCATACAGCTCATCATAGTTGATGTCCTTGGTTTCCTCTGATGGAGGTGCTGGCACTATCTTCTTTGCTTCCTCCTTGGAGCCACGCCCGAGGGCAGCGGCCAAGGCCTCTTGGAGATGGTATTCCTATGAAAGTAAGTAAAGGTATTGAAGACATTGCCAGGCAAACTCGTGGAAAGATTGTAATATGCGCCACAACAGTTGTGGAGGAGGAAAGGCCATAATGATATTGCCCATCGTAAAAGTGAATACGATCACGTGATAGGGGGATTACGTATACTAAAAATAGCAAACTCACATTCTCTTCCGACTTTTCGACGCCGGTCTCGACTTTATATTGATTATCGACGAGTTCCTTGTATTCGTCCGAGTCTATTTGATCCTCACGGATAACGTTGAGGGGTTGTTTGGGTGAGAGTTTCCGGGTCCGAAAGCGCAGGCCCGGCTGAGTACTTCGCGTCATGACGGGCCAGGAGTGGCGAGACAAGAGCAGTGCCCAAACAGCGAAATTTCCTTAAGGACACCCAGGCAAAACTGGTGTCTTTAAAAAGCGCGTATCATCAGTTGATGGCTTAACGACTTTTTAGGTCCAAAAGTCGTGATGTTGTGGTTCTTTTGATGTTTTTGTCGTCGCGATCTGATGACTTGACGTTGGCGACGCTCCTGCTGCAAGTTTTTGTTTGGGTGCTTGGTTGTGAGGGTGATAGCACCAAGAGTGGTCTAGCGTCGAATTTGGCAACTAGCGGATAACAGACAGATTGGTAGGATTAGCCGAACCCAAGATCACGATACAGAGATATGTATGTGAATGAACGTGAATTCGATGTGAATGCGCATAAAATATATCCTTTGACTCTTTTTTGAATGATCCTGTATATTCCCCAGCAGCGCCCATTCTATTTTCTACAAAGGGACGAATAAAGGAAACTCAGCAGAAACTACCATACTCCCCACCTTCGCGCCTCAACTCTCTTAATCAGCTAGGCAGCCCCATCATACCACCAAAGCCCCAAGCTCTCCTCCACAACGCACATTCTTCCACTGCGACACAGACAACACGCGATTGACTAATTCGAACCTCACCCGGCAATCCACCTCGTACGAAAACATCCGCCAGGATGGGCAACACCAGCAGTGCCGTCATCGAGAACATTGTGGAAGGGTCCAATTGTGCGCCCACCCCACCTTGGCCAGTCCCCCGATCGATTTCAAGGCTGACAACTGAGACTACTAGTCGACAGAGATGAGGTCGACAGGCTTCGCAAGCGCTTCATGAAGCTGGACAAGGTTTGCAGCCGTGCACGTTGTCTTTCATATCACCAGCTTACACTCCCCTCAGGACAACTCGGGCACCATCGAGCGCGAGGAGTTCCTCAGCCTTCCCCAGATTGCCTCGAATCCCTTAGCCACCCGGTAGGCGACGCGTATACCCACATACCATACGAACGATAGCTGACCGAGGCGCAGCCTGATTGCGATATTTGACGAGGACGGCGGCGGCGATGTCGATTTCCAAGAGTTCGTGTCGGGGCTGAGCGCATTCAGCAGCAAGGGCAACAAGGAGCAGAAGCTGCGGTTTGCGTTCAAGGTGTACGACATTGACCGTGATGGGTACATCAGCAACGGTGAGCTGTACATTGTGCTGAAGATGATGGTGGGCAGCAACTTGAAGGACCAGCAGCTGCAGCAGATTGTGGACAAGACGATCATGGAGGCGGATTTGGATCGGGATGGAAAGATCAGCTTTGAGGAGTTTGCGAAGATGGTGGAGAATACGGATGTCAGCATGAGCATGACCTTAGGTATGTCGTTCTGGGTGACTGTTTGGGGAATTCTGTCGTGGACAGTGCTAACGGGCTTATAGACCAATTTTGAACACTTTCTTCAGAAGCATAGGGATGGTTACGAAGATAATGACCTCAATATAAGTCTCATTTCACCAGTTTTTCATCACATGCGCAGACTGGTGCACGAAGCCAATGCATCTCGATTATACAAAGTGGCACAGTGAAGAGGAATGGCGTTTGGAAGAAAACAGTATGAGGGAGGCCTGTGTAGGTTACGTTTTTCATCCATGGTGGGAACAAGAAGCCTTGTTTCTATGCTAGAAATGGCTTCCACACTCTCAATATAACAGTTTTTCTTTGGGCTTCCATACGAGTATGTTTTCTATGAACTCTCACAACAGTCAGAGAAAGCGTCTGATATTTCCTTCGGTCCAATATTTTTCGTCATGGGGCTCTCATTCGTTGCTCAGTCGCATTATTCAAGTACTCTATTCCTTGGACCCAGCACAGGATTATCGTAGTCTCGCCATGAGTGGTCCCAGACACATACACAGGGACGCACTATTTTGAAGCCCCAGAATTGATAAACTGACTACGGCATACAAGAAAGCAAGGAGGATATCCAGCCATGCGGCATACAAGAAAGCAAGGAGGATATCCAGCCATGGTCATATGGTGCCAGATGGCGTAATGCTACGACTATAGTGATACAGGGATGAGAGCGGATAGAAATGATACGGTATACTGTGGTTTGCGGTGGGAGTTGACAGCTCCGAATTTCGTGGCGAGAGCCAAGAGACTTTTGCACACAAAAAGTGATACTTCCATATGGCCGACATGGCCAACCTCGTGATACCAGGCGGAACGCCATCTCCTTATTTCTGTCTGGGAATATAGACAAGGTATTGTACGCACGGGTTGAAGTTCTACAATGCCATCCCGCTGCAATCCAGACTGAAACCGGGGCGGTGCAGAGTCTCAGCGATCAGACGTCAAGGATACTGGCACCGCGGGTAGGGTAAAGAGTACATGTACACCGCATCAGTTTTCTAGAAGCCTAGATCGAAGTGCGACCTGTATCGTGCATACATGTATCACAGTCTTTTGCTCGGACAATTCATTAGGTTCAGTGTGGCTTGAAACCGGCAGAATCCCTTCCCTCGGGTCTGGCGTGACGTATTATCTTACCAGAGATAGGCAGATCTCCTGACGGGATGCCTGAGAGTGTGGAAGGGACTGTGCGAATAGTATTTGGAATGCGAGATGCAAAATGTGAAATGTGAGATGCGCCAGATGTCAGCGTCATGCCGAGACTGAGGGGGCATGGGCTAGGCCTGTGAAGGGATGCGGATGCGAACACCGGGAGCCTGGCAGGGCGTAAGTCATGTCTCTACTATGCCTGTAACTGTGACCATTATCGCGGGTGCTGGTGATCAGTCAACCCAGATGACGAGGAATCTTCAGGGCCAGAACTCGAGGGGAGATGTGGTGGTTGTCGAAGTAAGGGACAGGAAGTTCAGGGACTCTACCTGGGACCGGACGTCGAAGTAAGGGACAGGAGTTCAGGCACTTTACCTGGCACCGGACGGGCGGACTATTACTTTCTCGACGCTTTTATTGCACATCGGATGAAATAAGGTTGAAAATAACCAGGACGCAAATATCCGTCAGAGTATGAGGGCATCAACACATCACATCCTCGGCGGAAGCCATATGCGCGGTCCAGAGCACACCACTCTGGGCTCTTATGCAAGGCGCAATAATAAGCCTGTGAAGTGGTAGAGTAAGTTAACTTCGGATATGATGGAAGAAGGCCGCATCTCCTTCGCAGGCGTACAGATGAAATTCACCTTGCGATTCTGAGACATGGCTGGGAAATAGCCGCTTCTAGAAGGAAACGCACCTTGCGTTAACCAGCGCATAGGCTGGCGTAGCCTGGTACGTCTGGCAAGGAGGTTATGATCTGCAAGAGGCATTTCCATCTTCATGCATCCATGCAAAAAGTAGGTACTTGTATACCAATTTCGACCTGTTATCCATAAAAGGGGCTTCAGCCAACAGTCACAGGGGGATGCTGCATAAAAGCTCAATGGGCGGTGGGAGTATACTCAAGGATTGTCATAATATATCTTGATATTGATCCGGGAGACTCTTCAAGGACCCTCAAACACTCACTGGGGAAGAGTGCAGCGCTATATCTCGGGGAACCGAATCTGGCCGATATAAACGACAAAAGTTCGGTGATGACATGAGCGCGGATTGTAGGCAAAGGGGCAGGGGATAGGGCCCATACATAGGGTCTGTTTCAACGAAACAACGAAATATGTCAGTCAATGGGGAGTATGCATACTCATCCATAGTCCCATTGACGCATGAGATTAACGAGTAATGTTATTTGGAGCAACTTGCCACATCTATCCGCTATACAGCCTGAAACGCCTACTTTGGATGGCGTCGGGATGACTATTTGCCCATAGAAGCAAGAAGCATTAGTGCATTATAGGGGACATACGGAAATAACGAATTCGGCACTTTCGTCGTTTTCAGGAGATCTTTCCCCGCGATCTAGAGTACAACAGCAATGTGACCCCGACTCTTCAAGGACACTCGAAGACTCTAATAACTGGCGCGCTTATGGGCCAATTTAACTACTGGAGTAGTGCTCACCACTAGCTTCAGTTCCTCCACTGAGATCGATGGGTAGCGCGCATGTATGGATCAAAGATATTGCACCACAGGCCTCACAATCTAATATCTATATATCTATAACATACTACATTATAGCACCCCTGTAGATCGATTGGCTACTAAATGTCAAAATTCATGATTGGTTAACATCTTTCCTTCCTAGGCCCATTTTTTGCTTATGCTCTGTACTGTAATAGTATAACGTAAGTCGTGGCGTAACGCGGGGGATGACGTAACGCGGGGGATGACGTAACGCGGGGGATGGCGTAACGCAGGGGGATTTTGAAGAGAACGCAACAAATCTGTAAATTTAACTACAATCAACAATAATACATGATCTACCGTCGCTCTTACATTGTTTCCCTGCTTCTTCTTCAATATACTTGTCAATTTCAATGTCTAAGGAGGCGTCCTTGTCCTTTGTTTGGAAAATATTCTGGAGTTTACGCGTCATGGGTCACGTGAACGACGCCCAATCACGTGCTTACGCGGCTTCACCGTAGACGGCTGCTTACAAAGCCTACGGCGCCAGTCAACAATACTCGTGTAATAACACCTGAATATTAATGCCCTTCTTCCCCGTTCCCTGCCTTGTTTTACCCTCCTCCCGAAAATTCTCTAGCCTGCCTCAGATCACCAAGCACGCTCGGCCTTTCCTCATTTGTCATGCGCCGGCGTCGTTGTTGTCTATTTTACGGCTCCTCGTCTGCCTATGCCGCTGTCTTCGCCATCGATGCATAAATCTCATTGTCCCTCGCGTCCCTTGCGTCACTCTGTAGATTCCCTTTTTAACTGTCGTCCCATCTATTCGTCCAAAAACTTCTTTTCTTCACAATATTTATCTTTCTCCCGGCTTTGTCATTTTCCCCTTACGTCGCTCATCGACTACAGCGCTGCACACGCACACACATTTACCATCTGATCGTCAACTGTCAGTCTAGGATGCCAGCGGCTGGTAAAACACCTATGCTTTGGAATAAGACATGATATTTTTTGCCTCTCCCCTTCATCCTCACCCTTCATAGAGGCTTGGCCCTCTGCCTCCAGAGTATATAAGAAGGTCTCAAGACATATCCTAGGCCACAAAAGACCGCTCGGGAAATTCTTTGTATGATACCTCGCCATTATCATTGCAATATTGGGTTAATTCATGATATAAGTCCTCAGGGAAACTAGTAGGGGCATGGATGGCCATGGCCCAACCCGGAGGCAAAACGAGCCACGCCAATATGCAAGTTCGAGCGACAGATTTGCGCCGTCACAAGTCTCAGGGCGTAGCTTCGCAGATGAGCTGGCTGGGAGACGTCGACAGCCAGCTGTCGCTGGCCCAGACTCATCGTCTCAGAGGAATGCACTATCTAACTACAGTTTCTATGCTGGGCAGGAACCTTCATTTACCGCCGTATCATCAGTTGAGCAGGTGACATACCCGACCGAGTACGCTCAGGAACCTCACCATCAGCAACCTAATTATGCTTCCTACGACTCGAACCTGACTTATGGCATGGGCCAGCAGCCTTTGGGTGGGCTCATGTATGAGAGCTCTCAGCAATTTAATCAGCAACAATCGGCGGCTGCCGGCCAGGTACTATCCAATACCAATCCTTTCTATCCAAGCGATTCGATGGCAACTCAAGTTCACTCCGGCATATATTCAGGGCCTGCTGGCAGCATCGGGTTGCCTCAAACACTCCAGGAAGGCACTGCTGGACCAGAAACCTCTGCGACCATCGACCATGGATACCGACGGTGCAGCGCTGATCTCGGCCAAATATTTCAAAATATTTCCGATGGCACGCTCGCAGTGGCAAGCCAGTTACTTTCATCATTTTCCGAATGGCTAATATCTCACGTTGAAGATATGGGTACGTCTCCAATCCGGTTTTTTGGTCAGGACCTTCGTTAACATGACCTGATTTGTGTGCGCAGAGCTCACTGTGGACGATACAGCCCAGGAAGAAATTCGCTCAAAATTATGGGACGATTTCAATAATGCGTGGCTTGCGCTGATGCACAAGCAAATGACATTAACATTGGGGTTGCTCGAGACTGGTATCACTTTGCAGCAATCACAGCTGATGACAGCCGAAGTCATCAGCAAAATGTGCAGCGACCTCATCAAATTAAATGATGACTACCTTGAGAAGCATGGTTTGGTAAACTATCAATATGGAGTTTTAGAGGATCAGATAATAGAGAGTAAGTCGACTTGGAACATGTTGATGCTCAACTTTTTTTTCAACTTTTTTTTATATATAATCTGATAATAATTTAGGTGCGATTATATGTTTGGATATTTTAGAAAATTATGGTTCACAACAAGAAGGACAACAGATGCTATCAATTCGAGGGCAAGCATCAACATCTCGCCCAGGTTAATTCTGGAGTTCTTACGGGTCTTGCTGTTATCAGGATTGGGATTCCGACTTTCAACATTGAATTGATGTAAAATTCGGGTATTTGAATCTCAGAGTTGGAGCACAACAGTTTTCCTTGGTAACATTGGCAATGTTTTTTACTGGTGCGCAAATGTTTGATTCTGGCAATTGTTTTTATATTTATTGTTACGACTCTCTCGATATGTTGGTCAAGAGGGGGCTACACGCACTGGTGAAAGGTGCTTCACGCAAGACGGATGCTTAGAAGAGCCCGTTTTTCTCCTTAATATGCCATATATACTTCGGTCTCACGGCCCTTCAGATAGCGCAGCTTAGAAATAGACGGGGAATAATAAATTGTTTGTCAACGTTAAAACAGGTGCCCAACTCGGAGGGACCTTCCGAGACCCAATTTGGCCGGGTGCCTCGCGCTCGGAAGGTGGAACGATTCTCATCCGTGGGCCAGCCATTTTAACTTATTCATATGCCTTATATGCATGAGAGCACATAGGCGACAATAAATTGTTCCTTGTACTGCCTTCGCCAAATATACTTTGACTTTCACTCTTGCTCCGCAACCTCCCCTGTAACTAGGCGCGTTGTCACAACATCAGACTCGTTATTCTGGTGTCTGATTTTTGGCCATTCTCGATATATAAATGGAGAAAAAGGAAAAATATTCCGGTGCATTGTATTTGTTGATCGAGAGGGTAGAAGGTCTGTGTCTCCGAAAAGTTACCGGGTATGTGCTCTGTATATAGATTTGGCTGGCACAGAGACCAGGCTCGTAGGTGTTATATTGTTCGTAGATAGCTAATTGGAGCTTGAGAGCTCCTGGAGGTCTGTATAATGGTGGAACTGGGACCGTGGGAGTTACATTAGAATATCACAGAAACAACACCCAGTATCACCGAACCCGCCAGGGCGGCAGCGAATTGGAAGCCGCGCTGGCCTCTCGCTTAACTATGTCCAAAGTGCGCATTTATCGACCCCCTTACTTCCCAGCCGCGAACGCCTCTCAGCTTGACATGACGCGAAGGGGAATGCGACGAGGGGATTGCTCCTATAGGGGAGGTGACCGTCCATTGGGATGGGTTGATCCTCTGTTGGGATGGGGCTTAGGTCACACGTCACCCGGTGGCCGTGGTATTGGTACGGGTGGGAAGGGGTCGGGCCCTTTCCATCCCCCTTCGTGGTGGTGGCGGAATGCTTGGGATACGCTCTGCGTGACAGGTGGGAGGCAGTCTGCGGGCGCTGTGTGGCGTTTCGTGTCTTTATTTTATTGCTTTGGGGAGAGAGAGGACGGCGAGGTGCTGAGGCGGAGTTGGGATGGAGGCAGGGCAGTCGGCGTGATGGTGGTCCGACTGAGACTGATGGATGGATGGACCGAGTCGGGTCGATGAGAAGGATCGGACGTCCTCTGCACAGCAGTGGGGGCTGTATTGGTGGTTGTCACGAGGCGGCGCGTCCTAGCGCTGCGACAGTGGCGTTTAGGGTGCGTAGGATGTTCTGGATGAGACTCTATGGATCTGCCGAGAGGCGAAGAGCTCGACGCTAGCAGGTTGAAGATTGTTTCCTGGTTGCGATGCTGCAGTGCGGTTGGAGAGCTACAGGTGCTTTTGCTTTCTTCCGGTGTCTGTATTCCCAGGCGGGGGATGGTGCAGTGCACGGCGCATATGTCACGGCGGGTCGCCAAGATAGGTGCTATGTGACGTGTCTCTGACAGTGGGAGGATGGGAGGGGACGTTATTGGATCTGATTGATGGGAAGAGTGGTAGATTGGACGAGGTGAGGAAGTTTGTGTGTGAGTGTATTTTATGATCGGACTGAAGTCGCTACTTGTAGCCAATGACGGCCTTGGGTTTTGCTGCCAGGTTTCATGGGATGAGATGAAGTGAGGCCTAGCTGGATATCTCACCGTCTTTCGGAGCTGGAACTATGGTATATTGCCTGCTGTCGGATAAGACAAAAGGTGACAATTGGTTTGCCCCTTCACTCGTTGGAGTCTCCCCCAAGGTCCGTCGTTTTCAGCTGAATATATAAAGGGCGCCATGTCGGGGCTTTTTACATCAGAACCAATCCTATAGTGTTCTATTTGTTTATCGAGCTGAATTAATATCCTTACTTCCATACATTTCAACATGCTGTCTACGGTCCAGGAGATCATAGGCCTCACGGCGGCCCAACTCTATATCGTTATCCTTGTTTTTATAACCGTTTGTTATGCTGTTAGCTGCCTAATCTCATATTTCCGTCCGCACCTGCGTCAACTCCCCGGCCCGCTCTTGGCCCGCTTCACATGCCTGTACAAGGTGTATATAAGCTTGAAGGGGGACTCGCATATCGAGTACCAGAAACTCCACAGAAAGTATGGACCTATCATCCGAACTGGACCCAATTCTGTCTCCATCGGAGATGCGGCGATGATCCCAGAGGTCTACCTTCAAGGGAGTTTGTATCAGAAGGCATGGTTCCCACCTCTATTGAAACGACAAGACGCTAACAAGATGCAGTCAAGTTATATTACTGGCTTCACGTTCACAATCGATGGACAGTCGATGGAGAACATATTTACAAGCCGTGATGCCGCCCAACACAAGATTATGAGGTCGTCAGTCGCATCCAAATACTCGTTGTCGTCCATGCTTCAGCTAGAGCCGCTGTTTGATAAATGTATTCCACTTTTTGTTGTCTACATGGACAAACGCGCAGGGACTGCAGTTGACTTTGGAGAATGGTTGAGTTGGTCAGTACTCCTGCCGTCTCTTGACTGAATAAGCACTGAATTACTTTAGGTTTTCGTTTGACTTGACTGGTCTCCTTTCATTCCAAGAGATGTTCGGTTTCATGGACCAAGCTCGGGATATCAACGGCGCGATCGGGGCGGGATGGGCTACCATAACCTATGGAGCTGTAGTTGGCCAGTTCCCCGCAGCCCATAAATATCTATTTGGCAATCCAACCCTCGTCAGAATTATCGATAGTATCTGGGAGAAGAATCCGATTAACATGATTCAACAGGTATGCATGATTTCGAGAGGTGTATATCATTTGCTAAACGGCACAGACTGCATATGCTGCAATGAAGAAGTACGACCTTGAAAAGCCGACGAACATGCGCGGCGACCTCCTTGAATACTTACGTCAGAAGCAACTCAAGGACAGCACGATCATGGACGAAAGAGAAATTATGAACAATATTCTCATCTTCTTGTAGGTAGCTACGCCATAGTCCGTACTGTCGGCTACTAACTTGCAATAGTATCGGGGCTGTTGATGCCAATTCCACCGCCCTCCGCGCCATCTTCTACTACCTTGTCAAGAACCCGTGCACTTACGCAGCGCTCGTAAAGGAGCTGCAGGATGCGGATGCGAAGGGCCTCCTATCTGACGTCTTGTCATTTCAAGAAGGGCAGAAACTCCCTTACCTGTACGATCCCCAGTCGGCCCTATCTACACGCGACTGACTTCGAGCAGACAAGCCTGTATTAAAGAAGCGATGCGGATGCACCCCACTGTCGGGAGCCCATTTGATCGAGTCGTGCCTAAGGGCGGCGCCGTTCTTAACGGCCAGTTCATTCCTGAAGGCACGGATATTGGAATTACCGGCTGGGTTACACAGCGCGATAAGACCGTGTTTGGAGAGGACGCCGACTTCTTTCGCCCAGAGCGATGGATTGAGGTCGATGAGATGCAGGTGAGAAGAATGGACAAGAACATGCTTGCCGTGAGTACTTCCCTCTTCGTGTAGCAGGTTCAACGCTTACAGTGCGCAGTTCGGGTTGGGAAACAGAAGTTGCATAGGTGAGTCTCTGGCTGTATCCGAAAGTTATGGGGTCAGTTCTAACTTATGCAGGTAAACATGTTGCGATGATGGCTCTCACGAAGACGGTCGGACAGATTGTGCGCAAATTCGACATGGAATGGGCTTCGGAGAAAGATGAGTGGGATACGACGTGCCGGATGCAGGTGCGACAGACGGGAGTGGTTATGCGGTTGACGCGAAGGGAAGTTGAGAAGGAGGGATAAATGGAATGTAGCAATATGGAATCGTCATCTATTCACAATCGTATGTTTACTTGTTCTTACACTCGTAGTCCCGTCGTCTGCCGAATCGCGATCATATAATTTTGTATAGTCGCATTCCTAACTTGCGACTACACAATTCCAACTTACAACTACGTAAATTTTATATAACGTGTTTCACAAGCAAGTCGGACACACAAGCAGGTTAGACACCGAATTTCTCACCTATAATTAAGAACTTTAGAAGATAATAACTTAACAACAACTTAGTAGTATATTTTAAAAGTGTGTATTCAGCCTTATCTATAACGTGGTTGTACACCTAGTCGATCATGACACCGAGCCGATCACTTTTCCCCACCCACAACCTTTTGACTTTAACACGCGTTTTCTCCACAACCACAAATGGAAATTGAAACCCAAGAAGCTCGAATCGTTCTAGGTATCGAAGCTATTCGTTCATCAAAAAAACTTAGTCGTCGCTCTGCTGCCAAAATCTACAAAGTCCTGTACGCGACACTATCTAATAGAATGGCCGGCTAAACACCTCGCACTAAAACCAAAGCTAATTGTCATAAATCAACTAAACTCGAAGGGGAAGTGATTGTTCGGAACATATTAGATATGGACGCAAGAGGGTTTGCACCTTAGCTGTCTAGTGTAGAAGATATAGCAAATTATATACTTAATTTATAGGGGGGGGACGCGTTAGGACACGATAGGCATATCGGTTTATATAACGTCGCCTAGAGCTAAAGACGCAGTTTAACCACGTTTATAACTTCTAAAGAGAACTATCAAAACCTTTATTAGAGCCTACATAAACCACATTACTAAGGTCGATTTCTTTCTAGCATTCCATGCTACATGCAAGCAGTCAATTACCCCCGAAAAATGCAAAAGCTAGATTCCGTAGAGCTGGCCTTATGCCTTTTAATCCTAATGTGGTATTATCAAAGCTAGATGTCAAGCTATAGACGCCTACACCTACAGACCCCCCCTCTGCTAATGCCAACCCTTAGGTCTATCAAACGCCTCGTAATCTAATAGATGACGAGGCTACTCTAGTTAAAAGTCGTATTACAAGCCATTAAGGAAGCTCGCCAACCCCTTATAGGATTACTTAGAGCCTCTTCTATACAGAGCGAATTTATCTGCATTTATTACTCCTATACAAGTACATATAAGGATCCATCCTACTGCGCCATGCAGTGTGTTAAATAGTATGAATCCGTATACTGCCAAGCACTTTTCCTGACATCATAGAGTCTGAGCGGGTCCCAAATAGGAAATTTTGGGATAAATAAACATTGTGTTACTGACGTTATTATCATTTTGGTAGAGCAACTATCACGTGCTTATGATGGCATGTGCATTCCTTGGCAGTATACGGGCCGTATACTATCTTACACACTGGGGATAGCATGGCACTGCCATGCTATCCTTCTCCTAGACACCAAGTTTATGCAAAAGCAAAAAAGAACTCCACACATTTGCATATGTGACGTGCGTATGTGCCATTAAGGACAAAAAGTCAAACCTTTCATACCGTCCCGATTCCCCCAACAGACTCCGTCTCAGCAACATTCATAGTAGCAAGTGCTGTTAAATCCACCCTTAGAACTTTGTAGTGACCATCTCTGTCTGGTCATACATGACGCTTTGCTTCAGCGGCGGTAGACTTCCCGGTCAAGTGACTCCCGATCCCGGACGCGCTCTCTGTCGCGGTCTCGCAGGGGGCTCCTGCTGCGGCTTCGTGTACGACCGCTGCGCGCGCGGTCGTCGTAGTCTAGGCGCTCTCTGTGAGTGGGATGGCGACGGTCATCACGTCCATCCCATCTCCTCCGGTCATCTCTTGGCCGCTCGTCTCTCGGTCGCTCGTCTCTCGGTCGCTCATCTCTCGGTCGCTCATCTCTCGGTCGCTCATCGCGTCGGCCGGACTCAGGCCCATAGCTCGGAATATACGTATCCACATCCCTGCCTGCTATACCAGCGCTTCCACCCCCTCGCGTCCTCGACGGGAGGTGATCGCGATCCCGTTCCCGCTCGCGGTCTCTATATTCATGTGGACGGTCTGATCTCGATCCGTCGACCCCGCCGCCCCAGGTCTGAGAAGATGGAGGGTAATCTCGCAGCGGTAACCTGCTGTCGGGACGGGAATGTGACCAGCCCGGTCTCCGATCATTGGGATGTGGTTGATTCCTCGGAGGAGCGTATCCGGAGTCTCGATGAGGCGCGCCGTTTTGATGGGATCGGTTCATGCCGCCGTAGTTATCTCCATTGCCATATGGCCTGTTACCCGCATTTGCAGGCTCGCCGCCTACGGCGTACCCTCTTGGTGCGGGAGGTAGACCTTGTTTTGGTCCGCCCCTTGAACGACGATCCAGTTCATGTGACTCTTCGAATGTTGGTATTTCACCTGGATTTGCAGGGAGAGGGTTTTCGGTAAAATAGTGGTGTTTCAAACCATCAATCGCATTGAGCCTCTTTCGCCAGTCCAGTTTGAGAAGGTCGGTAAGCAATGATATAGCTCCTGGACCATACCTAGTACCTTGTTAGATTACTTCGCATGCAAGTTAACAGTGATACATACTCCTTGAATCGTTGTGCAATAGTAGGGCCCCTGTGTGGAGGCTGAAGGCCTTGGGCTCCTGGAAGCATACGCCATCCTGGCATGTTTTCCTCGGTGGGCATGCCGACCAGCTCGAAGATGATTTCCAGCTGTCTAGCATCGCTTTCTCCGGATAAAATTGGCCTGCCCACCAGCATCTCTCCGAAAACGCATCCTACTCCCCACAAGTCGATAGCTGGTGTGTACCTCCGAAGCTGTAACAGCAGCTCGGGGGGTCGATACCATCTTGTCACAACCAAAGTCGTGTAATCTCTTACGGCCTCTCCGCCTCCGCCACCAGCCCGGGGAACCGGCCCTTCATAGTGTCTTGCAAGTCCGAAATCTGCAATTTGGAGGATGCCCTTATTGTTGATGAGTAGATTTGCTGCCTTCATATCGCGATGAAGAATGTGATTGTCGTGTAGGTAGGCAGTTCCCTTGAGAAGCTGCATCATATAGCACTTGATCTGGGGTATGCTGAAGGTGACTCCAGGATTCTCCAGCAACCCGGAGAGATCATGGTCCATATATGGCGTAACCATGTACATGATTGCTCGTTTGCGCTTATCACCTGCAATTCTGTCAGCGCTTGTATATGGAATATTTCAAGGTTGTCGCACTGCTTTTTTGAGAATGCTCCACGGCCATTTCTTCCAACCTCAATATATTGATGTGGTCCAAGAGCTTCAATAGCTTGATCTCGCGCAGAGCTGTTATGGGGAACTGGACAAAAATTAGTTCTCGACTTCTTGTATTGACCAGTATGCCTTACACCGTCCTTCTCATTATGCATCAAGATCTTTTTTAAGGCAACGACTGCTCCAGTTTTCCGTGACCGCGCCTGGTGGACTTCGCTGGGAAATGTCAGAAAGTTGTTCTAGCTTCCAGTACGACAAATAACGAATATGAGAGGGGAAAAGTACCCAAATGTGCCTTCTCCGAGTTTCCTTAATATTTCATAGTCTTGTATTCGTGAGCATCCGTGGAATGACTTCGTGGGTGGAGGAGGGCGAGTCGTCTTCATATTGGTATACCCCTGCGAAACCGCGTCCGCATCTGGGCTTGCTTGCTGTGCCCAGCTCGACATTGTCGCGGGTCGAATTTATTGATCGGATGGTGTAAGAGTCAGCCGTAGATTGCGGGTTCCTCTGCCAGGAAACCGTCGGGGTTTTCCAATTCTTGGCTGAGAGCTCGCGATTGTGGTGTGTGGTTTAACGGGTGGGCCAAAATCGACGCGAATGGCGAGACTTATCAAGTCAAGGTGGTCGGCCTATTCTCTGCATGATAAATCAACGAGAAAGAGAGGTTCCTAATGAAAGAAGGTCGCAGGTGAAGTCGAAGTGAACAATGGCCATGGTCATTTCAAGGCCCACAGTAATCGAAGTGTTGAGTGGAATTGTGAATCGCCAAACCCGGCCATTGTTCGAATTCCTTTCCGATATGACGAACGTGAGGGCGAGCCAGCTCAAGCCGCCTCGGCCAATCATTTATCCATTAAAGTGAGGCTCCCGGAGCGCCCCAACCCACCATTCAAAGTTGACGACCATCGACATTACAACTGTTCCTGCGACTTACGCACCCCACGACTGTTTTCAGAAGCGAAGCAATTGTTAATCTGTACGCTCAATTGTGTTTTCTCTCTAGAGCCAGCATTTCTAACTATTTATCACAGCACAATGGCTGGCCCGGGCGCTCATCCGATTCACATCCACCCGGCGCGCCCACTCTACCGGTTTGCCGCGACCGGGTTGGGGGCAAGCATGTGGTTCTTCGTATGTCTCAATAACCCTCTATTTGATGGGCAAGGCTGACTTTACTTGTAGTTAATGTACAGAGCGAAGCAAGACGGTAATTCTGACTCGCAGTTCCTTCGGCGAACGATCCCTAACCTTACCTGCAGGACCTGCGTTATTGGGCTGGAAGCATCCTTGGGACCATTGAAGGACGAGGATATACCATTGGGAGAATGGGCAGCATACGGTGCTTGGGCAAGGACGGATGGCCACATAGCATGTTTCGACGGTGTACAAATCATACAAGTTAAATGGAACACAGAAAACCGAGATTTCAATTGACGTGAAGCCTATCCGGGCATGAAGTTACCCGAAGAGACATAATGTTCGACTATATCGTTTGCCAGAGGTTGTCTTAAGCATCTGTCTGTGGTTAACGTTCTCTTGTATTAGTATAATGGAGGGATGCACCTCTAGCACCACATGTTCCGCCCACGAGTACACGACTGCCAACGGAGATATTGGTCTTTGCTAATGATAGGTACCGGGGCAGTGCCGTTCCTGTCATGTTACATACAGTTGTTATTGTGGCCAGGCACCGCTGGCATGGAGCTGGGAAACAAGAGGCTGGGAAATACAATAATTTGACGATATAAAGGTTATGATTAGATGAAGTGATTGCCTTGTATTTCACATCAGCCATTCAAGCCTTATATTTGTAGAAAAATGAAGATGAATCCTTGTCTTCTCTGAATGGAAGCAAATGTGCTTGATTCCGCTTGGCCTTCTGATTCAGAAGTCCATAAACCATACAAAGATAACATTATACTGAATCTTGAAATTCGTTGCGCACTCATGCCATGTTCTATTGTGTCTATATATCACTAATATTGACGTACGTAAGGAGTGCTTTCTGGCCACAGGCGTCACCACAGACAAGCTGAAGCCGAGGCTCTCTGTTGAGATATTCGCTGTGGACGCTGTTTCATTGCAAACTGACCACGGCACCCCTTATCGCCGTACAAACCTTTTGTCAAAGAAAATGTTTGCGGGAAAACAATAACATTACTTGTACTTAGTTGGATTCATTCCACCTTGGAAATCATTCTTTGTTCAATTTTATTTACATGGCCAATCACACATATGCGACAATTTATTCGTACCTTGAATAGTAAGCGAAACTGCGGAATCTAGCAAGGTACAACTACACGCATGCGGTACGGTTAAAGTGAACCAAAGAACAAGAGAGAGCTTCGAGATACTTCTGAGTTGAATGAGGGCGGTGGGTGTCGTCCTCATACGACGCTCACGCGCCAAAGCCGCCTTTTAGAGCACGTTGGACCCCAGGCTACGGACGCCATGGCGGGAGCCTCGTGCCCATTCTGTGGCTATGAGGCCAAGACTGAGTATGATATTCTTGTAAGTTCGCACTTTCTGCAGTTGCTATAATGTTCATCAAAATAACTTTTCAAAGTACCACATGGAAGACCTACATTCTGAAGGAAACTCTCCCTTTATTCCTACGGATGCCCACCCTGTAGACGCCACTCGGGAAGAATATCCCTCTAGGTCCTCCCAAGCCATGGAAGACATCGTATATGTCGCGTGTCCAATATCCGAATGCGGAGAAACTGTTCCCTTCGCGGATCTGGATGGTCACTTGGAGTTGCATAGCATGGAAGAAAGTGACAGAGATTCTCACGTGGACAGTTCAGCGTGGAAATGGGAAGGAGCCACGGAGCCTGCGGACTCTAAGTTTGACACTAGCCTTCCAACAGCACTGCGGAACCTCGATGAGAGCCCTGATCCCACTCTATTATCTGCGGCGGATCGTCAAGCCAAAGCCAAAGAAAGCTGGCGAGGAATTTTAAACATGCCGAAGTCAATAGTTGCACCGCAGGTCTCATCAAAGTCAAAGTCTGGCAAGGGCCGTCTTGGGGTAAGTGTTGATCGATCTTAGCTTTATTATCCATCCTGACGCTTATGCTTCCAGACAGCTGAGCTCGGCCCCCATGCCTACGAAGAGAAGATGCCGGCATGGCTTCACAACCTCCTGTTGTCGGACGGGATGCCAAGAACCACTACGAAGCTCAGCTCCAGCGGAGGAATCAAGACGGTGAAAAAAAAGGGCAACTATGTTCCAGGCGTCCTGCCTGTTCTCGAGAATCTCATTGAGCGGGACCCAGATACGGAGTATGTCTATACTTGCCACCCGTCGGTCGAGCATGTTTCGAAACTGAAGAACGAAGGCGGCTTCTGCGGTTATAGAAACATACAGATGCTGGCTTCATATATCGTCAACAATCAATCACAAGGGTATTACCATTTCAAGGAGAAAATACCTTCGATATTCCAAATCCAGGATTTTATTGAGCATGCCTGGGATGTGGGAATAAATACAGTGGGCCGTACTGAGACGGGTGGGATTATAGGAACTCGAAAGTATATTGGGACGCCGGAGGTAAGCAGATTATCTGTTCTTAGTATGTCCGTATTCTGACTTAAATAAAGGCCCAGGCGATGCTTCGAAGCCTTGACATTGAGTAAGACTTCAACCCCCGAAACTGTATAAGTCTAATGCTCATCATTCAATAGATGCGATGCACAAGCATTCAAGACCGATGGCAAACTAGGAGCAGACGAGATACTGATGAGAAACGTCGAAGAATACTTCCGTGCTGGTGGTGTTGATAGCACCTCGAAGATTCGGAGGACACAGTTGCCTCCGATTTACTTTCAGCATCCAGGTATGGTGACAGTGCACTCAGATTGATATTTGCTAACCATCAAAGGACATTCTATGACCATCGTAGGCATTGAGAAGAAGATTGACGGGTCTAAGAATCTTCTCGTCTTCGACCCAATGTTCCACGATGCTCCAGATGTCATCAAGCTTATTGGAAAGAACTATTTCCCGGTGAAAAACCCGGCAGAGTTCTTGCGGGCATACAGGCGAAACATGAAGTATTTAAAAAGGTACAGGGCCTTTGAGGTTTTGAGGTAGGCAATCCCCGTTCTATGCTTTGGGACATATTTATTGATCATATAGATTGCGGCCGCCTGGGTTGACCTCACTTCCAAATTGATATCGAAACCAGATACATGCGAATTTGAGGCTGCATGGTTTCGGTTGTCTGTTTTTTTGCATTGCTATGATTTCAGCGCAGCGTCTCATACAGTATATGCTATTGGCTTCATCCAAAGCATCAGCGGGTTGTTTCATGTGCTGGATAAATTACACAATTGAATGCACATTGCCATGGCCTCCCTATTTGTGCACCATGGCATTTTTTTTTGTTTGGCTTCAACCTGAAGCTGGCTGCCCCGAGTTTGAAACTATGAAACTAACTATGGAACTTGCTCCCGGTGGAATACTGCCCAGATATTACCTTTACAGAGATAAACATATAATATTTCGCAAACTAGCCAGCTAATAGGGTAGCGGTTCAGTTGCAAATCCTGGGTCGTTGTCGGTCCTGGATATCTATATCTAACCAACTTGGGTACCATTTCCCTCAAAATGCTACTCAACCGTGGTATGTATATCTAAACGCATTGTTTTTGAGGACGTTGCTGGTCCTGAGATTTGACTTCGGACATTGGGCCATTGTGTGCTGTAAGTTCGATAAGGCGGCTTGGCGCGATATGCAACTATCTCCAGTGCTTCCGCGCAAAGACTTGTACCTTCAGCTACGTCGTGATTTTGATTTCCACACCACGACTAAAAGAAGAGACATACTATTTAAACATGGCCCCTAGCCAGCTCAACTTCATCACTGGCAACAAGCACAAGCTCGCTGAGGTCCAGGCCATCCTGGGCGATGCGGTGGACTTGCAGAGCCGCTCTATTAATCTCGTCGAGATTCAAGGGACGGTAGAGGAGATTTCGAAGGATAAGTGCCGTCGGGCTGCTGAAGAGGTATGAGTGGCATGAGTTTCATAGTTGTACATGGTTTATTAATTTCATGGGTCCCATTCTCCCTCTATCGCTGTTATGCGTGGAAACCGGCGGGGAAAGTCAGTCTGAATGTCCTCATACAAATAACTAACTTGTGAAAGGTGCAAGGACCTGTTCTGGTCGAGGATACCGCTCTGATATTCAATGCTTTTAAGAACCTTCCTGGTCCATACATGTATGTATATCTGTTCGTTTTATAATCCTGTCACAGCACAGCCTATTGATATGAGGCACGCATCTATATTATCCCCTCTCAGATCCGTTTTACAGTCACAATGTTAGTATTATTATTAACAGAATTCGCCCTTTACAGCAAATGGTTCTTCGAGTCCCTCGGCCACGACGGCCTAAACAAGCTCCTCGCCGGCTTTGAAGACAAATCCGCCGAATCCGTCTGCACATTCGCATACTCCGAAGGCCCCGGCCACGAGCCAATTATCTTCCAAGGACGCACAGAAGTACGTATTTGCCTCTTCATTAAGCAGTATATAACTAATATATCCTAGGGCAAGATAGTTCCAGCAAGGGGAGCCATCGCTTTTGGCTGGGATCCCATTTTCGAGTACGGACCAGCTGGTCAAACGTGAGTCTCCATCCCTCATTCAACCCCCCGACACCCTTTCTTCTAACCTCCTCTAGCTACGCCGAGATGCCCAAGGCGGAAAAGAACAAGATCTCCCACCGCGGCAAGGCACTTGAGAAGCTGAAAGCCTGGCTCTTAGAGGCCGTAGATAGCAGCAAACCCTAAATTCAAATCCCGAGGATATCATAACATTTTGAGCTCCCGTCCCAGCCTTTCTTCGGGCCCCATGCATTCATTCATAACATTCACAACCTCAACTATCCTCCTTCTCCGCCCCCTCATTATCCTTCATCCACTGCGCAACCCACGCCTCTATCCTTGCAACATTGCTATCCACCTCCTCACTCGTATTACTCGTCAGCTCCACCACTATCTCTTCATCGTACGAGTCGCGCGCCTCCTGTAGGAGCACCTCCATGATTTCCGAGTCGAGGTTCTCTTGTAGTTTCAGCTCTGGGTAGTTTCTGCGGGTGGCGGAGTTAGTGGTATGCGCGGGACTTGGGGGGGGGGGGGGGGGCCGGTACCTCGATTTCAGCCGGTCATAGAGAATCGTCGAGTTCACCCTCAGCACGACGACGAGGTCAATCCAGCTCTTGGGGAAGAGATCGCAAGCGTGCCAATCGATAATGTAACCCCCCAGCTTAACCTCCTCCTCAATCTCATCCAGTAACTACACGCACACACCCACATTAGCCTCGTCCCTCCTTCCCCCCCCAACCCAATATCATAATATAACCAAAACAGAAACACATACCTTATCCTCATCCACAATCCAACTCTGATACTCCTCATCCCACCCATCATGACACCCCCGATCCTTGACAATAGTATTGATACTAAGATGCTTCAGCCCCAGCGACGCAGCCAGCGTCTCGCAGTGCGTCGTCTTCCCGACGCCCGGCGTGCCGGTGATGATGATGTTCGGCTTGGCACGCATAGCGACTGAGGGGATATGGGAGTTTCGTATCTGTGTATGAACAGGATTCTCGCAGCGTTCGTGGGGGAGGGGAGGGTTGAAAATTAAATATTGGTTGCATGGGGGAGCTTATCGATAGGGCGGGGTGGCAGAATAATGGGGGCGGTGAAGCCCACTGTCACAATTTACAATTCATGGGAGTATGGATTAGAAGCAATGCTGCCAGATAGACTATATTTTCTCTAAAGACGTAAAGCATTGTATAAACTACCTAATTACGACTCTCAACTATTACATCTCCCACCTCAAAAACCGTCCATATTTCTACAATCATGTGCAAATCTAACATTTCATGAAGGGCCGCCCAAGTAAAAAAACATCGACCTGTTCTAGAGTTCAACAAAACGGTTAATATCGTGCCACACATCCATCCAATCCATTTCTCCTCCTCCCTCGTTTCCAGACCGCATAAAAACGCCCGCAAGTTTTTTAGTACATGACCCCTTCCCCAAATGGTTGTTTCTTGTTCTTCAAATGATTTTGCCCCATAAAGCAGAATGTCGTAGTGCCGAAGAAAAATATACAACGAAGAGCGTTGATGGTATATGTTGGAGTTGAGGGGCGTTTTAAACGCCGTTAGATGCAACATTCTCTTCCTCGTCCAGCTCGACGGCTTGCTCATTGTCCTCAGCGTGTTCCTGACCCTCGTCCTCCTCAATAGAGCCCACACCCGCGGCATTGTCAATCTTCTCTTGCTGAGCAATTGCCTGAGCCGAAACTATCTCCGCAAGGCGCTTCAGGCGAGGAGTTTCCAGCCCTGTGAATGTGTTAGAACGGAATAGGTAGGTACTGTAGTGATTGGTAAACTTACAAGATGGAGTATAGGTCTCCAACGCTGTGATAGCACGGGGCTCTGCAATTTCATAGGGTCCGCTGTCATCCATGTCCACAGCGGTCAGGAGCAGCACGTCGCTCTTCTCGGTGACGCGGGAGGCAACGGCCTTCATGATCTCCGTGTTGATGGGTTGTTCGTAGTCAGCCACCAAGTACTGGTTCAACAGCTTCTGGATTTGGTTGGGAGAGAGCCTATAAAAGTTAGAACGCGTTGATGATGATCTAGGGGTTGGGTGAGCACTTACATCCAGCAGATATCTTGGATAATCTCAATATCGTTCAGGGTTGCCTTCTTCAACTGAAGAAGCTTCGTTGCTTGCTATAGACTGGTTAGAATGACACATGATATATCTGGAGGGAGTTTACGAACCATCAAGTGCTCCAACTGAAGGGTGCCCTCTGGCATATTGTGACTCTTGCACCACTCCTCAATGCGGGTGATATTGTAGTTGATCTGCAGACCACGCTTCCACGAGAGGAAGTTTCTCCTCATGAGAAGATCGTTGAATGCCGTAACACCAACAAGGCGCAACAACTCGGTCATCGTCTGGGTGACAATCGAATCCTCCAAGAAGTACGTCTTCATAGCCTTGAAAACATTGTTGAGAAGGCCCAAAAGGTTGTCCATGCTGAAAGCTGGAGCGGAGTTTGTCTGGAGCAGCTTGCCCAAGAACCTGTTGCTCTCATTGGTGACGAAGCCAGGAAGTGACTGAGATTCGATGATAGCTGGGATAACCATCTTCTGGAGCTTCTTCTTCAAGACCTTCATCCAGGTGTGGTAGATGTTGAACTCTAAGCTCTCCAAATCATGCTTGACAATCTCAAGCAGACGGTCGTACTCGTAGTTGTCCGACTTTTGCGCCTCATACCAATCCTCAGCAAGGAAGACGAACGAGAGCATCTCGTGGACGTTGGACAACCAGAAGGCTCCTGGGTTGGTGGCATCGTCCCCATCGTGCTGCATGACCTCTTGCTGGATAGACTGCATCACATTCGCCAGGAAGCGCTCAGACTCCTTGACAAAGCCATTGTTCCACATCTCGGAAGTGACGAGGTTGATGAGGTATGACGGGAAGAGAATTTCCTTGTCCGTTGGTGGTGGTGTAGATCCAGGCGCTGGGATCTTCAGGTTGCGGATCAATCCCATCGTCACCTCGTCATTGAGTCCGTCCTCGTCTGCGAGCAAGTTTTCGAGCTCAAATTCAATATTGTCAGTCGGAGCACCATTCAAGTTCTGGCGGTGCATGTTGTTGCCCATGGCAGCCGATCCAGGACGATGATTGTAAGCTGCGCTGAAGCGATCCATTTCACGGGTCTCGGCACCTGCGCTGCGGCGCTTGGGCTTCTTCGAGGAGACCAAGTTGATCAGACCACTCTGTAGAACTTGAGCTGCACCATTTGCCTCTCCGTTAATAGGTATAGGAATAATGCGCTTGGCGATCTCGAGCTGTTCGGCAAGATCGTTAACTTGTTGCCTCAATGTGACCTTCTCCTTCTCTTCTTCAGTCAAACTAAGTCTAGCACGTTCAAGCTCGACATTGGATAGTCGGAGAGATTCGCGTAGTTCCTTCTCCTCTTCATGAAGTCGTTTGATGTTCGCAGCGGATTCGTCGAAGTTGGCTTGGAGTTTCTTCATTTCCTCGTCCATGGCGGAAAGGCGTGCAGCGGAAATGCCAGCCTGGTTGGCCTCTGTCTGCAGCTCCTTTGTTCTGCCTTCAAGGGCGTTATGCCTCGTCTTCCAAGACTTGATCTGGTTCTCGTAATTCTCGACTTGGGTGATCAAGGCCTTGTTCTCGCGTTTCATCGTTCCGAGGGACTGGGTGAGCTCTACGACCTTGTTCTCGAGCTTGTAGGAAATCTGCTTGAGATCGCGAGCCTCCTCACGAACTGTCTTGTACTCGCGGCGAGCAGTCTTTCCTCTCCACAAGCTCTGGATGATGACAACCTTATTTCTGTATTGCTTCCAACTGCGCTTTTGTTGGCGAGATCGCCAAGTTCGCTGGATAATGCTCGCGGCATTGCCCACGCGGGTATTCATGATTTGACGTCTACGAAGGAAGCCCTTAGTAGCAGCTTGTGCGAGGATGATGTTGTTGCGAATTTCGTTGAACTTTTTACGTTCCTTCTGGCCCTTCCAAACACGTTGGATTGTGGTAGCGGCCTTTGTCTTGCGAATTTCCTCCGTTTGCTTGCGGGCAATGTAACCCCTGGTAAGAGATTGGAAGAGAAGCGTAGCGTTGCGAGCCTCGAGAAACTTTCGCCTATAGTACTTAGCCTTTAGGTTCTTCTGAATCATGATAGCACAATCGTTAAGCTTAGTCGTCCTCAGGTTCTCTAAGAACGCCAACATTCCCGCACGGAAAAAGATCTTCGTTAGACCCATCTGGTACTTGTCTAGACTCTGCCCATTGCCAGTGCCGAGAGCCTTTACTAAGATCGCATTCGCCATTTTACGGATTTCAGATGTCCAGCCTGCCGACGGAACAAGCATGTAGTATCTGAGAGCAAACTCTTCGTACGTCCATCTCGTAGGATAGCCAGCACAACTTATACGTACGGTCTCAAGAACACCACAAGCACGAAGTTGGCTTAGAACCATCGGACCTTCGAATGCCCAGGCCTTCTTGTCTTCGTTAGGCTTGATACAGCGAATATAGTGTACGTCGGTGCCATTGATGGTGCTCATAAGTTCGATTAACGAAGACTTGAAGATACCACCCAGGGTAGGCTTCCGGTTTATGGCGACACCTATTTTACGTCCTGCAGCTGGCTTTACGGCGTTGGATGCCGCAGATGCAGAGTCCTTCTCACGCACAGCTGATGCTGCATCAAGGACCTGGCCCAGGAACTGGTTAGAAGATGACCTCAGGACAGCCATGTGCTCATCTGGAACCGTATCTCTGTTCTTATCGATGAATCCGTCCGACTCGTAAGTCACATCAACCGCGTAATGGCACACGGTGAAGGCGGACTTTCCAAATCTAGGCTTCTTGTAGAACTTGTTCTTGTCGGCTGCATAGTTGTGATGCAGCTTCGTGACGAACTGCTCATCGGAACCCATGAGTAACCTGGACTCCTCATCTAGGAGGGACAGAATACCCAGCTTGCCTTCAATGAGATCGATACAAGGCTGGTTGTCAGAGAAGTCTATGAAAGTCCAGTCGATTTGCTCCCTCAAGTACTCCTCTTGCTCCAGCTTGAAGACATGGGCATTGAACTCCTGCTGCAACTTCTCGTTGGCGTAGTTAATACAGAACTGCTCGAAGGAGTTCTTTGCGAAATGCTCGAAGCCGTAAATATCCAATACACCAATAAAAGAGCTGACACGGCTCAGAACCTCATCCGTGGCAAGGCCGTGATTGATATTCTCCACAAGCCAGTCAAACAGGCTAGAGTAGATGAATTTCGCGACGGAGTCTCGGACGACAGTAGCTTGCTGTTGAGTCAGGTTCGATGTGATCTTCTCCCCTCTTGTGATAAGCTGCTTCTTCACCGTCCACTTTGCGAAGTCGGTGGGATCCACACCCAGAAGAGCACAAGCCTTCAACAGCGCAGGCTCGTCAGGTGAAAGAACTGAGTCTGTCCTGGATGCTGTGATTTTGACATTGCCGAGATGAAGCAATGCTGCAAGGAGCTTGAATATGTCGGACTGCTGGCCGCCTTGGATGCCAATAGTGGATAGCGATTGCTTCAATGCCTCGAATTCCGCCTTGTCGTCGACGCCATCAATGACCGGAGCACTGCCTTGATTCAAGTATTCGAACTCCTCGACTGGTAGAAGGCTCAACTCCTGGCGTTCAGCCTCAGTAGCACCCGCGATTAACTGATAGAAGATATGGTAGTTTCGCTCTTTCAGAGGCTGGAAGACGAGCCTCGATCTCTCTAGGAGGTATGTTCTAATCTTCGCGCCAATAATATCCGTCTGCTTGTCGAACATGATTTCGATATATTTTCCGAATCTGGAGGAGTTGTCGTTCCTCGTCGTCTTCGCATTACCAAACGCCTCCATGATGGGGTTCGTCGCGAGAATCTGCTCCTCCGTCTCGCTCATGGCTTCTTGTCCGCGCTTCGTCCTCGACCCAGGCTGGTCTGGAGACTCTCGCGTTGCGAAGTATCGCATGATATACTTTGCACTGACGGTCTTTCCAGCTCCTGACTCTCCGGAAACGACGATGGTCTGATTATGCCCACTCCTCAACATATCCCTAAATTGCGGTCAGCTATGATGGACTGAGGTATTATTCACCAATGGCGCCAAACTCACGCGAATGCCTCCTCAGCGATTGCGAACAGATGGGGAGCTTGAGTGACTCTTTGTTTCCCCGCATACACCTGAACCATCCCCGGGACATAGAGAGAGTCCACCCGAGCAAACGGGTTGGTAGCTATCAATACTATGCCACTGTAAGTGTATATCTCTTTCTGGGAGTATCGCAGTCGAATAGCCTGGAGAACTGCATCACAAAAGTCATTAGCCGTGCCACCACCGCGGAGGGCATATAGGGTCGGCGCATACCGGCTGGCTCGTTCAAATGGGATAGGTTCGTCAGGTCATCGCTGGCTTCGAGCATCGTGGGGTTCATTAGCGGCGGAAGACTCGCATCGGAATCATCTTCTAATGCCGCGGCGGTGATTTCGACCTTCTTTTGCTATTCGAGCAGGGACCATTAGCAGTGAATCTTCAGGCATGGGCAGGAGGCATTGGACGCCAAAACTAGGGACGCCTTACTTCCCCATTCGCAAGCTCAAAGACCAGATTGTACTTGTCCCCATCCTGAGTCTTGGAGATGACCTCCGAGGCAACCCATCCCTCCGTCGGATCAGGCTGCCACGCTCTCGTCCCGACATCGTAATTGTGCGCCATTTGGGGAATCCAGGGGGGCGGTTGGATGGTACAGCTCAGGTCGTCAACAATGGCCGACGGCCGAGATATTTCTCGATGCTTTGAGCCAAGGCCAGTATAGAAGGTAAAGGATGTAGTCCCCTGTCGACTACAGTAGAGAGAACATCTGTTTGATGATGAGGAGGAGATATATGGGGGTAATGGGTAATGGGTAATGGGTAATGGGTAATGGGTAATGGGAGCAAAGAGCTGTAGCAAGATTGGGGGGGGGGATAGGATACAATTTTTGGGAGATGACACCGGCGCGACCTGAACAGGTTCAATAATAATGACCAACAAGGGCTCTATGGTAGGGAGTAGGTGCCTTGGGGGTGCTTGGGGGTTTTACCTTGGCGGGAATGACGGGTTTTAGCGACAGAAGAGTCCCCCCCTTATTTCCACCGTAGCCGCGCCTTAGTGCGTTTCGTTTCGGATTATTTCATGCTACTGGAGAGAACAGGAAAGTTGCCAGTGGGAAAGAGGGCGAAGAGGGCGAAGAGGGCGAATAGCAGAGGAAAGCCCCTTAACAGCACATGTACTGATCTGTACTGTAAGTTACGGTAGGGGTACATAGCATGGCAGTTGAGTTGGGTTGGGGGAGGAAGTACTCCGTCCGTACTACCTAAACTTATGGGATACACGACCGAGGCATGAGTCTGCACTTCATTCCTTAACTTCTCCCTACCTACGTCCTATAATCCCCATTAATGGTCACATACTCATGACTGAAGTCGCATGTCCAGTAGTTTGCCTCTGCCTTCCCTGTTCCCAACCTAACCACAATCTCCAAATCCTCCATCGCCAGAATCTCAGCCGCCCGCTCCTCATCCACAGCCTCAGGCTCTCCATTAACCAGGAGCTTCAGCTCCGCCGAGCCATCCGCCGGCACAAACGAGACATTCGTCTTGTCAGTCGCGATCTCCTCCACTTCATTAATCGGCAGTCCCGGCTCCGAGATCAGCGAGTACCCAGTAGCACAGAGGATCCGTCCCCAGTTCGCGTCCTTTCCGTACAGAGCCGTCTTGACGAGCGGCGACTTCGCAATCGTCGAAGCGACCTTGCGGGCGGCCTCGACGGTGGCAGACTCGGTGACGCGGATGGTGACGAATTTTGTAGCGCCCTCGCCGTCGCGGACAACAAGCTTCGCGAGGTCCGTCGCGAATTCCGTGAGCACGGCTTGGAACTCCTTGTAATCCGGAGAGGAGGCCGATGTAATCTCTTGGCCGCCAGCAGCGCCGTTGGCGAAGAGCGCCACGGTATCGTTGGTGGATGTGTCACCATCGATAGAAATGCTGTTGAACGACGAGTCGACAGCGGAAGTAAGGAGGGTGGGGAGGAGTGTTGGGGAGATCGGCGCATCGGTTGCGATCATGCCGAGAAGAGTGGCCATATTAGGGTGTATCATGCCGGCGCCCTTTGTCATACCCGAGATGCGGTATTCCGTTGCTGGCGAAGACGACAAGGAGAAAGTGCGCGATATAAGTTTGGGGAAGGTGTCGGTAGTGCAGATTGCTGAGGCAGCGGCTAGCCAGTGCTCATGAGAAGAACCCAGTGCTTTGTGGGCTGCTGGGACACCGTCGAGAATCTTTTGGATGGGGAGCCTGTGTCATATGTTAGTGTGTGATCAATAACATAGGTGGCAGCCCAAATACCTCTGTCCGATAACACCAGTGCTCATTACTATAGAGCTTCCTCCCTTGCCATCGCCAGGCGCAGTAAAGCAGGCATCAGCTGCGGCGCCCATGCTCTCCGCGTCTTCTAAGCCGCCCTTTCCAGTAACAGCATTGGCACACCCCGAGTTGATAATAACCCCACGAATCCCAGTATTCTTCCTGCGGTTCAGCATATTCCTGCTAACAGTCACTGGAGCCGCTTGGAACTTGTTCTTTGTGAATACCGCAGCGGCGCCGCAGGGTGTTTCCGAGACTAGGAGGCCGATGTCTGGGTTGGACTTATTTGAAGGCTTAACTCCGACGTGAGTCCCTGAAACAAGGAATCCCCTTGGGTATTTGCCGCTTGTAGGAACATATTTTTGCTTCGCAGCTGGAATTGCTCCAGATATAGGAGCTGAATAGTTGCGGAGGGATTTGGGTGCTTTTTGTTGTACCGAGGGCCTTATCAGACCCTTTACGGCTGTTGATATTGAGGGGCCTTTGAGAGCCATTGAGTAGTGTGGTTGGGCTATAATAATGCAATGTCAGATACTTATACTGCAGTCATTTAGGGGCAAACAATTTTCTCCAAAACTTACATGCCAATCCTTTTATAAACAATGTTGGAGCTTGCGATGAAGAGTCATGGCGATAACGGCCTGGCACTTTGTGGGGAACGTTTTGCAGGAACCGGAGAAACCTGGTGGCTAAACCCCGGCTAGACATCGCCCTGACGACGCGTTTGTTCCGTTTGTACCTGTTGTACCGCGTCGGGCTGTGGTCGCAGGGCTGAGGATTTGAGGACGAGCCGAGTTAAATTGTCTGAATGTGCCAATTCCTGGACTAAGGAGTCCTTTAGATGACAATGAAACGCAAATCTTTTGTCGAAGAGGACGGTGACCTCGATGACGTATTGTCAAGAAAGAGAGCTCGGTCACCGCAACGAGATGATTTAAATGAGACCGATTTAAACGTTACCCCCTCGAAACCTCGATCCGCCAGACGGAAAACCAATGGGACCTCTATTGAGAAAATAGGCATTGGATCCTTTGAAGATGCCATTACACAAGAATCCCTACCAATTGTCGAAGCGGTGACACCGAAAAGTGGCCGCGGACGACCCAAAGGAAGCAAGAACTTTCCAAAACCTGATGGCGCAACACCAACACCGAAGAAGCTGCCCAAAGGGAAGACTCTCTTTGCTACGCCATCCAAGCCTCTGGGCCTTCTCACTCCGTCCAAGGCGCGCCATGCGGCAGATCGCTCCGCCCGCCGGAAAAGCACTCGGACATTGATCGAGAGGACTATAAACGGGGAGGCCAGCTCTGACGAAGACGATGATATTATTTCTCGATACATATACGACTCTGACAAGGAAGAGCAGGCCGATGCTGGCGAAAGTGAACCTGTCCAACCCGACGGCGGACCAGCCGAGCCAGCTGTTCCAGAAACACCCTCAAAAAGGGGTCGTGGCCGTCCAAAGGGTTCAAAGAACCGCATCCGTACACCCAGTCCTCCCCGAGATATGCCCCCACACGAGCTATTCTTTGCACAGAATCGGGGTGCGGCAATGAAAACCTCGAATAATAACCTCTCATCTCTTCGGCTTCTGGATCACGAAGAATACTTTACGCTTCTACGCTCCTACGAAGACCCCCACGCAAAGGACCTGGAGTTTCTGAGCTCTATCCATGCCCGCTCATTCCCGCAGTGGGACTTTGAACTAAGCCAGAATTTTAATATATGTCTCTATGGCTGGGGTTCAAAGCGCGAGCTCCTCACGTCATATGCGAATCACATATATGCTCAAAACAACGAAGCCAAAATCGTGGTAGTCAATGGGTATAACCCAAGCACATCCATGCGCGACGTTCTCAACACGATATTCTCACTAATCCCCAACGCCCCCAAGAAACTCGGAACCCAACCATCCGAAGTCCTCGACCGCCTCCTCACCCACCTCTCCACATCCGATGTACGTATCACGCTCCTCGTGCACTCTCTTGACGGCCAACCCATCCGCCGAGCAGCCACGCAGTCTCTATTCGCGCGCCTAGCCGCACACCCTCAAATCAGCATCATCGCCTCCACAGACCACCCGTCCTTTCCCCTGCTCTGGGACAGCTCGGCACGAACATCTTTCAACTTCCTATTCCACGATTGCACGACCTTCTCAACGTACTCTGCAGAAGTTGATGTCGTTGACAGCGTACTCCAGCTCCTAGGCCGTAGCGGGCGCAGGGTCGGCGGGAAGGAGGGAGTCGGTTTCGTCTTGAGGAGTTTGCCAGTTAATGCGAGGAGCTTGTTTAAGATCCTCTGCGTGGAGCAGTTGATGGTTATGGATGCTGGTGGGGGGATGGATGGTTTTGGCGGCGCTGGTGATGAGAATGGTGATGAGGGGCATCTTGGAGAACGGATGGGGGGTTCTAGATCGGCTGAGGTTGGGGTGGAGTATAGGACCTTATACCAGAAGGCTGTGGAGGACTTTGTGTGTGGTGATGAGGTGTCGTTTAGGAGCTTGTTGAAGGAGTATGTTTCCCCTATGCTTAACTTGCGAGACGTGCAAGGAACAATGCTGACAATTTACTACAGATTCCATGACCATCAGATGATCACGTCCCGCAAAGATGCTCTAGGAACCGAAATCCTCTCCATTCCATTCAGGAGAGAGGAACTGGAAGCTATCTTGGAGGACTTGATGAGCTAAACTGATACCACATATTTGTATTTATTAGAGGGTTTCAAGCGCAGGTGTTTGGCTTGGTACAGGTGCATAGTAGGAGTTTGAGAATAGATTGTTGGGTTGTAGGAACCCATGACAGAACATCCGACATGAGTCCCAGAAATCTCTACTCACTTCGCGTGACTTTTGCTTCGTTCTCGTTCAATGATTTACAAGCCTCGAAGAAAAGCGCCATGAATATCTGGCATTGGAGTGACGGCGAGACGTTTAATTGCTCGGATGGCTTTCGGGGTAAGCTCCTCCTCTATCCGCCCCTTGTCCCTTTCTGTTAGAAGTAGCAAGCACCTACATAAGTTGTTTAGTTAGCCCGGATCTAATAAAGGGTTACATGAACTTACAACATGATCTCTCCACATAAATAATGTCATGCCCAGATTGTGCCGGTTTTCCAAACTCTTTTGGTCATCGTCTACCACAACTTGGTACTCATTGAAAAGATTCCATTCCTCGGTATCTTCAGGGCCGTCACTCTCATTTGGAGCAAGTGTGCTACTTAAGAGCCGATGTTCGCCCACATCTGGAACGTCTTGCGGCACGTATTTAGAAGAGCCGGCACTGTCGAGCAGGTCTCTGAAAGCCGCATTCGAGTCGTCGTTGATCTCCACGCCATCTCGTTCATCAATCAACTTTCTAACAGCCGCTTTCCATGCTATCGTCAATCGTTCAGCTCCGGCATCTAGAGGATAGTTCCCATCAAGCACACTGGATGACTTGAGATTCCGGAACGACCACGTAGCCAAATTAGTGCCATGCAGCCTAATGGGTGAGCGACGCCGCCGTGACAATAATCAGGTTGTCCTTCTCAGTTTCGGATGCGCAGCTATGGCGGCTCTAGGCTAAACTGTGCCTAAAATTGCTACTGTGTGACCTTTCTACGCCCTTTATTTCATAACTGCATTCCATTAGGCTGCGTCATGGGGGACCGACTCCAGACCATACCATGGTCCGGTCCGGTCCCAAATCTTCAGACCAGACCGTGGTCTGGTCTGAAGCCAATGACTTGGTTCAAGGCACGTTGGATGGATGGTTTTAGCTGAGGGGCTACTTCGGGCGTTTTCTGCCCATTAACTTAACCCTTGTGGTTTGATGTGACACCTCGCATGGCTCACGTATGGCGGATCATGGAAAATAAGAGCAAGGCACCACCTGAACAAGGTACATAAGCTAAGATGCCAGAGCCTACAGCATAATTGTGAGGGTGATGTCGTCGTCGGCCATAGTTACTCTAGTTTCATATATCACGTGCTGATAAGGAGGAAACGTCCTGTTGCAGCAAGTGCTTGTTCATCAGACAGCAGCGTCAGAACCATTGCGCAAAACAGCCTCACAACCCCTCCTAGCATCTTCTAATATGAGTTCCAAAATTGAGAAAATCATCACTCGGCTACAATCGAAGTATGAAATGCCCGTCTTTCCGTCAACAGCAACCCTAACTAACGGTGACCAGGATTACTGAAGGCCAGTTCTACGAAGCTCAGCAGCAGACCCGCGTCGTTGCGTCTCGGTATATCAAGGCCAAGGACTGGCCCGCCGCCATTGATATTTTATATAATGTTGCCTCTTCACTGCTGAAGGCGGAGCAAGGCGGATCGGGGGGTGACCTCAGCATCTTACTCGTCGACGTCTACAAGCAAGCCGAGCTCGTGCCCGACGCAGCCAACAAGGGCAAGCTGCTCACTCTTCTACGGCTCTTCGACCCAGAGGAGCCAACGAGAAAGAAGTTTATAACCGAGATGATTGGGTATGCACAGCCCCTTCTCTTCATACTCCCCAGAACCATTGAAATCACAACTAACACCACCCAGATGGTCCGCCAAATTCGGCTCCTACCCCGCCGGCGAACCAGAACTTCACCACGTCACCGGATCCCTCTACGCCTCCGAACACGACGTCTATGACGCAGAACGCCACCTCCTCCTCGGCACGAAAGACTCGGCCCCCCTCCTCGCAAACCTCGAGTACGACTGGTACGCCACCGACGACTCCCACACAGCCGCGACATACGCCGCCCGCGCCGTCCTCCCCTACCTCCTCCTCGGCAACGTGCGCGACGCCTCCACCGCTCTCCAACTCTTCACCACGCGCCTGGCATCCTCGAACCCCTCCCTTGTGGTGCAAGACGTTAAGGCGTCAAAATCGGGGACAAAAGTCTACCCCTCGCTCCCTCTCCTCAACTTCCTCACTCTCCTCGTGGCGGCGGTAGAAAAGGGGGCCGCGGATCTGTTTAGACAGTTAAAGATCCACTATGCGTTGCTTATCAAGGAGGCGACGGGGTGGGATGAGGCGCTGGAGAGTATTGCGGAGATGTACTTTGGGATTGCGAGGCCAAGACAGGGGAATCCGCTGTTTGATATGATGGGGAGCATGTTTGGGGCGCCGCAGGCGCCGAAGAAACAGCCGAAGAGGGTGGGTGCGGCTTCGGGTGCGCCGGCGGTGGAGGGGCTAGATTAGATGGTCGTGTGAAAGATGATACCAATGCAACACGTTTTAGAATGTCTGTATGAGCTCGTAACTGAACCTTGGTAGCTGGGTATCTTAAAACTCCATGGCCCCCTCTCATTATCCTACCCTTCCATCATCTTCAAACAGCAATCTATCAGCCCATCCTCCCATCACCGCAATCCCACCTCCTCGCTCTCAGCCTCATACATCCAATCATCCTCCGCAAGCTGCGCTACGTTCCCCCTCAACACCCCCCTCACAGCCTCCAGTAGTTCCGCCGGCTCGCTCGGCGCCCGATTCCGATCTCGCAGATGATGCTTCACCGCATCCGCGACCCTCTGTCTCTCTTCTACGCACAAATTAGCACTGCACTGCACTCCACCCTCTCCCTTCCCCCAGGGCATCACCAAAACAAGAAAGAAAACAGAAAAACTCACTCCCCCCCCCTCCGTCCCCCTCCTCCTCCCCCCGCCCCTCAAGCAACATCCCCACCGGATCCCCCACCTCAAACTCCCCACTCGCGTCCCTCACCACTATCCCCCCCCCCCCGCCTCCTCCGCCTGATAAATCAAACCCCCCTCCACTCCCCAATACCAACGTCGAACCGCTCGTCACAGACGCGCTGGCTGATGTACTCCTCGACAACGCGGGGGGTGCGCGAACGGGGTCTCCGCTGCGCGTGGTGGGGGGGCGGCGCGAGAGTTGTGCTTGGAAGAGGTTGCGCCGGATGGGGCGGGGGTCGGCGGCTGCCGCGGAGGCGGGGGGGGGGTGGTGTGGGAGGGGTGGGGGTGTAGGCCGCGGGGGCGTTGGGAGGCCATTTCTACGATGTGGTGCGGGGATGGCGCGTGGTAGAGAGAGTAGTTTGGTGATGCGGGTTGGGTGGTATGTGGTATGGTGGTGGTTTTGTCGCGGGTGGGATAGTTATATGTGTGTGTCTTTTTGGTCTCTATGGCGCGGCCATTTTAGGTGTGTTCAGGTGTTAGGGGATATTTCTGTTGTTGTGGAAATGTTATGATTGATCCTGTTGAGGGGATAGTCGGATGCACGATCGATAAGATAGCGGGATGTGGGGTCACTGCAGTGGTGCTCAAGCTCCTAACGCCCGTCCATCGACAAGGCTGTCCCGCCAGCCTCCTCACCTCTTCCCAATCGCACAGCTTTCGCAACCCCCCCATTTTTTATACAGCTCCCAATGTAACCATATTCAAGATATCCTCTAACCATTCTAACCATGGAAAACCCAAAAGCAACCCTCCCCATCCACCCCCCCCACCGCTGGACCGGCCCCAGCGCCCCCATGAAGCGCCCCAAAGAAATCGCCTGCTTCTCCTACACCCCCTCCCACGAATACCGTCCCGACGCGTCGGGGCTGCGGTACTACTACCCCCCCCGCCTCGGCGCGGACCTGTGTAAGGGGTTTGAGACGTTTGAGAAGCTGGATGAGAGCACGGATGACCATTTGGAGAGTTTGTTGAGGACGATTGTGGGGGTGGAGAGGGAGAGGGGGGGGAGATGTGAGGCGGATGTTGTGACGTGGAGGGGGATGATGACGAAGTTGTTGGCGTGTCCGTTTGAGGATCGGGATGGGTGAGTGGGTGTTTGTTTGTGTTTTGGGGGTTTTGGGGAGGGGGGAGGCTGATTGTGTGTGCTGGTGTTGTAGGTTTGAGATGAATGCTACGTTTTACCAAGTTAGTAGTCCTTGATCTGTGGTGGGGGATGATGGCTAACAATTGTGAAGGGCACGATGTATGAATCACAACTCGCGGCTCTTATTCATAAACTAACGCGCACAGATATATCGAAGAGAGCCACGAATATAAAGCACAAAGACAAGCGCGACAGAGCAGGGTTCAAACAGCCCCAGGCCGGCCGAGTCAAGACATGATGTCCTACTGGGGTGCGTCCCCCTCATTTCTACTCTAGAAGCGTTATACTGGGAGAAATACACAATACTCACCGTCCACCCCACAGGCTACAAATTCGAAACCCTCTCCCTCCTCCCCGACACCTGGGACGCCACATCCCGCGAGTACATCGAAGGGCGCGAAGAGCAAATCGTCAACAACGCCGCGCAATACTGTTCCGTCGTACAAACCGGCATCGGTGACACCTCCCTCATCATCGGCGGCGAGATCGACGCAAGTACGTCCCCCCCTCCCCCTCCCCCCCCATTCCCCTCTCCTATCCACCACCTCCAGCCAGTCAGAGACTTAACTACCCCCCCCAGTCTGGGACTCCAAACCCCCCCCCCGACCAGCCAAACCAACTTCGTCGAGCTCAAAACCTCTCTCGACCCCTCCAGCCCCCGCGACTTGCAAGCATTCGAACGCAAACTCCTCAAATTCTGGCTTCAATCCTTCCTTTTAGGGGTCCCCAAGATAATCGTCGGATTCCGCTCCGCCAACGGTCAACTACGACGGCTAGAGGAGCTGGAGACGGCCAAGATTCCGGGGATCGTGAAGAAGAGGGGGGGGTGGGATGGGAATGTCGCGGTGAATTTCGGGGCGGGTGTATTAAGTTTCTTGAAGGGGACGGTGAATAGTGAGGGGGTTTGGAGGATTAGAAGGGGGGAGAGGAGTGGGGTTGTGGAGTGTTGGAAGGTGGAGGAGGTTGGGCATGGGGGGATTTTGTCGGAGGAGTTTATTAATTGGAGGGTTAAGCTTGCGTTGAAGGAGAGGGGGCAGGGTGAGGTGCAGAGCGAGGTGCAAAGCGAGGGGCAGGAGGGCGGGGAGGCGTAGCCATGGAGACGGGGAGGGTGGTGTATCATTATATAAGTGATTGGTATAAACATATTCGTATGATGTTGCGTATACTGTACTGTATATATATATATTATTATTATAACCAAAGCTTCTGACTCCCATTTCTACAATTTTCGTCATTTCATCTCCCACCCATTACGTCTCGCGCACCGCGCATATAGACTTCCACCCCTCTTATTAAATATACAAAACGCCATCTGCACCGCGACACCTATGTCACTCTCCACCACCACGTCACTAGGACTCGATACCCCAGCAACTCATCTATCATCACTTCCTCTTCAAATCTTCTTCTTCGTCTCCCCCCCATAACTCCTATCATCCTTCCCCTCCACGTCACCCTGAATCCTCTCCATCTCCTTAACCTGCCTCTCCCACTCCTTCGCCCCCATCTTACTCTCCTTAGAGAACAACTCGGCATTCGGCTTGCGATAACTCCCTCCCACGCGATCCCACAGCGTAAAATATTGCCCGTAGTTGTAGTTAAAGTACAGATGATGCATCGTATGACACGCCGCGCCATTGATCACAGGGGACTGCATCACGAACTCCCCATCGTGGATCAGGATCGTCCACATGTTGATAAAGATGAACAAGCCTACATACGCCACCTTTTGTAGGGGGAAGATGAAGGGGAACACATGATACGGAATCGACTGCACAAACCCATCAAGCGGGTGAAACGCATGCGACGCGAACGGCGTGGGCATAATCCACTTATGATGCGGCTTATGGAGCGTCTTATAAATCGCCGGATAATGCAACCCGCGATGAATAAGATAAATAAAGAAATCCGTGAAGAAGAGAAAGGCGGGGAACTGCGCGAAATTGTACCACGTCCCCGGCCCCTCGGCGGTGGTGTCGTAGAGCTTGGAGTAGCCGCGGCACTCGGCGACGAAGCAGGCGGCGGTGAGGAGGGACATGACGGGCATGGCGGTGTTGGCTTGGGTCATTTCGAGGCGGACTTGGTTTTTGAGGAATTTGGGGTGCGAGAAGGTCGCGTGGTCGAAGAGGAAGTAGTAGGATGCTGTGGCGACGATGAAGTAGAGGGCTAGGCCGAAGATCCTGGGAGGGGGGGGTTAGCACTTGCTGGGTGGGTGGTTTAGGGGGGGTGGGGGGGGGAATTGGGCATACCAGGTGATTGCGAACAGCGAGATGAACTGCCGCCAGATGTAGTCGCGTGGCCAGGCACTCATGTACGCCGCCGCGCTCGGGGCGAAGTTGAGATACGTACTCGCGGGCTCGTAGATCCACGTCGAAGCCAGGGTGTCGAGGGTCTGGTTGTTCAGGCCGCTGCCGGCGAGGTCGAAGGGGGCCGGGCCGGCGGGGAGGAGGTAGGCGTAGGCATAGTCGAGGGCGAAGGTGTCGACGACCTCGAGGGCGATGTCCATTGCTGCGGCGGAGGTCGGGGGGCTGTGGGAAAGGAGAAGTGAAGGCGGTCTTTTGTGGTGGGTGATGGAGGAAGGAAGAGGAATTGAATTTGGGGGGGGGGGGGAGGGCCTGGTTAATATGAAAGAAGAATGATTATTGTACGAATACGGGGAATCGGATTGACTTGACCCCTGTCGCGGCGTGGTTATCTAATCAATCGATCTCTGGGTTTTTTCGTACTCGGGTTGGGTTGGAAGGGTTAGGGGGGATTGGATGGCTGGTCACGTGATGGTATGAAGATATTCGTTGGACTAGGTACGGAGTTACGGAGTAGTTAGTTAAGATAACTAAGTCAAGTTAGTGTTGGACTAGGTAGTTAGTTAGTTAAGATAACTAAGTTAACTAAGTTAGTGTTGGACTAGGTAGTTAGTTAGTTAAGATAACTAAGTTAACTAAGTCAAGTTAGTGTTGGACTAGGTGGTAGTTAGTTAGGATAACTAAGTTAACTAAGTCAAGTTAGTGTTGGACTAGGTAGTTAGTTAGTTAAGATAACTAAGTTAACTAAGTCAAGTTAGTGTTGGACTAGGTAGTTAGTTAGTTAGGATAACTAAGTTAACTAAGTCAAGTTAGTTAACTATGCGGCCATCCTTACATAAGCTCTGATTCATGCGTGACGTACCGTACTGTAGTAGTAACCGCCCATGGCCCTAACCAACACATGTCCTTTTTTTGGCCTTTTCCCTCGTCTATTATTCTATTCTCTATGGTACTCTACTCACTTACTCTCTACTCACTACTCACTCTACTCACTACTCGCTCTACTCACTACTCACTACTCACTACTCACTCTACTCACTACTCACTCTACTCACTACTCACTACTCACTACTCACTCTACTCACTACTCACTCTACTCACTACTCACTACTCACTACTCACTCTACTCACTACTCACTCTACTCACTCTACTCACTCTACCCTGTACATATCGTAGACTGCAGTTAGATATGTACTCCTTGTACCCAGCCCTAAAATTCAAATGGTAGTGGTGGTAGTGGTAGAAGTGGTGTAGGTGTAGGTGTAGGTGTTAGTTATGTTAGGTGTCGGTGTAGGTGTAGGTGTAGGTGTAGGTGTAGGTGTGTTATGTGTAGGTGTAGGTGTAGGTGTAGGTGTTAGTTAGGTGTAGGTGTGTAGGTGTAGGTGTAGGTGTTAGTTATGTTAGGTGTAGGTGTAGGTGTAGGTGTAGGTGTAGGTGTAGGTGTAGGTGTAGGTGTAGGTGTAGGTGTAGGTGTAGGTGTAGGTGTGTTATGTGTAGGTGTAGGTGGAGGTGCAGGTGTAGGTGTAGGTGTTAGTTATGTTAGGTGTAGGTAGTTATGTTAGGTGTAGGTGTAGGTGTAGGTGTAGGTGTAGGTGTTAGTTACTACTCCTAACCCCTACTAGCTTGATTTAGTCCACTCCCACTCCCACTCCCACCCACCTTCCCCCCCCCCCCCCCCCAAAAGTCCCGTAATTGTTTTGCACTGCAACTATCTTGGGTCTCTCCGTTTCTAAACCTCTTCTCTTCTCTCTTCTCTCTTCTCTCTCCCTCTCTCCTTCTCTCAACTCTTCCCAACTACCCCCAACAAACTTACTCCATCTCACTTCCCTACCCTCTCGTCCGCTTCCATCACCAAAACGGTTGCGCCGAATTATCATCTCCTCTTCACTCATCTGTGTTCGCCGTGGGGGCCGTGTTGTCGCGAGGCAACGCTTGAGACCGGCGCCAGTTCTCAGCCTCATTCCACCACTGTTGTGTGACGTCCGCGTTTTACTCCACACCCGACCGCAACACACTGTGTCGCCGACCCCGAAACACTCAATCGACATCTACACCAAAGGCCAGCGTCGCCTTTAACTTTCCATACTCGTGTTGGCGCGCTATCACCACCTCACCATAAATCACGCTCCGTCCCACCTCTCCTGATCGCCTTCCGCAACAACTCCGTCTACATGCGATAGCGATAGCACCACCTGCCACGAAACACCCAGCGCCGTCATCTCGACGTCGTTCACCACACGCTACAGTTCGATATCTAGCCTCCAGCTTCCAACAGCCCTGGGGTGAAGCCTTTCGACGATAATCATAATGTCAGGAATGTATAATGCGCATCGGGGAATGGGCCCTGCGCCTGGAAACCCGCGCTTGAATGAGCTCCTCGATCAGGTTCGCGCCGAGTTTGAGACTCAGGCGAGAGCTAGTGGAGAGTATGAACACTCGAGTAGGTTTTTATCAAAAGTCGCGCGCGCGTCTGATCTTGCTCTGAAATGACGCTGACCATACCTCAGTCGGGCAGCAGTTACAGGAGATGCAAATGGTCCGCGAAAAGGTCTATCAAATGGAACAGACCCACATGGCCTTAAAACAGAAGTAAGTTGATTGATCGCGTCCAGACAAATATGTGTATTGACAGCGCCTAGGTACGACGAAGAGATCGCTCGCCTGCACAGAGAACTTGAAGCCCGTGGCGGTCCTTCCGTGTCAAGAACTGGCGGACCACCCCAACACGTTGGGCCAACTCAGGCGCCACCGCCTTCGATTGGCCATGGCCCAAGCAATCTTTTCGGAGGCATCATGGCCGGTCAAGGCCAAGCTGGCCCAGGCCTCCCGCCTCAGCCCACACCACAGGACCAGGGACCTCCACAACACCAGATGCCCCAGCCGCCAGGACTCCAACAAGGACCTCAACCTCCCGCACAGGGTCCATTCCAGCCGGCTGGCCAGTATGGTCCTCCCCCGGTGCAAAATGGCTACCCCTCACAGGGTCCTCCACCTGCGTCTCCGGGGACGATCGCCAAGCGTGGCCCGGCCAGAGGCCCGGGTGCCCCAGCGACGCCAAATCTTGGGCCCCAGCATCATGACCAGAGACCAGGTCCCATCCCAGGGCCGTCTTACAACTCGCACATTGCCAATGTTGGGAATGCATTGGCAGAGCTGGACCTCGAGCGCCTCCCTGATCACCAAAAGAAGGTCGAGTCGGATTGGTTCGCAATCTTCAACCCTCAGGTTCCAAGGGTTCTTGACGTTGATCTGCTCCACACTCTGCAGCACGAGAGCGTCGTCTGCTGCGTTCGCTTCAGCCATGATGGCAAGTATGTTGCCACTGGTTGCAACAGATCCGCTCAAATCTTCGATGTCCACTCTGGACAGAAGGTCTGTGTCCTCCAGGACGATTCCGCCGACGCTGCTGGAGACTTGTACATCAGAAGTGTCTGCTTCAGCCCAGACGGCAAGTACCTTGCGACAGGTGCTGAGGACAAGCTGATCCGCGTTTGGGACATTGCCTCGCGCAAGATCCGCAACACGTTCGCCGGTCACGAGCAGGATATCTACTCCCTTGACTTCGCCAAGGATGGCCGCACCATCGCATCTGGAAGCGGTGACCGTACGGTCCGCTTGTGGGATATCGAGACCGGCAACCACATCATGTCTCTCAGCATTGAGGATGGCGTCACCACCGTCGCGATCTCCCCCGATACGCGCTACGTCGCTGCTGGATCCCTCGACAAGAGCGTCAGGGTCTGGGATATCGCTACTGGATATCTCGTCGAGCGCCTCGAGGGTCCGGATGGACACAAGGATTCAGTCTACTCGGTCGCTTTCGCGCCTAATGGCAAGGATCTTGTCTCTGGTTCTTTGGATAGGACTATTAAGATGTGGGAGCTGATGGCCCCGCGTGGAGGACACCCCAACACCGGACCAAAGGGTGGAAGGTGCATCAAGACCTACGAGGGACACAAGGTAAGGAAATATCACTATCCGGCTTTTATCACATGCTAACATTCTCTAGGACTTCGTCCTCAGTGTCGCCCTTACTCCAGATGGAGCCTGGGTCCTCTCCGGATCCAAGGACCGCGGCGTCCAATTCTGGGACCCCCGCACCGGCAGCACCCAGCTCATGCTCCAGGGCCACAAGAACTCGGTCATCTCCGTCGCGCCCAGCCCCGCCCCCGGCGGCTTCTTCGCCACCGGCTCCGGCGACATGCGCGCGCGTATCTGGGTCTACAAGAACATCGCGCCGCAGTAGATTTAGGTCCCACGAATTCGAATCGCCCAAGCAACGAATGTGGCCAGGGCTGATGGGGTGCCGGAGAACAAGGTCGAACGAAGCTTTGGATGACTTTGAGAAATACGATGCTATGTACGGACAGTGTGGGTTGAGTGTTTTAGTTTTTTTCGCGGAGTACAACGGGTCTTCTGGGTGCTGGTTCGGGGGGGACAAGTCGTCGTCGTCGTCGTCGTCATCGGTCGGTCGGTGGTGGGAAGATGGGAAGAAGAAGATAGAGAAATTGAGTATGATGTTGATGTGTTGGGGTGAGGATGAAGGGGGGCGACGACATCGTGTTTTTTTTTATTGGAGGCAAATGCAGATGCATCCGGGTAAAGCCACCTCTGGAATTTAAGGGGGCGAAGAGTTAAAATTCATGATCAGCCGCTACTGTAGAGAAATATGAGATTCTATTCTTCCTTTCGTTTCGAATTGTCTGTGCAGGGTAGAGTAAATAACGGGGTAAGTTATAAGTCCAACGAGGGGGAGGCTGAATGGACAGAATGGGGAGAATGGGAACCGCAAAGAATCTGACCACGTGACCCTCTTATCTCCAACTTGAAATTCGCGTAGGTTCGCTTGGCTTCCAGCATTTTCGAGAAACAAGTTGCGTACCCAAGAAGCACAGACGTCACCGGTGCACGGGATCTTGAAGTTGCGGGCGAGTTATCTGACAGGTATAATCCTCCCTCCTCCCATATAAATCGGGCAGCAATTGAACAACCACCCACGACGAAACTTTTTTTTAAGATTACCCACAACAATTGACTCACTCTTTTGCTAGAAAGGAAGATTTGTTTAGAAAAGAACATTCGCGGTATCGCTGGTGTTTCTCAGTTTCTCGATTACGAGCACTACGTACGGGCTAGTGACGACCACGACCCTTTGAACCCCGAAGAAGCGATAGATACGCGCAGCGCAGCCTCACAGACCGGGAATCGTGACAATGGTGGCGGAGACGAAGCTTTATTCGGAGCTGGGGATTAAGCCTGAGGCGACGCAGGATGAGATTAAGAAGGCATATCGGTACGTCGTCATGAACAGCTACGCCATTCATTACCCCTCCTCCCCCTCCACTTCCACCCTCAACCCCTTCTCCCAACCCCAAACAAGACACACAAAAGCTAACCATCTGTACAGCAAATCCGCAATGAAATGGCACCCCGACAAAAACCCCAACAACCCCCAAGCCTCTGAGAAATTCAAAGAAGTCTCCCAAGCCTACGAAATCCTCTCCGACCCCGAAAAGCGCAAGACCTACGACCAATACGGTCTCGAGTTCCTCCTCCGCGGCGGCCCCCCTCCCCCCGAGCCAGGCGAGGGCCCGCAATATGCCGGTGCGGGCGCGGGGGGCATGCCTGGCGGATTCGCGGGGATGGGAGGGATGCCTGCTGGCGGGGGGGCGAGGACGTTTCACTTCGCTACTGGGGGAGGGGGGGGCAAGGCGGCGGTGCGTTCCATTTTAATAATCCGCAGAGTATTTTTGAGGAGTTTCTGCGGCAGAGTGAGGGGGGGGGATGGGAGGAGGAGGGGGGATGGATGATTTGTTTGGGAGCTCCTTCGGCGGCTCCGGCGGCGGCGGGATGCCACGCACGCGCACGAAAGCGGGAGGAGGCCCCCAAGCGGCGCGGAGGCGGCAACCTGTTGAGCCCGAAGTGACGGTGGTGGAGAGGCCGCTGCCGATATCGCTGGAGGATCTGTTTAAGGGGACGCATAAGAAGATGAAGTTCCAGCAGAAGACGTTTGATGCCGAAGGGAAAAGGACGACGAAGGATCGGATTCTGGAGATGGATATTAAGCCGGGGCTGAAGAAGGGGAGTAAGATTAAGTTTCAGGGGGTGGGGGATCAGGAGGAGGGGGGGAGGCAGGATTTGCATTTTATTGTTGAGGAGGTGAGTTTCCTTTTTTTCATTCCTCTCTAATCTAATCATCATATTGCACTACGTATGGAACGCCAGACTAACCCCGCAATCAGAAAAATCACCCCCTCTTCACCCGCGAAGGCGACGACATCGTCCTCCCCCTCGAACTCGACCTCAAAGAAGCCCTAACAGGCTGGAAACGCACCGTCACCACCATCGACGGCAAGAACCTCGTCATCGACAAGGGAGGCCCCACGCAGCCGGGCAGCAACGACACGTACCCCGATCTGGGGATGCCGAAGAAGGGGGGGGGGAGGGGGAACTTCGTGGTGAGGTATAATGTTAAGTTTCCGGGGACGTTGACGGGGGAGCAGAAGGAGAAGTTGAAGGAGATTTTGTAGGTGGGTGGTGGTGGGAGGTGGTGGGTTTGGTGGGCGCTTTGTGTTGTTTTATGTGGGCGGTGTTTGTGGGGTGGTGGTTAAGTGAGTTTTTCGTTTGGGAGATGGAGGGAGGTATTTATCGAGGAGTGTTTGGTATGTTGGGGAAGTGTATATAGACGCATTATGAACATCAATTAAACAGTTATTTTACAAAATTTAACCATTGACACCTTGGTGGGGTGAGTGCTGGATCAGCCTCAACGCAGACGACCATCTGTTATTACATCTTCAACCAGGCACAGAGAGAAACATGAACCCAGGCAGCCAGCTCGTTGAGTATATACGACCTATTCTATTCAAACATTATAGTCGCTCAACGCTTCTATTTCTGAAAATGCAAGGATCTGGCAACTATAACTTCTTTACCACCCCCTTCCAGCCATCTTCTCGCTCTCGGGCATCTTATCAACATTAATCCCCACCATCGCCTCACCCAAATCCTCACTGATCTCCGCCAACACCTTAGCATCCCTAAAGTGCGTAACGGCCTGCACAATAGCCTTCGCCCTCTTCGCCGCATCCCCCGACTTGAAGATGCCCGAACCCACAAACACACCATCACAGCCCAACTGCATCATCAGCGCCGCATCCGCCGGCGTCGCGACACCTCCCGCCGCGAAATTCACAACCGGCAGACGTCCCAACTTGGCCGTCTCCTTGAGCAGCTCAAACGGCGCCGCGATCTCCTTAGCCAGGACGCGCAGCTCGGTATCGGACATGCGCGAGGCGTGCGCGATCTCGGCGTTGACGGTGCGCATGTGGCGGACGGCCTCGACGACGTCGCCGGTGCCTGCCTCGCCCTTGGTGCGGATCATGGCGGCGCCTTCGCTGATGCGGCGGAGGGCTTCGCCGAGGTTGCGGCATCCGCACACGAAGGGGACGGTGAAGGGGTGCTTCTCGACGTGGTGTGCGTGGTCGGCGGGGGTGAGGACTTCGGACTCGTCGATGTAGTCGACGCCGATGGCTTCGAGGATCTGGAGAGGGGGGCGGGGTTAGCGGGGTAAAGAAGGTCAGAGGGGTTGGGGAGGGGTTAAATGGGGACGTACCTGGCACTCAACAAAGTGACCGATGCGCGCCTTGGCCATGACGGGGATGGTGACAGCAGCCATGATCTCCTTGATCATCTTCGGGTCCGACATGCGGGCCACGCCGCCCTCGACGCGGATATCAGCGGGGACACGCTCGAGCGCCATGACGGCGCAGGCGCCGGCCTCCTCGGCGATGCGGGCTTGGGCTGCGTCGACGACGTCCATGATGACGCCGCCCTGCAACATACGGGCCAGGCCGGTCTTTACGATGAAGGAGTCGGTGGTGGAGCCATTGGCGGCGTTGGTGGCAGTGGCGCCGAGGACGGGGAGTTCAGTTGCCATTGTTGCGTGTGTGTGTGTGTATATGTACAGAGGATTCCACGGGGGAGGATTGTTTGAAGGGAGAGTTGAATTGCAGAATGTGACACTTTTTAAGAGGAGGGAGGTGGATGAGAAAGTGGGTTGGAAAGGTGGTGGTTGTGCGGGGTTAAAGAGAGAGAAGTTGAAGCCGACTTTTTCTTAGTGGGACAACTCCGATACGATAACACATGTAGGCACGGGACTGTTTCCGGGGCCCGATCTCCGAAATTTATTAGAGAGACTCGATAATTAATGGGCACGCGTGCATTGTACAGCGCTTAGCCACGGGCTATAAACGTAAATAAAACGTAAATTTGAGGTTATTCTCAAAATTACGTTTATGTACACCGATTCTGGAAGGTAAGGGGGAAAAAACCAGGAGCAACCAGGCCGACTCAGGCCAACCCCGCCGTGGAGAAGCAAATAAACCGGCGGTGACATTTTCTTTGTGGGAATTACCAGAATCGGAAGGAAAGACGTAGATAAGTCAGTCAGGAAGTAAATAAGGAAATATAGGAATAAAGAACAAAATAAGTATAACGTCAAATATAAAAATAAATAGCTAGAAATAGCTAGAGTGGGATATCATCACTAGAAAATCATTTATTCCTAATAAAGACGTCAGCCGCCAAACAAATTGGCAAGACGACGATGATCTAGAAACTACCAGCCTCAAACCAAGGTGTTATAAAACAAAGACGACACCGCCACCACCACCGCCGCCATCGCCAACCATCACCACCACCAACAACCATGGGCATCACCCTCACCTCCCCCCCAAAACAAACCCTCTACTTCGCCTACGGTTCCAACCTCTCCCCGACCCAAATGCACTCCCGCTGCCCCTCCTCCCCTCTCCACACTCCCCCCCTCGCCACCCTCAAAGACCACGAATGGTTCATCGGCGAGCGGGGATACGCTAATATCCGTCCCTGTCCCGGGCGAGAGGTGGTAGGCTTGCTATATGTGATGGACCCAGGGGACGAGGAGGGGTTGGATGAGGCGGAGGGGGTGCCGTGGGCGTATGAGAGGAGGGGGATGGGAGTTGAGGTGCTGGGGGTGCTGGGGGTGCGGGAGGTGAGGGTGTTGGTGTATCTTGATCCGAGAAAGGGGAGTGGGAGGGCGAGTGAGGAGTATATTGAGAGGTTGAGGAGGGGGAGGGAGGAGAGCGGGGAGTTGGGGTTGGTGGTGGGGGATACGTGGGGGGAGGGGTGGGATGGGGAGTGAGAGTGGGAGTGGGGAGTGCGTTATCAAGCCCCCTTCCCCCCCTCCTCCATCTCTCTCTCCATCGCTAATCCAATGCCTCCAAGAAACTGCGCAAAAAATGGCTCATGATATATTACTCCGTCACACCCAAAACATCCTCTTATAAATTCATCTAATCTCGTCTTCTCGTACCATGGATAACTGCGCTGGCAGCCAGTGCCAGCAAGCCATCCTGCATAAAACCAATCATATCAATCTCCCCCCCACCCAATGCACGATCAAGAGATGGCGAAAGCACACCCCTCTCCTACGTACAAGGATTCAAAAACGGATTCAACAGCAACTCATCCGCATCCGGACGATCACGATCATCAATCTCAAACGTCTGATCCAAGAAGCGCTTCGCCTCATCACTCGCCGCCTCCGGAATCGTCGGCCGCGCCTTGCTCCCCCCAATCTTGAAGATGGCCTGCAGCTGCGAGCAGTCCGGGTACGGATGGCTGCCCGTCATCATCTCAATGACCAGACACCCGAGCGACCACACATCCGACTTGCGCGTGTACTTGGTCTGCTTGACGACCTCCGGCGCCATCCAGAACACCGATCCCTGTAGCGAGGGGCGGTTCTTGCTGTTCCCCGCGCCGCCGAGCACATTCGAAGCTTCCATCTTCTTCGAGATGCCAAAATCCGAGATCTTGATCCCGCCCTTGTTGTCGACCAGGATATTGGCGCCCTTGATATCGCGGTGCACGATGTCGCGGCCGTGGAGGTAGGCGAGCCCCGTGACGATCTGGCGCACGAAGCTGCGCACGAGCGGCTCGCGGAGGGCGCCGTACGAGTTCAGCATCGTCTGCACGGATCCGCCGGGGACGTACTCGAGGAAAATGTTGAGCGAGTCGGCGGAGGAACTGCAGCCCAGGTATTGCACGATGTTTGGGTGCTGGAGCTCGCGGAGAAGGCCGATCTCGCGCTTCAGGGCGTCGATCATGCTCTTCTTCTTCTGGTCGTTGGCACTGGCAACACCTGCAGATAGCGACTGGACTTGCTTGACAGCCAGAAGCTCTCCCGTCACGGTGTGGAGCGCGAGATAGACGCTGCCGAAGGAACCCTGGCCGATAAGAGCACCCTTCATCCACTTGCTGTCATCCCACGAGTCACCAGCCAAGAAACTCTGCAAGTCATCATCAGCCTCCTCACCATCTTCATTGAGTGCCTCGCTGATTTCGCGCAGCGAGCCGGCTTCGGTGCTACCATCTTCGAAGTAGCTGCTCGTAGTGCGTCCATCCGGATCGGTGATGTTGACATGCGTGTCGGAGCCGCTGTCAAATGAGACGTATGATTTTCTGTTGGGCTCGCTGGCCGATTCCTCTTGGAGTGGCTCCAACACTGACGAAGAGACCGAGTCGCGGTATACCGAGTGTCCGCGGTCGAGCACACGCAGTTTCGGGCCAGAGGGGCCGGTCTGGAGCCAAGTATCTTCTATGCGAGGCATAGGAGGTGCATCCTTCATACTCGATGCAAAGCTGAGGTTGCTGGCTACAGACAGCCGGCTGTTGACTCTGCTGAGACGCTTCGATCTTCGTAGTGATAACCGGGCTGTCTTATCAATCTCCTCCTTGGCATGGTTCGGGAAGTAAGTAGTCAAATCAGATGTGATGAGCTCACTGGGAGGCCTCTGTCCAAAGAATTGTCGGAGCACATCGTTCTTTCCCCGTCCCTGCCTCCTTTTTACAGGAGCAGCATCCGCTGGAGGTGGTCGTTCCAGATCCTTGGCTGCGTTGTGGACATTTCGCTCACGCTCCTCAGCGGAAACATTCGACGTGAACGAGGAGGGAGAAAGAGGATATTGTAGGCCAGTACCCCACTGCTCTCCAAGGATCTTCTGCGCCTTCACCTGGCTCCGCTTGCCAGTGCCTTCCAGTGCCCGAGAACGTAACTGGGCCGACTCTTCCATGGCGATATCCGCCGCGCGTTGGAGTTCCGTTTCAGAAGGCTCTCCAGCGTGGATCTTGCGCAGAATCAGACGGTTTCGTTCCGGTCTTTTCGAGTCCCTAATAATACGCCATAATTCTGGTTCGAAGAGTCGACGACATGCTGCTGGATCTGGTTCGAGGCCAGCCAGGGTCCAGAAACAGTAATTCCTTTCATGGTCCTCCCGATAGGTGAACTTCCGCAGGGTCAACCTCATCACCTCGTCGATTGTCTTGCAATCTGTCACTTTGACGACCTTGGTCAAGCCATCCTTGGCAATGACGCGAATCATATCCTGATCTTCTGGTAACGACGACATTAACGACCCATCTATGCTGCCAGCTCCGCGAGTGTGGTGTCCGATGAGGCGGGCTGTCTGCGGCTGGTCCCTGTCGAGAGGAGTGCCCGGGTGCCGAGCGGACTGAGAAGATATCGCAGATGTGGCCGGGAAGTATCCTTGGCCTTGGTCTCTTCGTATATCTTGTGGGCTAATCGCATTGTACCGTTGTTGGCGGATAACTCGCGCTTCTTCCGGCAGTGGGGAGTTAGGACGGGAGCTTGACTTTGAGGAAATTTCAGGCGTTAGGCTACCAAGATTGTAAGAGTCGTACTGTCTCGAGAATCGTTTATTATTTGTTGCAGCACGGTTGGCTGAGGTGGGAGGTCTGGGCGAGGCAGATGACGCAGGCGTATATAGGAGGCTACTCTGGAGACTAGCAAATGAGTCCTGCTACCGTTAGTGATCAAAGAAAGAGAAACTGTTGGATAAGGCCTCTGTATACTCTATTCCTCTTCTTCTGATTGGCATATGCCTTCGTCCTGAGTTTCTTGATGCTCACGAACAAGCGCACACGGTCGCCAATCTTGTCGATGCCCATTTCTTGCAGGACGGCCTTGTCCATCTCCAGCAGGTTCTCTCCATTAATATTATTCTTCTTGAACAGCTTCTCATAGGCGCCGCAGTTGATTGTATGCAGCCAGTCGCAGACACGCTCCTCATCCCAATGCTTTGCAGAGTCGGGGTCGTCAATGGAATCCGAGAACTCGGATTCCGTTGGGCTAAAAGATGTCTGGTTGCTTGGGGGGACGACCAAGACTCTCCGGCCAGTTAGACCAGCGGACGTTGGCATCGAGGACTGCTGGATGCCCGCCGACGATAGATTCGCTGGATATGGCGACTGGGAGGCTAACATGGCCATGGCTGTTGTCGGTTTGCGGAGCGAGGCTCAGCGATGCGGCGATATTGAGATCTAACAGCTAACAGCTGGCGACGGAGCTGACGTCCGGGTTATAACTCCTCAACGGACGGAGAAGAAGTGACAGGCAGTTCATCAATGCTATACTACTGCGTATGATGGCACTGTCTGAGAATGTTTTGATGGCGTGTTTGCCCCGTGTGTTTCGAGGGCCGTATGGGGAAAAGAGGGACTAGTGGGCAAGAGTCGGAGTCGAGGGTTGATTGAGGGCGACGGGGCGGTGGGTTTCAGGAAGGTGAACCCTGGGAAAGGTACCTGCGAACCGGCGCTAGAGTGGGAGTAGCAAGAAGTAGACAGGCTGGTACAGGTACGGGCGGAACAAAGACAACAGCGAATCTCGGGGATGTCTTCCGAGGCCTTGAAGATTTGTGAAAGAAGAGGTGAAGTTGATGTGCATATATATGATATAGTATGTCTGTTTATATATATTCTTCAGAACGTTCCGTCAGTCATCGGTCGATTAGTTGCGTTTCGCTGAAGTTCTTTTTGTGAGGCTCTCTCGCCATGTCAGCCATACAAACACTTCAATGTACAGGACTGAGACGACGCGAGAGAAAGAGGGTCAGCCAGTCAGCCATACAGTCCCCTACCCTACGGAGACAGTACGTAGTAGAGCACAGCCACGCGTTGACGCTGAAACTGTCATACTGTAGCCGCCACAAGCATGCCAGACAGGTCATCATCGCCGTCTTTGTCCCCGTCACCTTCTCATCATGTTGTCGCGGATTGTGGACAGCGGTTGTTCCTCTGTCTCCCAGTTCCTCCTTTGTCTTCCGCCCTTCTCAGCGCTATGGAATGCTCGTCATGACCCCTCTCATCTCACTCTCGCACGCACGCGCTGTGGCGGGGAGCCGTTGTATCGCTGAAACGTGGTAAGGGGCGCTCGCGGAAGACGCTGGCGGTAGGTAGTTAGGGGAGGCCACCCCGGCCGCTCTGACACCGGAAGCGTTTGGTGTAGGGGCGGTGTGTGTCTATTTCTCCCATGCACGACACCCGTTATCTATGATCTGGCTATGATCTGGCTGTGGCTCTGTCCGAGAACCATGTACTGATCATGGGTATTGTGGTCTTCAACTCCAGCACTATTCTATCCGCATCAAAACAAACATGTGATGCCCCTGGCGCCGATCCAGAGAACGATTGGGATCCAATAATAGTAATATGAAGTCCTATGGGAGGCTCTTGTTTTGGATTTGATGAGTTGTCGGTCATCACCACATGTTGTTGATGCCGAGCAATGCGTGCCTGCCATCACTTGACGCCTGTGACTTCAGTGAGACGCCGTACAGAGTATGGAATGATCTTTACCATGATTGATATTAACACAGATATGCAGGCCTGGCGAGACCCGGCGAGACCGTCGAGCAATATAGTACTGCCATGGATGTTATGCAGAATAAACTCTCCAACCCTCATGGCTTGGGCCAACAACGATCATCATCAAACCAAACAAGACTCTTCAACCTGATGTCTCACCTAGCAAACGCCCTCCGCCAGATAACGAAGAAATCTTCAAAAATCCAAACGCCCTCATCTACCAGCTGCAGCTTCAGCTTCAGCGCGCGAAACAAAAGTATCTTGTGCTCCGACTCTGAAACTTTCTCCGCGTTTTCGCTCTCGGGAGACCCAAGTGCAACTGCACCCTCCATGCCGCTGCCCAACTGTTCCACTGCGCTTGATAGAGAGCAACAGAGTGGTCCTGAAGCAGCAGAGGGGAGTAATGAGGGTATCAAGTGCAGAGAAGCAGATGGACAGCCACCGCGAGCTCACCGAGGTGACGCTCACGCAGAAGGGCCAAAGGAAGGAAGTCTATGGCATGAATCGCAGGACGGAGTAAGTAGTCGGGGTCGAGAAGATGATTGTATGAGTAGAATAGTTCTTTCCTTATGTTTATGATGATACCCTCTCTTCTCAATACAGTACAAAATAGGTACCTGTACATGTACCATATTTAGTCACCTGATCAGAAGCTCAAGTAGTGTCAGCCTAGAATGTCAGGCCAATCACCATCTCATCTCCCCATAGCTCCAATGTCCAACGTCACCCTACAGGATCCGCGCAAGGCTGAAGGCGGAGGCCCGTACTTGAACTCTCCCTGTGCGACTCCCCCGCCATTCCAACAAGCCAGCGGCTACACTCTGTTACTCTTTGAAGCTGTGCTCAATAATGAGGTAGCAACCTACAATCTGACCCATGGCACTCGATACGTCGAACGGCTATGCGGCCGCAGGCACCTTCCACGATCTCAACGAGCCGTCCCTGCCCATATTCAACATCGAGCGGGTTCAGCTACAGTTCTCAATCGGCTCCGACTTCGTCGCTGCTCAGGTCGCCAACAATGTCCTCGTTCTCGCCCTCTCGAGCGGCCGCATCCTGCGCATAGATTTAGACAATGCCGAGGATATAGATGGTAAGCCGCACGTTGCAGAGGGGATGAAGAAGACTCCATGCTAACCTTGCAGACATTGACCTGCCCAAGAAGACGTCCGAGATTGGCGTGATACGGCGCATGTTCTTGGATCCGACTGCCTCGCATCTCATTATCAGCACGAGCTTGGGCGAAAACTACTACCTCCATACCCAGTCCCGACAGCCGAGACCGCTTTCACGGCTCCGTGGCGTTTCCATCGAGTGCGTGGCTTGGAATCCGTCTCTTCCAACGGCCTCGACACGAGAGATACTCATAGGCACAACTGATGGGAATATATACGAAGTATACATCGAGACCTCAACTGAGTTCTACCGCCGAGAGGACAAGTACTTGAAGTCGCTCCAGAAGCTTCCAGATGGAGCAATTACGGGTCTCTGGGTTGACACCATTCAACCCGGCAGAGCAGATATACGGAGAGTCGTGATTGCAACACGGGGTAGACTATTACATCTAGTTGGTAAAGCTACAAGGTCCGGCACCGAAGGCGGCGGCTCTATCTATGCGAAGCTATTCGAGTCCGAACAGCCAACAGTCCACGAGATATCTCGAATATCCTCAACTTTTACCTCGTCACTTGTAGTGTCACCGGACTCACCTGATTCCTCGTCACCTGAGGCACTGGTGCCGGATCGCACCTATGCTTGGTTGTCGTCTCAGGGAGCGTTCTACGGGAAACTCCTCTCGACCCCAGTTACTTCAGAATTAGGAAGCAAGGTGTTCGCGGAGTCAAAGATACTTCTCATATCACAACTCCCAGTTGGCGAGTTATCGTCTGGAAGAGCGAAACCTGTTCAGGAAGGCGTTGATGCTATTGCCCTGACCCAGTGGCATATTTTGCATCTTGTGGGCGGGCGAATAGTCGCCATCAACAGGCTCGATGATACTGTCGTGTTCGACCAACTCGTGCTAGACCCTGGACAACAGGCAGTGGCTTTACTTGCTGATCAACAAAAGAATACATTCTGGCTTTTTACAACAACTGAGATTTTCGAAATCGTTGTCACAGAAGAAGACCGAGACATCTGGAAGGTCATGCTTCGGAATGAGAATTTCGATGCTGCACTACGATATGCGAGGTCACCATCGCAAAAAGACGCCGTTGCCACCGCCTCAGGCGATTACCTGATTGGCAGAGGCCAATACCTGGAAGCCGCCGGTGTATATGGAAAGAGCAGCAAGCCGTTCGAGCAGGTTGCCCTGGCTCTCATCGAACACGATCAGCAAGATGCTCTCCGAAAGTATCTGTTGACTAAGATTGCCACCTTCAAAAAGTCCTCGGTCATGCAGAGGATTATGCTAGCAAGTTGGCTGGTGGAAGTATTCATGTCGAAGCTCAATTCGTTGGATGACACCATTGTAACGAAAGCGGAACTATCGGAGTCACTCAGCCCAGAGCAGACTCAAAGCCAGCTAGAAACGATTAAAACGGAGTTTCATGAATTCGTGACAAAGTATAAAAACGATCTCGATCGCAAGACCACATACGATATTATCAGCAGCCATGGGAGAGAAGAGGAGCTCCTTTTCTTCGCCAGTGCTGTTAACGATCATAACTATGTTCTCGGATACTGGGTCCAAAGAGAACGTTGGCCAGAAACCCTTAACGTTCTTAAAAAGCAGACCGATGCCTCAATATTCTATCGATACAGCAGCGTTCTTATCACTCACGTTGCTGCCGACTTAATCGACATCCTTATGCGCCACCCGACATTGAAAACACGCGACTTGATTCCTGCTCTCTTAACCTACAATCGTACCTTCAATGGGCCGCTGTCGAAGAACCACGCCGTCCGATACCTTCTCTTCACCATTAATACCCTCAACTCCACCGATGCCGCCGTCCATAACACCCTAATTTCCATATGCGCGTCGCACCCCTCTCCCAACGAATCCACCCTCCTGTCCTACCTCGAGTCTCAAGGAGACACCCCCTCCTTCGACTCCGACTTCGCCCTCCGCCTCTGCATCCAGCACTCCCGCATCCAGTCCTGCGTCCATATCTACAGCACAATGGGCCAATACCTCCAAGCCGTTACCCTAGCCCTCTCTCACAACGCCATCGACCTCGCCTCCTCCATCGCCAACCGCCCCACCCTCCCCTCCCTACGCAAGAAGCTCTGGCTCCTCGTCGCCAAAACCGTCATCGGCGAGAGCGACGGCATCGCTACAGCCCTCGCCTTCCTCTCGCGCTGCCCTCTCCTCAAGATTGAGGACCTCATCCCCTTTTTCCCCGACTTCGTCGTCATCGACGACTTTAAGGATGAGATTTGCGACGCCCTCGAGGGCTATTCGCGAAGCATCGACGCGCTACGCGAGGAGATGGACAGCAGCGCCCGCACCGCCGCGCACATCAAGGAAGAGGTCGCTGCGCTAGGCGGGCGTTACGCCATCGTCGAGCCGGGCGAGAAGTGCTATGTGTGCTCGCTGCCTCTACTGGCGAGGCAGTTTTTTGTGTTTCCGTGCCAGCATGCGTTTCACTCGGATTGCCTGGGCAGGAAGGTCCTGGACGGAGGTGGGAAGGCTAAATCCAACAGGATTAGAGAGTTGCAGGCGCTGGTAGGGAAAGGGATGGTGGGGGGGAAGGGGAGAGAGGAGGCGGTTAGGGAGTTGGATGCTTTGGTGGCGGAGAGCTGGTGAGTTACTTTTCTTTTCCTTTTTAACGCTTTTTGAGACGGCTTGACTAATATATTGGCGGTAGTGTTTTGTGCAGCGAGTATGCGATTAAGCGGATCGACGAACCGTTCGTGACTGAGGCGGATGATGGAGGAGACTGGGCACTTTGAGCGTAGATGGGCAGCAGTATGCTTGAATGGCCATGGGCCGATGGTGATATTTTGGCGTTCATTGACGTAGAACATACAACATCATCATATACCAAAATCCAAGGAAGATATAACATTCAAACGAATATACCGAAACACTGCCTCGTAATGGACCTTTACTTTGACTGCGTAGCTCTATGCTAAAAAATCACGTTAAATTGGTGCTTCAAGTCAGGTAATTTGGTATATTCAATTCAAAGTAAACGCCTCCGACTTTTCCTATTCATCCAGCCATATATATCTCTAATCCCACGACTCAAGGTTCCTGAGCACACATCCCTCCTTCTCACCCCTCTCCACAAGTGTTCCGATCGTATAAACCGTCTCTCCCTCCTCCTCAAGCTCCTTAATCAACTGCTCCACATTCTCCTTCGCCACCACCGCCACCATCCCCACCCCGGTATTGAAGGTCCTCCCCATCTCCACCCCACTCACATTCCCGGCCTTCTTCAACCACCTAAACACCTCCGGCAGCTTCCACGCCGCAACGTCAATATCAGCAGCCAAATGCGCCGGCAGCATGCGCGGCACGTTCTCCGCCAGCCCACCGCCTGTAATATGCGACAGCCCCTTCACGAGACGCTTACGCACCACGCGCAGCAGCGAACGCACATAGATCTTCGTCGGGGTAAGCAGGCTCGTGCCGACGGACGCAGAGGTGTCCCAAGGCGCGGTATCGGTGTAGGCCAGCCCCTCGCGCGCGATGATGCGGCGCACGAGCGAGAAGCCGTTGGAGTGGACGCCGTTGGAGGCAAGGCCGATGAGGACGTCACCGGGGATCATAGCAGACTTCATCGGGAGGGTGAGGTCCTTGGTCATAGCGCCAATAGCGGCACCAGCGGCGTCATAGTCGTCGCGCTGGTACATGCCCGGCATCTCGGCGGTCTCGCCACCGACGAGGGCGCAGTTGGCTTGCTTGCAGCCCGCGGCTACGCCCTCGACGAAGGCGGCGGCGCTCTCGAGGTTGAGCTGGCTGCAGCCGTAGTAGTCGAGGAACATGAGGGGTTCGGCGCCCTGGACGACGAGGTCGTTGACGTTCATGGCGACGAGATCGATGCCGACGGTGTCGTGCTTGTTCATGGCCTGCGCGACCATGAGCTTGGTGCCAACGCCGTCGATGGCGCCGACCATCACGGGCGCGGTGGTGTAGCCAGCGCTCGCGAGGTCAACTTCGCCGCCGAAGCCGCCGATTTCGGCGTCAGCGCCGGGGCGCTTGGTGGAGGCTACGGCGGACTTGATGCGTTCGACGAACTCGTTGCCGGCGTCGATGCTGACGCCTGCTAAGGCGTATGTTAGGGCCTCCTTCTCGGCGGCCTTTTGCTTGAAGGCGCGGTGTGCAATGTCCTTGCGGAACTGCATCTTATCGAACTTGATGTGGTCGACGCCGACATAGGCTCTCTTGACGGCCTCTTCAAGAGTCTCGGCGGTCGAGGTAGCGGCGATAACGCGGCCACCCGCGGTCTGGAGCTGGCCATCCTTGATGACAGTTCCGGCATGGAAATGGTTCGTGCCAGACGGAGGAGTCTGGATAGTCATGGGAGTACCGGTGGGGTAAGCTCCTGGATAGCCGCCGGCAGCTACCACAACGGTTGCGCCAAATTTGGCATCGACCTCAACCGTTACGCTGTCCAGCCATCCTTCGGTACATGCGACCATAATCTCAGCCAAATCGGAGTCCTTGCTCATAAGCGGGAGCAAAGTTTGGGTCTCAGGGTCACCGAATCTAACGTTATATTCGAGGGTCTTCGGTCCGTCCTTGGTGATCATCAGGCCAGTGAATAGGGTGCCGACGAATGGAAATCTATCCTTGCGCATTCCATCAATTGTGGGCTGGAGAATTGTTCGCTCCACCTCCTCCATCAGAGCCTTGGTAGCGAGGCTTGTTGGAGCATAGCATCCCATGCCGCCTGTGTTCGGTCCTTGGTCGCCATCGAATATCCTCTTGTGGTCTTGCGCTGCCGGCAGGGATTTGATCGTGTAGCCGTCGCTGAAGCTCAGAATGCTCAACTCATCTCCCTCCAGAAACTCCTCAATGACAACCTCGTCACCAGCAGCCCCAAATTCCTTGTCCTGCATGATATCCTTCAAAGCCGCTTGTGCCTCCTCCTTGGTCGTCGGAATGATAACGCCCTTTCCGGCAGCAAGGCCGCTGGCCTTAATGACGACATTGTGATCAATCGTGTCCAGGTACTTGCGAGCGGCCTCGTAGTCAGAGAAGTTTTCGTATGCAGCGGTAGGAATGTTGTGCTTCTTCATGAAATCCTTCGAGAAAGTCTTGCTCCCCTCCATGCGCGCAGCGGCTTTGGAAGGGCCATAGCAGCGAATTCCAACGGCGTGGAAGTAATCTTCGATGCCGTCAACCAATGGAGCCTCGGGTCCTGGGACAACCAGGTTAATCTTGTTCTCCTTTGCAAATGCAACAAGTCCTGGGTAGTCATTGGCCTTGACGGAGTTGTTGTTGGTGACCTTTTTACACGTCGCTGTGCCTCCGTTACCGGGTACCGCAATTATGGACTCCACGCGGGCAGACTGGCTCAGCTTCCAAGCCAGAGCATGCTCACGGCCGCCATTGCCAACGAGAAGGATACGGAGAGGCTCCATTGCGAGAGATTTTTTGCCTCTTTAAACTCGCCGAGAGCGTTGCTTGTTGATTCTCCAAGTGACAACGAAGTCGTGAAATTTTGGCGGGGTCAAGATATTTTCTGGTGGGGTAGCGGAATGTGGATAAAGAAATGTTAGAATTAGCGGCTGGGGGTCGCTTGCTATTGGACTCCACAAAGCCAGAACAGACGCAAGGCTACAGAACGAGGCTTTGAGATGCCAAACCCCATAAGTTAGACAAACAACATCATTGTAGCGGATTATCATACCCTAAGGAGTACAGATCCTACAAATCCTACCGCTTCATAATCATCAGCCCAGAGCCCAAGCCGGAACGCCCGCCTGTTTTCTCATATTCTATCGCCTTGTCGTCTCTTGCCGAAGCCTCCCTGCCGCTGTCGTAGGTGCTGGTGCTGGCCACGACGTAACCGCATCATCAACCTCTTCTAAGAAGGTGACGCTGTTATGTATACATGTTGCACCTAAAACGACCCTTATGCCAGGCACTGAAGCGTTGATAGTAGCAACCAACTTTGCTTCTTCATACGTGGTCCCGCCAATCATGAACACTATGATGTCTTGAGGCTTGTCCCTCGTCGAGCCTCCGCCATCTACAAATGGATACTGCTGTTCTCGCAACCTCCCTTTGATGAGCTCTTGCAAGGTTATCTCTAGTCGTGGGGAGTGCTGAGTGTACACATTATCCACTCCCTTCAAGCCTTTGAGGCGATCACGAGCGCCCGAAAAAATATTGGCGGACTCGAACATGTCGGTTATACCACTGGCATTTTGGACCTGCTGGAGAGAAGATTGGTAGTGGAGTAGCTTCGAAACTATGTCGATCTGCCGTTGTGGCATATTACCTGTGGCGCCCAATAGATCAAGTAACAGAGGCAGAGCGTTGGACGGGTGCCTTTGATGGCGCAATGCGTATAGAGCAACCAGCCTCACCTTTCCTTCAGCAGTTACGGAGGGCGATTGTAATAGCCGCTGCACATTCTATAGTAAAACAAGTCAGTGATGCTCTGCCTGAGAGCAGGAAACACCGGGACTTACCTTCAGATCTGCTGCATGGTTGTCATTGCACGCCAAACTCTGCTCAACCTCACTGACTTCCAAGAGATTCTCCGCTCCTACTTTTCGACTCAGCTCGCCAACAATAGTCACATGTTTGCTAACATTCCCAGACAGCTTCCGGAACTCGGGATATTCTTCAATGAAGCGCTTCATGTCGGCAATCGACTCGATGTTTGAGCTGCTCTTTGTTTTTGACTGGTATTGTTCGACGTAGTCCTTAATATTCCCTCCAAGGTCGCCAAAATTCAGGTACATGTTCTTCTTGAAGAATGGGTCCTGGTCCTGAGAGAGAACAACTTCCTTCAACTCCGGCCTAACGTCAGGAACACTATGAAGGTCGACGCGGCCGTTATTAATGCCCAAAAGCTCATGCACCATCGCTTGGTATGTCCATTGTGAGAGCAACGGCGTGATGGGATCGTCTCTGCGATCTAATATAAGTAATATTGGCGGTGTATCGACTTTTCGGAAGTCGAAGAGTTGCTCTTCCTGGCTAACAAGGTATCGCACTTCCGTCGCAAGCTTTTTCGCCAGGAGACTGTTCTTTTCATACCGTATTAACGGCTTCTTCTTCAAAGAGAGTAGTAGTCCCACAATTCCATCGGTGCTCCTTTGCAATGCATCCGCGTTCCACATATCCGGGCTTCCGCTCCATATTCGTTTTGGTATCGTCAGATCTAACGTAAACAGGTCTGGGTTGATCACAATGTAGTCTGCAAAGTGCTCCTGAACTGCTTTAATAACCTCGTAGTCATCTGCTTCTGCAAGCCGCTCGAGCGAAGATTTCTTCGTCACATTGCTAAAGTAGAGGTTGTATTCGCCGTATTTGGGATCGCGCAGCTCATCGATGAGATACTGTATGGATTCGGCGGAGGGTCGGACAAAACACAAGCATCGTAGATGTCGCATCTTCTCTCGATTTTGGTTTTCTAACCTGTCGATAAGGTACACTTCGTGGTTTAGTAGTGCTGACTGGGTAATCGCAGTGGACGCAATATTGACGGTTTCGCTGTCCAATAGCAAGATCTTCATCTTCGCCGATGGTGTCCCTGATGCGCTATCCCCAGCGGACACCATCTTCGATATATAACCCGTCACTGCCTGAATGACATCCATCCTGGCGATATGTAGCTCGATTCTGGAGCGGGTGCTCAAGTGTATGGTCGTCGTAAGCCCCTCTGCATGTCTTCAAGAACGTCCCCCTCCCAGTCCGCCTGGTTTCCTCCTGTCGCTATAGGAACAGAATGACTGCGCGAGGTATTGGCTAGTAAACTGGTGCTGTTTGCTGAATTGTTTATCTTCGGTGGGTTTTCGTTGGAGGGAATGAGGCGGTTTGTCACTTCTGCCCTCTTCTGTTGAAGCTCGAACAGGGGTGTTCCTCTGGAAAACGGCGGCAAGGTGACAGCTCCACCACGTGCGGAAAGATCCGCGTCGGAAGCACCAGATGACGTCCGGGGCACTTTAGACTTCAACGAGCTTCAACAGGGTCGAGGCGTCTTTCTGGTATTTTGCAAAACAAATCAAGTATCTTCAAATGGAAGCTCGATGAGAAATTAAGAGCACCATTTACTTGCGCTCAGCGATTGGCAAGTGGCAGCACAGAGTAAAATGTTGCCCTTCATCAATATTCGTGAGCTCCTCAAAAATATATTTCCTTTCGTGGAGCCAGAGCAGGTACTGATCCCAACCTGCAGCCTTCGAATATGCTTCGTCGATTATAGGGGCATCCCCAGACGAGTGTAAGTTTTTATCAGATACTTCTACGCGTATTTAACTAATAACCTCACAGTGAAGCTTATATTCTCCTTCATCCTCTCGTACCCCCTCTGTGGTGTTCTCAAGCGCATCCCTGATTCGAAACCAGCATACAAGAACCTGTTTATAATAGGGTTGGTGCTCTGTCACCTCCCATATTTTTGCGCTGACTCGTAGTAGGGTCTCCGTGTTCTACTTGGTAGGGCTTTTCAGCCTTTGGGATGGCATGCGAACAGTCGCGATCAGTGCAGTGGGCACGTACGCAATCGCGCTGAACATCAGCGGCCCCCTCATGCCATGGATAGCCTTCGTCTTTCTTATGGTGCACCTGTCGATAAACCAAATTCAGCGACAAATACTTGCCGACCCTGGGGTGGTGGATATTACCGGCGCACAAATGGTTCTGGTGATGAAGCTGAGCGCATTCTGTTGGAATGTTGCAGACGGTCGCCTCCCCGAGAGCGAGTTGTCTGACCTACAAAAGGAAAAGGCGCTGAAACAACTTCCCAACCCGCTGGACTATGCAGCATGGGTTCTGTTCTTTCCCTCCCTCTTCGGTGGACCAGCCTTTGATTTTGTGGATTATACGAAATGGATTGAATGCACCATGTTTGATCTTCCTCCCGGCGTGGACCCATCAAAGAAACCGCCTACTCGCAAGAAGCGCAAGATCCCACGCAGTGGAACCCCGGCTATGTGGAAGGCGGCCGAGGGGGCGTTTTGGATTTTCTTGTTCCTACAACTCTCAGGCTACGTTAGCACTGAGGTCTTCATTGGCAAGAAGTTCTTAACATTCGGCTTTGTCAAGCGCGTGTGGTTTCTATACCTGCTCGGTTTCACTTCGCGGCTGAAGTATTACGGCGTATGGGCATTGACAGAGGGTGCCTGTATCCTCAGTGGTCTTGGCTACAATGGCGTCGACGAAACAACAGGAAAGGTCTCGTGGAACAAGCTGGAGAACGTAAACCCATGGGGCGTTGAGACTGCTCAAAACAGCCGTGCATATCTAGGGAACTGGAATATGAACACCAACAACTGGCTTCGAAACTATATCTATCTGCGAGTAACTCCTAAGGGAAAGAAGCCAGGTTTCCGTGCAAGCATGGCTACTTTTGTCACCAGCGCATTCTGGCACGGCTTCTATCCCGGTTACTACTTGTCGTTTGTGGCAGCCAGTTTTATTCAGACCATCGCCAAAAGTGAGTCCACACCCCTGTCTCCTTCCCCCAAATTTCCATACTGACAACATCCAGACTGCCGCCGCTACTTCCGACCATTCTTCCTCGACCCAGTAAGCGGCAAGCCCACCTCCACCAAAATATACTACGACGCCCTCTCGTGGTTCGTCACGCAATTCATACTCTGCTTCGTCACCGCCCCCTTCATAATCCTCGCCTTCCAAGACTCCCTCCTCGTCTGGTCCCGCGTCTACTTCTACGCCCTCATCGCCATCGGCGGCATGACCGCCTTCTTCGCCTCCCCCGCGAAGCCCTATCTCAAGCGACAGATCGAGATCCGTGCCGCTCGCGCGAACGGCGGGAAGAAGCTTGAGAGGAAGCTGGGTTCGGACACGCTTTCGCAGCAGCCGGTTTTGGGACTGCCGCCGGATCCACAGTGCGATTTTGAGGAGGCGGTGAGGGAGATTAGGGAGGAGTTTGATGCGAGACACGGTAAGGGACTGGGGAGGGCGGCGACGATGCCGGCGCTTGCTAGGAAGGAGGGTGGTTAGACGATGGGGATGAGGATATGCAGCGTATACCATAGCGGTTTGATTGCACTTGGTACATGCATGGATGACGTTAGTCGGAGACGCGATTGTTATGTCTTTCAGTCTATACATTTGCGAGAAGCGGGTTCGCGGATGGCGTAGGCCACCTGCGAGTATATATCATGTCTTGTTATAAGTGAACAATATGGCAAAGAATTTCGTACGGTATTATACAATATGAGGATGATTGGTGTATAAATATAAATAATTTATAAGTTATATATTTTTAATTCCCGAATAATAATATTTATGGCTAATTTGAATATAACATAGTTAATCAGATTTCAATATTTTAATATTACATATAAATTGCCATCAGGTTTAATATCCGTATAGAAAATTAGAATTAACTACCAACTTGCTCTAAAACCCCAACAATCCATTGCTACTCTCCGTAAGCACCCAAAAGTACTTATAAAATCCCACAGCACCAACAACAAGGAGTATATAATACGCGACCGTCCACGCAACCCCCAACTGCGCCCCTGACTCAGGTCCCTGACTCTCATCCCGCTTCCCCAGACCACCCCCACTATCTGGTCCCATAACCGACTCCGCACCTCCTCCCTCCACTCGTCCCCAAAACCTCGGAAGGCCCATCCAGTTGCAAAACGTATGGCACAGAATAACCGCCACGAGACTGCCCGTCCGGAGATACAGGAACGTGGCATACGATCCAAACAGAGTCGTGTACATCAGCTGTATGACCGAGCGAATCACGCCGAGCAGGAGTGGGACAGAGGGGTTGGATATGCGGAACTCGTAGATGTGGTGGATATGCGCGAGTCCGAAGACGAGGGGCGGGAGGAGGAAAGTGGTGCGCAGCGACGCAGGGGAGAGGAGGAAGAGCGGCAGTGAGGCGGAGCGGAAGAGTAGCTCTTCTGTTACGGGGCCGGCGACGAGGTTGCGGTAGGTGGGGAGGTCGTGCCAAAGGGTTGTGAGGCCACGGAGGCGGACCCAGGAGCGCCAGTTGCCTTCGACGATGCCGGATTCAAAGAGGGGGCCGAGGAAGAGGATGGCGGTTAGGAGGAGGGCTTTGAGGGAGGGGAGGAGGCCGGTGGGGTGGTAGCCCATGAGGTGGAGGGTGGTGAGGTGGGTGCTGGATGGGGGGAGGTAGGTTAGGAGGAGGAAGGTGGTGATGGTGCATATGGCGCATGTCCAGGTGACGGAGCGGATGCGTGCTTTGATGACGGAGGGGACATTGCGGGAGATGGTTGCGGAGGGCCTCGTGGCGGATGAGAGGTAGAATGGGGCAACATAGAGGAAGGTGTAGAAGACCTGTGGTTGTTAGATGTGTTTGGTATTGAACATGAGAAGACGACACAACTTACAAGGAGTGCTGCAGCGGTATGGACCCTGATCAGGGGAAGATTTTCTACTAACGGGAATAAAAGTCAATACAGTGTTCATTAAGATTTATAAAGCATCCATCCAATCAATATCCTCTCATATCTCTTGGGGAGAATTTACCTTCTGCTCCTGTAGAAATTGATTTCAGCTTGTCGGCAAAGCCGGTCGTCCTGGGAGTCATGATTGCAAAGCCAGCTCTGCAGACTGGCCAGATCAGTAAATATGCTTTTGATTCCACTTATATTCAATGCATATGCACCGAAGCTCTCTTGCAAACACAACTGGAAGGTATCCCTTGGCAAAAACTGGTGAACAATGCGAACAGTAGACAAGGGATATCACGTGCAAGTCCTTGGTTATTCACTAATGGAGGTACTCACCGCCTAACTATAAGTGGTTAGGGTTGGTGAATGACATGGTGGCAGAATAAATTAACGCTTCGGGCCACTAGCGTGTGTATAAAATTAGAGCCAGGGCGTCTTCCCCAATGAGGGAGACGCGCGCTTGGCACAGTGGGGGTCCACCTCTCACCGCAACGAGTTCCTGCAGGACTCGCGCAGGACTCGTGCAGAATTGAAATGAAGAATGAAGGGATGAGGTTCCATTGCTCACCAATAGAGATTCCCAGTGTCAGACACAATTAAACAGCAGTGATTCAACAGAATCAAGAGGCGTTTCGTCCCATTTCCTGCAGGGTTGTTGTTGCCCCCGATAATCAATGGCAGGCAAAGTGCAGATGAGCAGTCGCCTGCCTGCGTCATGATGCCGCCGACAACGACGATACACTCCAGGTCTCGCAAGTTGTAGCTTGCAGGCGCTGTCCATGTCGCTGATGGAAGTATATGCAGCTCAACTGGCCCTCATAGTTCTATACAATTGGTATGGGAGGTTTTCGGGATTTGGTGGCGGCCCAGGCCGCGCACCCTGCCTAAGCTCCATGGCCGTTGTCGCTATTATTCAGGAGTGAGCCCACGACAGCCACTCGTTTCTCGTCGACGACGGACTGTGTATGTTGGCAGCCATACTCGCCGACCACCACGGCGAGACGGGAAGGCAGGACGGGCAGACCGGCCGCATCGGGAGGCCTCTGAATCCCCTGATCCGGAAGTGAAGTGCTCAGTCTTTCATCTGTACTTTCTGTTTGTCATGGATCCCCAGATGCTCCACATAAGCTATGCATAAGACACAAATTTGCTGTTTAGAGGCTGTTTAGGGGCTGTTTAGAGGCTGTTTAGACGCTGTTCAGAGGCTGTTCAGAGGCTGTTCAGATGAAAAATGAAAAATGAAAAATACAGGGTTGTCAGACCGCCCTACAGTCAAGGTAGAGTCCAGACGAGACAACTACTCCAAATATTTGTAGGGCCCATATTTGTATGGTAACTACAGTACAGCACATAGTCCAATACCGTAGTATATCGTAGCCCCCTAACTTACTAACTTACACCTACCAATCGACAACCCAGAATCAATTCAGAAAGGCCTCCTCCTCTCTCCCTCTCCCCTTCCCTTCGTTTCGTTGCATCTCCTCCCAGCCGCTCACTGCTCTCTTTCTTTTCGCTCGTTCGCTCGTTCGCTCGTTCGCTCGTTCGCTCGTTCGCTCGTTCGCTCGTTCCCTCGTTCGCCTGTCGGAGTGGTAATAATAATAATCATATCCTCCTGGCCGCTCCTTCTTCGTCCTTCTTTTTGTCCCTTTTTATGATATATATTTCTTCGTACATACCTTCGTTCGTCGCAATCTCAGCTATCGCCAATTGACCGCTCGATTCCTTCAGCGACGCCAACGAAGACACGGTCCTGTCTAAACATTCATTTACCTATTGATCAAAGCTATTGACTTTACGAACTCTTTTTTTACCCTTCTCGGCGATGAACTACAGCTCTATTCCGTTTACGATGTCGCATTAGAACACCCGGTATTCAGTACGACCAGCACGACCAGCACGACCAGCACGACCAGCACGACCAGCACGACCAGCACGACCAGCACGACCAGCACGACCAGCACGACCAGCACGACCAGCACGACCATTGATGAGCACATGGAAGACTCGAACAACTTCCTCGGCAGGCGAATCGATTCTCGCGTCTCAAAACATGGTTTCTCCTACACCACGAACCCCAGGGCGGAAACCGTTACATGAAAGGTCCGGCTCGCAAACCAACATAGCTGCGGTGCGTTTGGTACCAGCGACTCCTCCGCAATTACTATGGAGCAATACCCCTTCTGAGGAGCGAGACGACATCTACATGCGGACTGCCCTTCCGACACATCCAGCCCATCTTCTCCCCCCTCCAGACGCCGGCGCTTCATTCTTTCAGGAGTCGGCGGCATTGATCCAATCCGCAGACCCAGTTTCGGCCGCCCAGCCTCTGGCGAAACAGTTGAGGGGACAGGGGCCTGCTTTGACCACAACGTATCAACCTCGCCAAACCTCAAGGAGCACCACCTCGACCCCTTCGAGCTCTCGACAATCGAGTGTCAAATCCCTGCAGCGAAAGCGGAAGCAAGTTAAGGTCAACCCTGACAAAACCTTCTCTGTTTTAGAAGTTGCCGGACAAGTCGAATCGACTAAACCAGACGAAAATGGATACAGTTCCTCATCCTCTACACTTAGCCGTTCCACGTTTGATCGGGTATCCTCCAGGACAGACAGCTTCGCCCCACGGGGTGCCTCGGGAGCAACATGGAAATCAGAGATTACTGCGACAACTTTAACTACCTCTTGCACTCCGAGCCCAGATATGTCGATTAAATCACCTACCTTTGAGAGTAATACGCCCTCGTCGCCTTGGAACTACAAGCTCGTGGGAGGGCTTCGAAAAGTTCCTGGGACTCCAGACCTGAAGCAGAAGGTTGAGCTATTATCAGACTCACCGCCGTCCTTACCGGACTTGCCTGAAATTGACCAAACGAACGAGCGGGAGTTATCCAACAAGCAATCTTTTCAATCCGGCGTGACTACGTCGACGACATCAGATTATAGTAATTGCAACGTTTTTCCAAGCTCACCACCATTGCTAGCGACAGCATCGAGCCCAACTCCATCCATCAACTCCGACCAGCAGATTGCACTTCCGTCCTCACCGGGTTCATATGTCGAAGAGTCCACTGTCCTTCACCATCAGCTTCCACCTTCCAGTGACCAAAACTACGAAATACTTGGCCAATCATCTACTGGATATTCACCATCCTCTTCACAGCTTGAGCTATGCAATACCGAGAGCAATTACGAGGTTCACGGAGATCTCTCCCCATCCCCGTCAACATCTTTGATCAACCTTCCTGCCCAGCCGCAGCAAGCCTACTCTCGAGAGTCATTGGTTATACCGCCTTTACAGCCCAAGGCAAAACGATCTGCTGAGCGATTTGGGTACTACAAGAAGCATTCACGAGAGTCGCTTCGGACCGGATCGTTAACGTCCATTACATCAGCCTTAAGTGACGACTTTGTTAGGGCACTTGCGACTGGTAGGCAGCTGACCCGCGTACCGAGCCTGAAAAATATCCCAGAAACCAGCCCATGGACAAATCCGCTAGCTCTCAACGCAGTGAAAACACACATGCAAGCTTACCCGCACCAATGGAGCTCACAGCTTTCTACTGTGGCCTCAGTGTCAGAAGGAGGCACCGATCGAAATTCACGCCAATGGTCAGAAGCAAGGCGAAGCAGCGGGTTCGTGTCTCACACCCGCCAAATCCCCAGCATTGCCTCCACCATTTCTCAAGATGAAAGACTTCGCGACAGCAACTTGCTAGCATATCCTCAGCCAACCTACTCGCCGACTACCCAGGAAGCGCTTGGGCCGATGACGAGAATGGCTGAAGACCAAGATGAGTATGGCGACAAACTTACAGACATGCCAATATTGCACGAACGGCCTTCGAGAACGAAACTGTCAGGATTCTTCAACATCCCATACGATATCGGGCGCAACAATAGCATGCGATCAATATCCAGCTCGAGAGCGAACAGCGTACTTGGGACCACGCTCCCAACTTGGGCCCAACTATACTACGGCAGCGGCGAGTGGCGATACCTCGAGGCGCCTGGTAGCTCGTCGGAAGCGTCTGATAACAGGCCCCCCAGCTCTTACCGGAGCGGCTCCCCAGATACTACCAATTTTCCGGTGGGTTTATGTAGCCCTCGCCGACGACCAAGGGAGCTTCGTCCCCAGCGTGAAATATCTCAGAGGTCACACCACTCGATGGATATCACACCTGCGGACCCGCCGAACCCTGCGAACCCAGCCTTGGCTGGGAGTTATTTAATTGAATACTCCTTCAAGCATCGTGTTCGGAAGCCATCGAGTGTCTGGAGTCCACATCTTGCGCACGACAGGAGGATGAGTCGGCGCCAGAGTACTTGGGATGCCCCTTCGGTTGACTGGTCCCAGGGAGGGTTCAGCAGTGAGAAGAACGTTCAAATAATAATGTTCATTGTCGGATTTATAATGCCTATTTGTAAGTAGACCCGTTGGACTTTCTTTGGCTTCAAGCTAACAGTTTCTCAGCGTGGATGATTGCCGCGGTACTCCCCATCCCCCCAAGACCCGATTTTCCGGAATTGACGGAGGAGGATGCCAGAAAGAGCCGTCTGGATTTGCAAGAAGAGATGAATCGCATCTGGAGCCCAGTGGACGAGAAAGTATATCAGAACGCACGGTGGTGGCGGATACTTAATCGAATCTTCTCCGTTGTGGGAGTCGCCATCATAACTCTCATTGTTTGTATTTCCCTGCACGGTTCAGTTTCCATCGACTAACAGAGATACAGGTCGTTCTAGTTGTGACGAAGGCTTGAGAAAAGGACGTAGCGGGGTCCAATATCCCCGACCACACACTATCACATACTTCCCGCTTATTACCATATATTTTACATCTACAGCAGCCTCTTCGCCAGCTGTCTCGGTATATTTACCATCACCAACCACCAACCTGGTGGCTCATTCATTACTACATGATATTCAATGCCACAACGACGCGGTTACGTCCGCACACGCCTTTCTTTTTCATGGTTCTACGCCAAGCTTTTAAGCTCAAAATATCAGGCACGGCTAACGCAGCCAAACTATTCCAACTTTCTTCACGATAATTCTATAAACGGACGAGAACGACGGAGTTCATTTTTTATTTTTAACCTTCTCCCAACCAAAACATCGTTTTGGGGCTTGGGCGGCCTTACGAAATTTATGGATGAGGAACAGATTTTACGTTTTTACGATTCACACTTTAAGACATTTTCATTTTTCTGTATCTATATTGCAGCTTAGATGAATATTACGAGTGGTTTTTGTCTCTTGATCTTGAGAATGTTTTGGTCTGTCTTGTCTTAGTTTCCAGCATGGGTGTTCGGCTGAAGAATTGGTGAAGCAGGCCAACCCACAAACATGAAACGTTCATACATATTTTGTGACAAGTAGCTTTATGATATAGCCACCTGCCAAAATGGCCTCCAGCGCTTTCGAACACAAGCTATAATAAGTTTCGCGTACTAAAGTTTAAGGGGCCAAGATCTTCAAACCGTCCTTATCGCCAATGCACGTGACGATAAATGCCAGATAACGCTCATGATCGACTTCAGAATATCTTCCCTGTAATTCAAAGAATACTACCCTTAATACTACACATGATACCCATTAGCAGACAGGATCTGGCTTTCAATTAAGCTGTTCACGACCAACGTCTTGGTACGATCTCATACGAACCTTTCAGCGATAAACTGTCGTAACTGTTGCAGAATGAACAGCTGTCCTCTTCCTCTGCCAGTTGGGAGCTTGGCCAAGTAGGAGTCGAGACAGCGATGCAGCCAGGAATGACCAGGATAGGGCAATTACCAGTATTATTGACGACATTGCTATCTTGCCTTTTTTCAGCCGTTGCAGCAGCAGGCACTGCGAGCCACACCGTTGTTGCAACCCCAATCTGGACCGGGACTTGCGAGTCGCGAATCATAAACTATGTCACAGCCCTGCCGAACTTTGAATCGGTCTGCTACCGGCAAAGGAGAAACGATACTACAGTGGCGAAGGAGACGGTTACTATAAGTAGCGCGACATATACAGTTGGAGGTGGTGGTGTGGAGGATGCAAGCATACCCAAATCGATTACTACCCAAGCAACGGGAGACCCTGTGGCGTCAGAGACGGAGATTGCTGCTGGCTATGAGACCGACGATGTTTTCTCCGATGCCAGCTTCCTCTCGTTTGAAGACTGGAAGAGGCAGATAATTGAGAAGTCCGAAGACGAAGTTGAGGGTGCCAGGGGCGGTGAGAGGCGGCGCAAACCAGAGGAGAACGAGGAAACGTTGGATACCCTTGGGGACTACGAGATTGATATCAATATCGAAGCCTTTCTTGAAGATAACCAGGGAAACAAGGGCAATAAACCAGGACCGTCACAAAGCAATGATAAATCCACGTATAAACATGTCCACACCAAACAGCCGGGCGACGAGAAAGTCGAAAAGCCGGTCCAACGCTCCAAGGATGCTGGGAAGACTTGCAAGGAGAGGACAAACTTTGCCAGTTTCGATAGCGGGGCACAAGTGATGAAGGCGAACCCCGAGGCAAAGAGTACATCCGCACTTTTGTCTGAGAATCGAGACGCCTACATGTTGAATACCTGTTCCGCAAAGAATAAATTCGTCATAGTCGAGCTGAGCGATTCCATTCTTGTCGAGACTGTAGGCCTCGCCAACTTCGAATTCTTTTCCAGCACCTTCAGAGAGTTCCGTGTATCTGTCAGCGACCGATATCCGGTGAAGCTTGATCGGTGGGTGGATCTGGGAACATTCGAAGCCAAAAACTCTCGCGAGATCCAGGCATTCCTAATCGAGGATCCTCGGGTCTGGGCTAGATATCTTAGAATTGAATTTCTAAGCCAGTATGGAAACGAGTTTTACTGTCCGATTTCGTTGCTACGCGTTCATGGCCGAACAATGATTCAGGATGTCTTGAGCACGGAGCAATCTACAGGAGGAGACGACGAAGAAGAAGCAGAAGATAATTTACGTGAGGCAGAAGGGGAAAATTTTGCAGTTGAAGCTGTGGCGGAAGTCATCAAAGAAGAGACAAACCTAACAGAAAGCGTGGAAGACAGAGCGACGACCCTTGAGGATTTGGTTGGTGCCTCTGAAACATTTAAACCCGACGTATCGAACAGCACCATCCTTCCAAACAGCATCTTGGAGAACGATCATATTTTTCTGAACGATTCCATGGAGTTCATGACTACGCCGTGGAGCAAGTATAACCTAAACTCGGGAAACATCTTTGGTGAACCAGTAGGGCTTGAGATGTCCAGCATATTGCGAAAGCCGCCGCCAAAGTTGCTGCCCACTACGACCATTGTTGCAAACAAAACATCTCCGGCGCCAACCTTGGATCCTCCACCCATCACGACTACTAACGAGAATCTGGTAGCCAATTCTACAGTTCCACCGACTCCTGAGGCTGCCCAACCGACTGTGGAACAAAGCGCTACCGATATTTTGACCCCGCCGATTACGCCAACGCCTGTTGTCGAAGCCAAGCCGCAACCGACAACTGATGTCCCTGTACAGGAGACACCAGCGAACTCCTCCGTGCCCCAGAATCAATCAACTATAGCACCCAACAAGACGTCAAGTACATCTTTGGCTCCAGCCTCCCAACCAACCACGCAAGAGAGCTTTTTCAAGAACGTCAGTAAACGACTCCAACTTTTGGAGCAAAACTCCACGCTTTCGTTGAAATACATAGAAGAGCAATCGAGAAACCTGAGAGAAGCTTTCAACAAGGTGGAGAAGAGGCAGCTAGCAAAGTCGACCACGTTTCTAGAGAGCCTTAACGCTACTGTGCTTGCCGAGCTTCGCCAGTTCGGCAAACAATATGATCAGATATGGCAGTCGACTGTATTCGAGCTGGAAAGCCAGCGCGATTTATTGAGTCGAGAGACCATAGCTTTAAGTTCAAGGCTCACATTGCTAGCAGACGAACTTGTATTTCAGAAACGGATGGCTATCGTGCAATCTGTCCTGCTTCTGCTATGCATGGGTCTGGTTCTGTTTTCGCGATTCCTACCTGGCGGAGTCGAAATGCGACAGGGTCGTGGCATGAGCTCAAACGTACAAAGGGAATTAGATCATAGCTTTGATAGCGTCTCTGGCGGGCCAGTATTGCACCAAGTATCCAGGTCACCTCAGCAACGACAGCCATGGGGCCACCGACATCAAAGGTCGGGGTATTTCCAGCCATCGATGGTTTCTCAAAGCCTATTTGACTCACCCGCCACGCCACTGTCGAACTTCTCTGAAAATGAAGAGGAATATAGACATCATGATGGAGAATATGCTGATGAACGCACAAGTGGCCAATTTAGTCGCGACTCTCCTTGTCCCGGCGGATCACCCAATGGCAGGCGGGTTGAGAGTTTGGATCCTGCCTACACCCAGGTTCCAATGGACAATCCCGGCGATAGTGGACTCCTCCCACCTTATGCTAGGTCGTATATTGGGCCGAACGGGAAGTTGACCCCGGAGTATGATAGCGACTACCAACAGAACTATCGTAGCACCGTATATGTAGACCAGGCGCACGGTTCTAGCAGTCCGCAGAACAGGGCTTCTCTTCAGCAAGATGGGGAAGTCCCTCGGAGATTCAGCATTATGAAGAAGCCTCTTCCTGCACTGCCCAAGTAATCGGAATGAGAGGATTCGATAGTTATATTTAAGAATGGGGACCATTGAGATGGGGGAATGATGATATCATTGTTTTAGCGGGCGTTTTTGGATAAGGGGGGGGTACGTTGGTGGCAAGTTGAAGTATATATGTAATGAGGATACGAAACATAATATAATCTCGTATTAGCCTTAGCCTACGAATAAGACACTGAAGTTATGTCTGTAACCACAACCTGTGAACTATTCTACATGGCTGGTAGCAATGATCATTCCCATAAGAAAGATACTGGGCTCGTCATTACTCAGAATGGCTGCACCTCCCTCTCAAGCCACTTCATCGTCACAGAGCCAGGCTCGAAGTATCCCTTCGTCTTGGCGAAGATATCAGCATGATACTCATTCAACCAACGCTTCTCCTTGGGCGTCAACAAGCTCTCATCAATGAGATTCCTGCAATACGGCACCATCGTGACGTGCTCGAAGCCAAGGTACGGCTTCTCGCCAAAGGTGTGTTTCATCTTGGCGTCCCTCACCATGATGATGTTCTCGATTCTGATCCCGAAGGATCCTTCCTCATAGTAGCCCGGCTCGTTGGAAATGACGTTCCCGATAGCTAGTGGCACCTCTGTGTACTGGATACGAGTGCCGATTCCGATAGGGCCTTCGTGTACATTGAGGAATGAGCCGACTCCATGGCCTGTGCCGTGGCGGTAATCAAGACCTTCCTCCTATTGTATGTTAGAATTCGCTCTCAGCAACTCAGGGGTGATAGGGTATGTCTTACCCAGAGGAACTGCCTTGCTAGTGTATCGAGCGAAAATCCGCTCGTACCTTTGGGGAATACGGCAGTATCTAAGGCAATATTTCCCTTCAGAACAAGGGTGTAAGCCTTCTTTTCCATCTCAGTCGGGGTCCCGAAATGGAGAGTTCTCGTGGTGTCGGTGGTACCGTCAAAGTATTGGGCGCCGGAATCGCAAAGGTATACCTCGTTTGGGTCGATAATCGAACAGTTTCCGGGTTCTGGCTTGTAATGAATGATTGCTGCGTTGGCTCCCGTCGATGAAATAGTATCGAATGAGAGACCAACGAAGTGCTTATGCTTAGACCTCATTTCCTCCAACTTATCAAGCGCCTCTACTTCATTGACTGTTGCCTTCTTCTCGATCAGCTCATTTTCAAGCCAAGCGAAGAACTCAGTGAGTGCTGCTCCATCTCTTATATGGCAAGCTCTCATTCCCTCCAATTCAGTCACGTTCTTCACGGCTTTGGCGTCCCCTATGGGACTTCTCACTTCATCCACGTTGGCGTCACCGCCGAGGGCCCGTTTTAATGCCCAGGAAGCCTTGTTCGAGACCATAAACTTCTTCACTTTCGCATCTTGGGTAGCAGGTTTAGATGAATCATCGCCCGAAGAAGCCTCCTTCGTAGTGGTGGCTTGGATGGAGCGGCCGAGAACAGCAGCATCCTCAAATATCGCATCATACGATCGTATGGAAATGCAATTTTGGGTGAGGCGATCTTGTGCCTCTTTCGACAATTTCGATGAATCGACATAAAGGGTTGCTGAGGTGGGTGTAATTATAGCGTAGGAGAAGAAGACAGGGTTGTATGGGATGTCGTTGCCACGAAGGTTGAAAAGCCATGCAATCTCATCCAGCATGGACACCACAAGGCCAGAGCTCTTCTTCTTGTCCAATTCCTTGCGAAGGTCTTCGAGCTTTGCTGTAACGCTCTTTCCTGAGAATTCTTCGCCCAGAGGCTTAACGGCCTGAGCGGGCTTTGCTGGTCGATCGGCACCCCAGACTTTGTCAATCAGGTTGTCTTCAACAGCTATTAAACCAGCCCCCCCAGCGGCCTTGATTTTATCAGCCAATTTCCTCGCATCAGGGGCCGAGATCACAGTCGGGTGAACTCCGACGGTCTTGCTACCCTCTGCCTGTTCTGCGGTCCACTCTTGCCAGGTGGGAACGTCCACCAGCCCTTGCTTGAGAAGGGTCCACGAATCGTCCAATTGCTTCTGCGCCTGGTTGAAGTATCTTCCGTCAGTGGCTAGGGCAGCCTTGTCCTGAGTGACAACGGCGCATCCGGCGGACCCAGAAAATCCACAGATAAATTCTCTCCTGGCATCGCAGGAAGCTATGTATTCGGAGGCATGGCTGTCTTCGGACGGAATAACTGTGGAATACGTTAGCTGCGTGCCATAGCCGCCCCAGACACTCTCATACTGTACACATCAACATTCTTCTCCTTCATCAACTGCCTCAGCTTGGACAAACGCTGACTCGTGTCTATGCACGCCATATCGGCAGACGCGCAGCTGGAGCTGAGGCAAATGCTGATATGTATTCTTTGAGCTGAATAATCGAAGGTATTTCGTGGCCTGGCCGTGTGTAAAACTCTGTTCAGTGGCCGTTGGAATCTCATTGACTTAATCCCAATCGTACTCTATTGTCCCGTCTTTGTCGTCGGTACTCTATATGACTATTATAAGAGTAGTAGCTAGACCGTGCTTACCTTTTCTGTGCGGTCCAGGTCGCATATACTCTGGCAGTTCTTCACTCAATTGATAAATCGAGGTGAGGAAGGATCAATCGTCGAAAAAGCGAGAGAGCGTGGGGTTACCATTACTGTACACCAGTTACGTTGAGAGCTCCACGTTTTCCCCGCCCTCTGCCAAGAGAAATGGGACAGGAGTGTAAAGGGTACTGTCGGCACGTGCCCTCTAATGTCACCAAAAGCGACGACATGTCACGGTTTCCGTATATCTGTTCTTGAATTCAAGATTGACAGTGCTTGAGTATTCCAAAAAGATATATATCGCCTTTGATTTATAAATCTACTCTCTCTCTCTCTCTCTCTATATATACGCTCAAAAACAATGGCATCAATGTTTCTCCGACCAATGTTGCGCCCGAATACGTTGGGCGTTGGATTGGGCTTGTCCATGTCAACATTCGCCATCTACAGACAACGCCCAATGAAACTCGACTCAAAGCGACTCTTTTCCGAAACCCAGCAAACGGCCGCTCACAAACCCTCTAAAGGAAATGCCTTTATAAACCCAAGCAGCGTGAAGCAGATCAGCAGCGGAAGCGTATTCGGTATGGTCCCCATCGTATCAGTATCATTGTGCACGGCATCTCACTAAAGCATCAGGACTATGTGCTGGGCTGGCTATCAGCACCTTCTCACGACCTCTTGCACTATTATTAGGTTTATTAGTTGTTGGCATTCAGGTGCGTCAGGGTCTCAGCGATCTCCAAACATTGATCTAGTATCTAATTCGTGTTTAGTGGGCTGCAAGTTATGGCATCCACGTGCTGCCGTACGGTAAACTACGCCGCTATGTTACAAATGTTGATCTGAAGTCAGCCTTGAAGAGCAATGTTGCATTCAAGCTGTCCTTCGGTGTGACTTTTGCCATGGCAGCGTTCATGCATTTCTAGTTTCCAACCGTCTACCGCCAATCAAGGACCGGGCCAATATATCATAGATGAGACATAGATCCCTCACCAGAGAGTAGAATGGCAATCAAGTTTGATGTAACCGTCTCGTTCTCACGAAGTATATGCAAAATTTGAACCCCGGCACTCCAGCCACATGTTTTTGACAACCTGATTCGACTGTCTGGCACCTCGAAGACTGCAAACAATTAGAACACTGTACCCGTACAGATATTGGGAAGGCTTACTTCATAATCTTTTGCAAGAAGGCTCTTTTCTCGCCATCGCTAACCCGGTCGCTTGCGAAATTATTGCTGGAAAGTGCATTCTCAAGCCAGGCCTTGGACGATCGGTGCCGAGCAACGAACTTCTTCAAAGGGTCGCAGACTTTGTCCAACTCGCTTCGTGCAGCATTCCCGCTTATGTTATAAACCAATGCATCTGCAATCATAGGGCCGAGATGCTCTAGTGCTGTGTCAATAGATCTTTGGAGGTCTTCGTCGAGGTTTGCCAGTGACAAGAAAGATGACTTCAAATATGTTAGCACTAATACCACCAATGGATTCATATATCTTACCCAGAAGTCTGCTGCAGCAAATTTTGGGAGGGGATCTCTGCCCCTGAGAGCTTTCAATGCAAACATGAAAAGAAATTCCTGGGCCGTGGGTGGTTGCTCTATCAATATCCTGACATGAGAAGGAAGAAGGCGATACAAAAAGTCGATTCCGGCTTGTGCAATCTCGGGATCATTAGACGGATCTATAAGTGTCGGTCAGTCTTCGAAATCCAGAGTTTTAGGTATGCTATTTGAGCTTTCATCTTTGGTGGATGCGGGAAATGTACTTACCGTTTAGGGCCTGCAAGAGTGACAGCACCCATGTGCAGAGGCGATGCAATTCAGCATTGACTTTGCAAGTACTTTTTGTGCCCTGAACGCTTACAAAGGAGCATGCTGTGCTTATAATGACAACGAGTCGTGGAGTAGAGGGCCCCAGCTTTGTGAAGAAATCTACAATAGCTTCGGACGGAAGTATGAATGGACTTGGAGCACGTTCAGTGAAGCCAGCCCGGAATATGTTGCAGACAGATTCCAAAATTTCTCCGCTTTGAGGAAACGCGGCTAAAAGGCTCTCTATAATGGTTCGAAGATGGCTATTGGTAGCTGAGCCCGGCCCTGTGACCCAGAAGTTATCAATGTCGCTTGGGCTACCTTCTGATAATTCAAGGGGAATATCAGTCGGTGCCTGCAGACCCTTAGCGATACTACCAATGCATCTCAGGGTCTCAATCCCTCGTGCTTCAGCCTCATCGACGAAGCCAGCAGCACGAAGTTGGAGAGACTTCTGAAAATCAATTTCCACAGTCTTGAGAAGCCCTAGCAGTGGTTCTTGCTTTAAATGCTCCTCCGGGAGTGCTTGTATAACGGCACCTATTGCTCCAGCAATTCGCTCTTTGACAATAACATCAACGGAATGTGCTAGAGTCAGATCCGTATATTGGTGAACAAAGACCCCAAGTTCAGATGTTAAAGCTTGGCGGCACGAAGAGCAAAGTGATTGGATTGACTTTGAGGCCGTAGGAGCTAAAGCAGTGGTACTCAACGACTTGAACATGAAAGTCAGAGTCTCTGGTAAGTACTGGGTATGTGTTTTGAAGAACTCGTCGTATTTTCCAATAAGAGCAAGAGTCGCTTGTCTTGTACGAGTTGGAGAAGAACAAGTGGGGTCTGCGAGAATGGTGAAAAGTGCGGAGCTGATAACTTTTTCAAGAATAAAATCGGTAGTTTCATCTTCTGAAATGCAATCCGCAAGGCCACCAAGACAAAACAGAGAGGCTTCCAGTTCATACCATGCTTCGTTCTGCAACGAACGAAGTACCATATCGGCTAACATGGAAAATAGGGATACCCCTGTTAATGTGTATGAGGCTTGTAGAAAATCTATAACTTCCATTCGCGCGTCATTAAATCCAGTCTTGTCGCTAGAGGGCCAGTCGTCGAATGATTCTTCAGCTGGGGGGTATTGAATTTTCCGCCAGCAGCGCTCGATTGCCCGCATGACACTGACCCTGGCCGTAGAAAACCATTCATTCTTTTTCTCGGATGAATTTTCTTTCGGATGTTGTGTTTCATTTGACCCTGTCGCGCCACTGGCGGGTGGTCCCAGAATTGATATTGTCACATTCTCATCAGAATAGAGGGAGTCAATCATCACTTCGACGAATGTTGACCAGAACTCGAGAGCGGGAACGAATATTTGGTCTTCGGCGACAACATAACCCTCTGCCGATAGAAGCCCTTCGAGAGCCCCCAGAAACTGTTGAGATGCCGGGTCGTTTGCTTTCGCCAGCTCATCAATTCGTGCATCTCCCAGGGCAATAATAAAATGTCCATATTGAAGTGACTCAAACGAATAATCGCCTTGGATTAGTTGCTTGTAATGCTGTTCGGACCAACTGCTGTTGAAAAGCGAAAATAGAAGCGTGAAGTCTTCATCACTCAAGAACTTGGAGTAGTTGCCCAGCACATCCGCGAAGAGCTCAATGGTAACTTCATACATGTCCTCCTGTGGTAGACAGGTGATTGCTTGCTTTGTTAAAGATTTCAATGGTTCCAATGTGATGCCAGCGTCCACGTAAGCCCTATGTGAGAAGAGTACCCACGTCTAAAATTGTCAGAACTAGAATTATAATGGCTACAAAGATAGTAATCCTTGGATAAAATGCAATGATGGTGAGCTTAGCATGGTTTTCTTACCTGGAAACATTTCATCGAGTCTTGCCGTAGCTTTGCTGGCAGGTTTGCCCCTTCATGGACATTGGCAAGTCCAGGGGCTATGAGTGCAACGACATCCTGGGCGTTTTGTTTCATCCGGTCATGAAACTGGTGACTGCGGGTATCAGTAAGTAATTGTAAGAAACGTCCAGAACCGATTTCCCTTACTGTTTGATGTTGTTCCCATCAACTTTCTCAACTTCCTCGGCAAGTGTCGTGCTAAACCACAGTGCAGCAGACAGCTTCTCTTGAGAAAGGCGGCTAACTAGCTGGCTGGTCTCCGGCGCATCTTGTAACCTTTCTATACCAACGGCTTCGTCGGCAAATAAACAGAGAATAACATGCTTGACGCACAGCGCCCAGGATGCCGAAAAATGAAGGAAGTACACCACGAGGGTAGAGCACAGCTTCCGAAGAGCCAAAGGCCCTGAACCACGCCGTAGATACACAATCAGCCATGTCAACAGCTGGTTCAAAACAGCCTCAGCATCTGTGGCGCTCAATGACGCTCTATTTCACGGTCAGCCACATCCCAAGAAAACTATTGATGGGTTAAGTACTCACGAGTCCGTATTTAGTTTGACGGTAAATGTCAGGGCTCCGAAGAATTGCACTTTCTCATCAGAACTTTGAAACAAGCTGTTTGCAAGTTGCCAGCCATCAGCTGAGCGCTGTAGGGTGTGTAACGCCTCCTGGATATGAGCAATCCTCTTGGGGTCGCCCGGCTGGTACAGCTCCGTGACTAGCTAAACCCGTCATTTTCAGCCTTGCTCATCTAATGACAAAATAATGGATAACATACCTCCTCCACGTCCTTGAGACTCCCTGGAATGGGCGGTTCCATTGTCCAGTGAGGTTGTGGATGATAATTGAAGTGACTAGTGGGGTTGTTCGTTGAGCTTGGTAATACCAGCGCGCCCAGGGGATAGTGCAACGTTTTATGGCAACGTACAGTATAGTTCAACGTGTGGGATCATCACGAGTAGCTGGAGTGGGTTTCATAACATGCCGTAAGGCCTGGTGAAAGTTATAGAATTTCTTTGTTGATATTGGGGAAGCTTTTGACGGAAAGCGTGACCTTCCCCCACCCCCACCTTGGAGCCTTAGATATAAGGTACTAAGGTCTCGATACCAACCTCCTGTGTCATATGAGGAGACATCTGTTCATATTTAAAGAAATCACTAAATATTAAGTTATATATTAAGGGGGAAAATACAATACGGCTTCCTCGAGACAGCCGCTTCCATGGAGCAACTCAATAGTTTCAATATACAAATGAGAGTGGGCTTCAGTGCCATTATTTGAAGCTATCAACGAGACAAGTAGTTTCGGAAACTATCTGCTAGATAAGCACCTTATTCTGAATTCCTTTTGTTCCATGTGGTTCGTATCTCTGCTAACTTGCATTGTGCCAACGTGCATTGTACCATACAAATGGCCCAAAATGACTATTGTGATTGAAAAGCAAAAAAAAGTTTCAAAAATCCACGAAAATGGTTGAATGAAAGCCCAAGAGATCACATCTAGGCTGTTCGTTGTACATCAAAATATTCCACAAAGCGCCCAGAACTTGCTTGCATATGCAATACCAAAGTTCCTTCCCCAATGATGGAAGCGACCAGATGAGTAGTTGAATGTAAAAGAGCCACCAAAACGGTCAAGGGCAATCCTTGCAAGATTCGTCCAGAAAGAATTTGGCTCGATATTGAGTTGATGCCGGGCCAGATAACGGCATCTGACTGTTTGTACTATAAAGCAAATCGATTTGACCCCCCATGAGATAGTAAAGAGCATTTCCGATTCCAGCATGCTTGCCAGACCCCAAAGTGGTTTAGCCTTTCTACCAGTGTGCAAAGGGACACTCCAAAAACTTTCAAATTCCAGTAGCTTCGCTTGGGGGTGGGTTGTTGCTTGCGAAATTTGCTGTGTTCACATGAATTCCAAGATCCGCCAAGACACCAGATCATAAATTAATCTGTAATATATTAGAATAGCTTCCAGAACTGGACTTCGGAGACTTACATGAGTAGCGGGCAACATCTTGGTATGAAATCACATCTTCGAATTCAAACTCCTCAAGAGCAGCAAGGCGAGTACCTCTGTCGTATTGAGAGCGGCGGCGGCGTTGCTCGTCTCTATGGTGCTGCCCAGCACGTGGAGCAAACAGGCCTATTTTTTCTGTCAGATAGCTACATTTGTGGTTTGTGTGCTACATCATATCTAATACTGACCGACATGCTCAGCATTTTCAACACTGCGTCTCATTTTTGACGCATTGTCCGGAAGAGGAAAATCCTCCTCTTCGCCTCCACCTAGATGAGGAGGGCCTGTTCGGAAAATCTAACCGTTGTTAGATATATCAAGATTGATGGTCAACTATCTCACCTTGGGTCGGAATGATGGATGCTCAAGCATAACGGAGCTGTTGCGGAACTTCTGTACCAAGCAGTCCTTTCCTTGAATGGCTTCGCGGCTATTAGTTTCAAGTAGGAAAAAGATTTTGTTATACTTACTTGCATAGGAGACTTCGGCAACCTTGTCGCTATTGTACCTATTCCTGTATGTAAGTCAGTTTTGTTGTTCTTGACCAAATTTAATCGAGTGGGGTGGGAACTTATTTACCATCGTTGGCCGGCGCGTGCTTCCACAAACTGCGTCGCTTTATTAGCAAAATATAAATCAGAGTCACGAGCTACCTACAGCGATAATATGCCATGGCTGTTGAAAGTCAGTAATAATACAGAAAGGAATTCTCGGGCTGTTAAACTTACATCCTCAAAATTGATGAAAGCATAGCCAACACTTAAAAATTAGCTTCAGTACAAATAAATCTTGGGTTCGAAACTACATACTTGCAGTTATTGGCAAAATCAATTCGCAGATACATGAAATCATAGGAGCCGAAGCTGGTTTCATCGATGATTCCCTTCAGCATCTGCTGGTCGATCTTATTTGGGATGTTGCGAAGCATAATCTGTAATAATATGAGAAAGTAGCCTAGAGCCTGTTTGTAAGGAACTTACAGTAGTCCGAACGTCCAATCCTTGGCGGATTCTGCCCACGTCGACAATGTTGTGTTGTCCCACTGAGCTGCCAAATGGAGGGCGGCCAGTGCCTCGAACCGCGCTCTGGCGCACTGAATTTTGGCGACGCCCATATAGGCGCAGCTGTGATTGAGATTCATCTTTGGAGCTGCCACCATTCATTGGGCTGCCCGTATTATTCCAAGTCTTACCTGTTGGAGTTGTAAGCCTCGAATTGTCAGATGTAACAGAAGTGGCACCATATTGAGACGGAATGCCGTATCCTCCTGGGGTGTATCCTGTAACTGGAGACTGGGCAGATAAATATGGGCCACCAAGTGGCACAGTAGCGGGAAACACTGGGTTCACTGGAAATGTGGGAACATAAGAGCTACCCACGGGGCTCATCATCGTAGTAGGGTATGAAAATGGAACCTGCTGATTGTATGCTGGAGGGCTTGAGATAGACAGTCGCTCAATGCTTCCAATCAAGTCGTCATAGTCTCCACGGCCGCGGATTGGTGTATGCTGAGATCCATGTGGGACTCGGGGTGGTCGCTGGTCGATATCTGGCTTGTGGAGTCCGAGTTTAAGAGTTATGCCCTGCAGAAACTTAGCAGATGCCTTCAGGCCACAGAGATTGATCTTACCCTAACAGTAGCTCCGTTGAGTCTCGCAACAGCACGATGCGCAGATCCTACATCGCAGAATTCTACGATCATGCCGACAGCCCCAGCTTCAGTTGGTGCCTGTTTCTGGTAGGCATATACTGCTCCATCAATGGCAAGAAGATCCACAATAATATCTTCAATTTTGGCCCTGTCAAAACCTCCCACGCCAGGGAGCTTGGCAGTCAGAGAAACTTGGCCTTCATAAGCAGATACAAAGGCTGAGTTTGGGTTTGCTTTCTGCAGATGCATTTCTATTAGTGCTGAAAAAACAGATTGGCAGCTTATTACCACTTGCCTCGGCGCAGACACCTGGGGTGATGTATTCAACAGACCACTCAGGGTGAGAGATCTTTGCGTAGTTGTAGATGATAACTGCATCCTGGACATCAGAAAATCTCACTAAGACCTCGTTCGCAGTGTGATAGAAGCGACGTGTTGCACGCTCAGGGATTCCCTTCTCCTAAGACATGTTAGTAAGGTTGGATATGGTGGGATATTCCGCAACATATATATAAATTTGAGATGTTGCCTTGGTGACAATAGATTCTGTAATAATCTGTAACTTATGACACGAAGTGTACATGATATTTGAGCAAGAGATGACTCCCAACTTCATGTAAAACATATCAGTTGTCTTACATATCGGTTTGAGACAGCAAGTAAAACTGCTCAAGATCTCACCCGATTGTTGAACAAAAAGTAACAGTGAAGGAAAAAAAAGTTCCAAGAATTGAAAGCAACTTACTTGAAGGCATGTCTCAACTTGCTCTCTAGAGACAGTGATGTATATTCCAGATATTCTAAGAGCACGGGTAACTTGGGTATCAGTGCTGAAGATGCCCTGCTGTCCAATACCAGAGGCAAAGCTGTCGGTTGGAGATACTGGTTCCACATATTGGCTGCCTCCTTTGTTTGGTTTAGCTGTTTGGACTGTATCAGATTGTGGGGAATCTATATTACCTGTAAGAGAGTGCGTGGGGCCTTGGTTCAAGCGGACACCAAAGGGCTGGAAGCTGGATGCTGTGGCACTGAGCTTCTGCTCGGGGCCCAGCTTTGCATCAGGAGAGGTAAAGGGGTCTTTGTCCTCATACTTGGCCGTTGGGGTACAGCCTCCTGTAGAGCTTGCTGGAGAGGTTAGTCCCAAGCCGGATCCGTGAGCTACTGTTCCAGATGCGTCATCTTGAAAGAAGCCTGTGAAGTAATTTGTTAGGTTAGCATCAATGCAGTGGGAACTAATTGTCGGCCAATAGGATACAAACCTTGGTATGCATGCTTTGAGGTGGACATCTTGTCAGGTCTGCAGCATGCAGAATGTGGGAAGGAGGATATCAGGAAAGACACCAGGTATCAAAGTAGATCGAAGATACACCAATACATGGACACCCAAAAGGAGAGTTAGGTGATCAGGAAATAGATGTGTGATGATGGAAACTGTGGAATGAAGGAGAAGAATTGGAGATGAGGCCAATATGAAAGGGAGAATTTGGAGGAAAGGAGAAAACCCTGGGTTTTGGAATTTGGAAAGAAAATGGGGGGTTGTAAAAGTTTGTGTGTTGGAAGCACCTTGATTGCAGTAGACGCGACTTCCTCGCGAAAATGAAGCGATGAGATATAGAAGAAGAAAAAAAAAACAAGGAAAATCTCTATACTCCAATTCGAACTTGCGCCTCCGTTAAAACTTCTTTTATACCAGCTTAGTATGTTAGACACTATAGTGTTTCCCACATGACTTGAGTATCTTTGTCTGACGTTGCTTTGAAGAGAAGCTCATGCCGTTTCAGTTCGAGGTTGATATATGTCCCACACCGGATATACGTTCTTCCGAGCCACGACGTCACAACCACCATAGGCTCCCAACTGTGGTCTTGATTGAAACCAACACCGACACTTGATCTTTGAAACTGAAGTGCCTGTGCAAATTGTAGCAGACAATTGAGGCGGGTTGAAAGAGAGACCGACCTTGATTATTCACGGATGTGATCCACTAGAAGAGTCATTCAACCAGCCCTCCTCAACTTCAGTTCCTCCTGTCTCCCCTGAATACCTGGATACACTCCTCGAGCGTTGGAACAGCACTGGATGCCACTATCACCATCAGCTTCATTTCTTTCAGTGGCACTTGCCTCATGCGGAGACAATTAGCCGTGTAATTGACCCCAGCTCCACTTCAATATGCCTTCTGCAGTTGACTTCAGGAGCAATGGCCAATCAATCATCCAACAGGTAATGCCCACTGCCCTTTGAATCTTGTTCTAGAACGTAGCCTTATACTGTTAGATGATATTGTCACCCAGTGATAACGACTACCTTGACCAACTCATCCCTGTTGTGAAAGGTGCGAGCAGTTCTAGTCGAGCCCATGCTCTAATGAAGAGCCTCTCTCAATATGCCACGCAACGAGAAAGCGAAATCGAGAAAATGTGCAATCTAAACCACCAAGAGTTCCTAACATCGGTCAACAAGCTACAGAAAGTTCGTGAGGGAACGGTCAAGTTGACATCTGAAATCTTGGAACTCAACCAGTCTATCCAGTCCAGCACGGAAAAGCTTGCGGAGCACAAGAAGGCGCTTGTCGACTCTCGAGGGGTGCGTCAAAATATCGATGAGGCAGCACAAGCACTGAAGGACTGTCTGGAAGTATTGCGTGTATCGAACCATGTCCATGAGTTGCTGGGCCAGAAAAACCACTATGGTGCATTGCGTGCGTTGGATGAGCTCCAAAATGTGCATCTGAAGGAGGTAACACAGTACAAGCTGGCCGATATGATACAAAAGTCGGTCCCTGCCACACAGAAGCTCATAGCAGAGGCGGTCATGAATGATCTCAACACCTGGCTTTATAGGATCCGTGAGACATCTCAGTTCCTTGGGGAGGTAGCTTTCTACCACACTGAGTTGCGGCGAACAAGGCAAAAAGAGCGAATGGAAGCCAATCCATATCTCCGGAACTTCAAGCTCAACTCGGCGATAGAAATGGTCTTCGACGAGAGCGAGGAGTTTGATGCACTAGATAATGATGAGCTGCGAGTTGATTTTACTCCTCTGTTCGAATGCTTACATATACATGAGGCGTTGGGGCAAAGTGACAAATTTCGCACTGAGTATGCTGCAACTCGAAGAAGGCAGAAAGAACTTCTTTTACCGTCTTCAATTAGTCTTCTCGAGAACGATGACTCCAGCTTAAGTAGTCTCTTGGAAGGAATTGCTGGATTTGCGATTATCGAACGGGCAACTATGAGACGTGCTCATAATCTTCGCTCACCTGTTGATGTGAGTTTGATTCTAGCATCAGTGTGGCACGGCAACGTACTTACTGTTTATAGGTTGAGGAGCTGTGGGATTCAATGTGCCAAGCCGCTATTGGTCTCATCTCAAAAGCTCTCGATGATGTTGATAATGCGGAGGTTCTTTTGAAAATCAAAGGTGTCATTGCGTTGTTTATACAGACGCTGGATGTAAGATAACCCTGGATCTGCCACTTTCGTGTAACTGCTGACCAGTAAGGGTTGGGGTTATTCCGTGTCTGCCCTAGACACATTTCTGTTGACTCTATTTGAGAAATACGCCGAGTTGCTAAAAAGACGGTTTAGTGATGATTTTCAAGAGGTATTAGCCCAGTACCCACTGAGTTATAGAAGAATGCTGACGCTAATAGATCGTATCTACTGACGATTATATGCCGATTCCAATTAGCAACTTGGACGAGTATGACAAAGTTGTTAATGTTAGTTGGTTTACACCTGATAAACCGAGAGACGAACTTTCGTATGTTATTCCTGCCTTTGTTGCCAAAGTAGGTGCTGATCTGCCAGATTTCCATGCGTGTTGCCCTTCTCTCAGATGTATCCTCTTTGTTGTATTGACATTCGAAACTTTTTGAATCAGTTCTACTTCTTTTCGGATGATCATTTTCAACATCCCAATGTTATCGATGAGACGCTGAGAAAGGTATGTTTTCCTAAAATGTTAGAACGTTCATATGTTGACTTTGGCCAAGTCCCTGGACCAACTTCTTTCGGAGAAGGTCTGCAGGTCTCTTGTGGAACGTTTAAACTCCCAATATCTAGGGCAAATTGTCCAAATTCTGATTAACCTTGAACATTTTGAAACCGCTTGTCAGGAGCTTGAGCAGCTTTTGATTGCGGCTCGTTCATCAACATCCGCTGGAGGACCGATTGTGTTAAACGCTACTGAGGAGTTCCGGAGTAATAAAAAGACTGCCGAGAAGAGAATTTTTGAGCTTGTCAACTCTAAGATTGATGACTTGATAGAAACTGCTGAATACGATTGGTAAGCTTGCAGTCCATTGAACGTCCCAACTAGCTAATAATATACTGCAGGATGGCGCCAACATTAGAAGGCGAGCCAAGCAACTACATGCAGACATTGACTCGTTATCTATCGAATATCATGAACTCTACCCTACTGGGTCTCCCTAGAGAGATTAAAGAGTTGATCTATTTCGATGCCCTAAGCCATGCAGCGAATATGATATTGGTATGTTAATCTTGGCATAGTACGTAAGAAGATAAGCTCACAGTTGCATTTTAGGCCCTTCCTTTGTCACCGGACGTGAAGAAGATCAATCCGAATGGTGTCACTGCATTGGCGAAGGACGTGGATTACCTGGCCGAGTTTGTCGACAGCCTCGAGAATGCCCCTATCCTGCGGGAGAATCTCGATGAATTGCAGCAAACAGTCAACTTGATGCAAACTGACAACCCTGACGAGTACTTTGACATTTCAACGAGGAATAAGAAATATGGTCGGGTAGATCCCCTGAATGGACCAAAGATCCTTGAAAAGTAAGCCACCAACCCCGACTCTTCATATCCTATGGCAGATTACTAACCATTGAAACTAACTACAGACTCACGTACTCGGTTCAAAGTCCAGTCAAAAATGATAGACTAGCCAACTTTTCGTCACGATTTGGGAAGAAGTAGAGTTATATAGTTAATTCACGGTCCGAACGAAGACCTCGTCAAAGTATTATGGATGATAAAATCAATAAATCTAACAAATCTCAATTTATTTGAGCAGGATCAAGCATTTACTCTACTTTCCCCAAAACCAGAACGAAGGAAAGCAGACACTCCAGGCGCCATAATATGCTCTGATAACCCCAAGGACGCTTGGCCTCTCTCAACGCCCCACCATATCCCATCCAACCTAGGCGGACGATAGTCGCAGAAACATGCTAACCGACCTCATAATCTCTTTCGCCTTCTGCATCCGCATCTCCTTCGCCTCCGTCATGGCGCGGGTAATTGTGCCCGGTGTCTTGACCGACTGTGGGATCTTGGGCTCGCTGTGGTACATGGTACATCTGAAAACAAGTCAGAGGAAATGGTGCTTTCAGAGGAGCAAAACTCATACCTGCTGCGGTGGCATCGGCGGATATGCGTACATCCCTTCCATCTCACCATACATGTGTGGTGGCGCTTGTCCATATGCGCCAACAGGGCCCGGCTGGACCTGTCCAGGATACATAGCAGGTTGGCGGTAATCTTGGTCTGGAGCCAAACTGTGGCCCAACGAGTAATCGGGAGGAGCCATAGCATGCTGCTGAGGCTGATGACTGGGTTGCTGTTGGGATATATTGCCCTGCGCTGGGATCTGGGCACCAGCCGTAGGAACTCCTTGCGTCGCAGCGTGTGGACCAGAAGCTCTCTTGGCGTGCGACGCAGCCTCCTCTCGAGGAACAATGTCAATCAGGAAGTCAAACATGTCACTCTTAGCCAGCGCAGATGCAATATCAGATCTCTGAAGTGTACGGCGCTTGTTCTCTTCGGCGTGGATCCAGGCGCGCATAGTCAATTCCGTAATAAAAATGTCACAGCCTTTGGCGAACAAAATCGGAGCTTCTGCAGATATCATCTTTACTTCTGGATCCGCCTTCATGACCTTTTTAATTCGTGCCAAAGGGAGCTGGTGCAGTTTGTAGTCGTGTGTCTCGGTCTCGAGTTGGTTGATCGTCTGTTGCCAGTATGTCGTGAGGATGTCTCTGTACCCGCCCTGAAGGCCTTGGTTTACCTGCGAACAATTGAGCTTTGAAACCGGATCGAGGAAACTGTTCACTTACATTTGCCCAGGCTCCTGTGTAGAATTCCGCGACTGGCGCAAACCCTTGCGCAGAAAGCTTTCTAGTCTTAGTATCTGAAACCTTGCGAACAATCAGTCAAAACTTACGGAAGCGCTGGCGCCTATAGATGATACAGTTAGCTATTGCTATTACTTAGAATGCGCCTTGGAGATTGTCTACTTGCCATAATGGCCGCCTTGATTGATGTCATAGACGGGTTGTTGGCGCTGTTGGCCCTGCCCATGACCAGCGTTTGGCTGCGAGGATGGATCCATGGTAACAAGCTTGGCTATTCCTTCCTCCCGTATAGACAGCGACGTGCGCGCGATATGTTGTGTGTATATAAGTGAGACTGCTGTTGTCAGCACAGTGAGTGTTTACAAGTTCTCGGTGACGCGACAAGTTACGAAGAGGTGTGACCGAAGGCGCAAATTCGGTCTCTCCGTGGGCGCAACTGCCACTGCTCACTGCCGCTGGTGAATTGAGGCTGTGTTTAAATCACGGTGTGAAAGGCAGTCGCATAAGTCGCATTTCCTTGACTCCGACGTCGTGGTGCTGTTGATGATGCCCAAGCCAGAGTTAATTGATTGGTTGGCGGCGCCAGCTGGAGTGATGGAGTAGGTACTCGAATAAAGACTAATAACGGGAAAGCCGCCCATGAAATGTTTTACCCAGTACTTAGGCCAGCACAGGGCGGCTGGGAGGGTGCCTGCGCCTGCAGCCAACACATCAAAACAACTCACTATTTTTTCTGAAGATTCGTCAGCCACAATTGATTTTTTTGCTTCTTTTTCATATGTCTATGCATTTTATTGAGAATTGGCTAAAATAGCAGCTTAAATGCCGAGATTTCATGTCCCTCTAGATCATAAGCTAAATTGAACCCCGATTATAGAATCCAGCGGCGCATTTCTCAAGGTCACGTGCCAACAAGGAGCCAGCCTCGCAATGCCAAGCATTTCGCTTAACCGACTTTGCATTTGCTTCTATAAAGTTTCTTCCCCCATACCAACCAGCGTAAAACATAATTTTTCCAAGCCTGTCTGCACCACATACGGTACAAGAAGCTTGCTACCTTCACAATGGAAGTATTGGAGAGCCAGGATCTGTCTGATGGGCAGATACAACAAATACTCAGAGATGCTGAGCAGAGGATGAGGGCATCAACAGAAGCCGGTGCAAATACTTTGATAACCACCAGCGGCGTATCATCTCTGCCCGGTCTCGACTCTAGGTATACCTTCCACCCACAACGCGGGATTCCCCTGCCAGTTGGTATACATGCTAACTCCAGGCAGCACCAGTATCTCAAACGGGACCGGCTCGGGTTTACCTTCAGTATATGTCAAGCCAACTATCTCCGGTGCACAAGTTGACCCGGAATTTCTCGTCAGTAAGCAAGAGAGGGAGCTTGCAAACACACCACGCTGCGTTGAAGATCCGGTTGCCGCGAAGGTTAAAGCTGCAAAAGTAAGTTACAACAAGTTCGACTTCTTTTTGTGCTTTTATGAGGAAAATTATCCCAAAGTATCTTGACGCAGAACTCGGACCCCGTCTTGGGTGTCTTCTCTGCATCTATGATAGTACACACATTGTGTGAATTCATAGTTACTCTGACTTAGCATCTATCTATTTATTCGCTATTCATTATTTGCTGTGGCTTTCCACTGACTTTTAAAACAGGAGAAGGCAGCATCAGCTGGGCCCAATTGGTACAACCTGCCCAAGACCGTATTGACGCCGGGACTCAAGCGCGACCTGCAACTGCTACGCTTGCGATCAGTCCTCGACCCGAAAAGGCATTACAAGAAGGATAATGACAGAAAGAGCGATGTGCCTGAGTTCTCCCAAGTTGGAACAGTCATTGAAGGACCAACCGAATTCTTCACTGCCAGGATGACAAACAAGGAGCGAAAGCGAACCTTCCTGGAAGATGTTTTGGCAGGGGAACAGAAGACGCAGCGATTCAAGTCGAAGTATACTCAGATACAGCTTGCCAAGACCAGTGGGAAGAAGGCTCATTACAAAGCACTGAGGGCACAGAGATCTGGAAAGGTTTCTAAAGGTTGAAGCCTTTTCCCTGAACAAGTCATTCGTTCAACAGGCAAGCCGCAAGATCCATCCAAGTGGCACAGGACTTGATCCGTCTGGCATCTCCCATAACTAACAGTCAGATTATTGTTTGGGAGACCAGTGACACTAATGGAGAGCTACCTACCGTAGTCGTCTATGCACTACGCCCTACGCCAACTACAGACGCCCGCGTAACAAAGCTGGTGGGTATAGGCGTAACAAGATCTGACTAGGTAACATGGTGGTGATCCATACTATATGACCGTAGGTTAAATAGCCACGCGGCAACTGGCACCCCATTGTGAGCATGAATATAGCGTAATTAAATAGAATACGCCCTCATGAATCAACACATCACAAAATTATCAGCTCCTTATGTGCATAATCGTGAATTTGTTTTGTGGTATTAATTGAGTTTCAATGTTAATAATCACGTGATTATGGACAGTCCGTGTCGGCAATTCCCGTGGGTGCTGTAACGAACATTTTATTTTGGCTTCATCCAGCATTGCAAACCGCGCTTCCAACATGGCATCTATAGCCCCATTGCGATCGCATTGGGCTGCGGCTAGCCGGTCCAAAGTGAGTTCTGGTTCAGGTTGGATGAGGAGCTCAGAAGTGGTGCTAACAGCTCAGTATGTGGCAGGTTCAGCGATCACGAACAGAATTGCCGTCAGTCGGTTCCATGCTGCCAGCTTGAGCCGCAGCAAAGACGATGCCCCGAAAGCAGAGACATCGTATGATTCGACATATACTTGAAAATGCATTGCGTTTGAAGCTAACCATATGCCCGAACAGATCTGCCGCAGCGACCAATCTCACCCCCAAGTTCGTACCTCTTTCTAGCCACTATGGACGAAGTTGAAGTACGTTAGACTAACACAAGCATTCAGATCATCCGAAAGCAGCACCGCGGAATCAGAGACACCTCGCCTGCCCAGAAACGTACAGGCCATATACCTGAAGCCCCTACGACGAGACGTGGAATATGGTGTCCCATCCTGTGATCTTCAATTACGATCCTACAGCGTACGAAACCTCGAATTCTTCGCAGATTTTGCTCTACGAGCAGCATACTATTTGAAACTCCCCGCCTTTGGCCCTGTTCCGCTTCCCCGAATTACGGAAAGATGGACGGTCCCCAAGAGCAATTTCATCAACAAGAAGTCGCAGGAGAATTTCGAACGTATCACCTTGAGACGCCTTATCCAAATTAAAGACGGACACCCAGAGACTGTCGAGTTATGGCTTGCTTTCTTGAAGAAGCATGCATATTACGGAATCGGAATGAAGGCGAACGTGTGGGAATACAACGAGCTTGGTAAGTGACGATTTTCGAGGCGAAGTCTTCAACTACTAACCAACGGATAGGGGTCGGCAAAACAATGGATGTGAGCTTGGAGAATCTCAAGAACGTTATGGAGCCCAAATGGGCCCATTTTGGACGAAACAAAAACCTGGAGACTTCAGAGAAGGTTTTGGAGATGATGAATTCCGAGAAGTATAGGCTTGCAGCAAGCGGCAACGCACCAATGACCAACAAATAAGATGAACATTTCAGAGTATCCGGGGTGTACATTATACTGTATCAGAAGCACGTAAATTAGGTATTGCTGCATTTAGAAGGCGCATGGCAGCACATGTTGGGAGTTAATGGGTAATGGAAACCCTGTATATATACATATCCAAAAGAAACAGTTTATTACTGCAAATCTCCAACGTTAGAATATGAAACCTGACTTCCTCGAATGAAAGTATTAAATGAAGAGCATCGAACACTAATAGATTGTATATCTGGCAAGTTGAGCATAATTTTCTTTGGAAGCCTCTCATAAAATAAATTAATACATATCACGTGCCAAATAATTTTATCTCATGGATGACCGATCCAGAGCCAGATTTCACCAATTCCCATTCCCTACGTCTAATTGCTTCATTTATTTATATAGCTATGGTTCTACTATGTCGAAATTCTCGTTCGCTCCTGCATGAGTCAGTTGCATGCGCACTTTCCAAGCAAGCGTCAAGCCCGTCAAATATTCGGAGGCTGTCTTCAGCTATCCCAACACCACCGCGCCAGGTTATATTTTCCGGCATACAGCCAACCGGCATTCCTCATCTTGGAAACTACCTTGGTACTCTTAAGCAATGGGTGGATCTACAGGATTCGGTTCCTTCGGAAACCAAACTAATATACTCCGTCGTGGATTTGCATGCCATCACCGTACCGCAAGATCCTCAGCGTCTCAGGCAATATAAACGCGAGGTCTTAGCTACTCTTTTAGCTATAGGCATAAGGCCAGAGAGATCGATATTATTTTACCAGTCCTCGGTATGTTTAACTTCCTGGCGATTTGGTAAACATGAGACTCACCAACTTTGCAGGTCCAAGCACATGCTGAGCTGATGTGGATATTAAGCTGCACAGCTTCAGCAGGCTATCTGTCTCGTATGACACAGTGGAAGGTATGCTGGATAATGAATCTAAACGCTGCTTGTCACATCTGCTAATAGTAAATAGAGCAAGCTCTCGCTAGCGGAGGATGCGAATGCAATGGACACGGGCAGCAAAGCCAAGTTAAAGCTTGGGCTCTTTTCGTATCCAGTTCTACAAGCCGCAGATATTCTGGTCCATAGGTAATGATAACCCAGTCACTGCTAGGAAGGTTACTGATTGTTGCAGGGCCACTCACGTACCAGTTGGAGAGGACCAAAGCCAGCACCTGGAGTTCGCACGCGAATGCGCAACCAACTTCAACCACACATACCAGCCTTATCTAATTGCTCCACAAACTATCCTATGTATGCCCAGCAAACAGTTTCACTCGTCAAGTCATTTGCTAACTAGCTCCAGCACCTGCCAAACGAGTAATGTCGCTACAAGAACCTCATTTGAAAATGTCCAAATCACACGCAAACCCTCTTTCAAGGATTTTGGTCACCGACTCACCCCAAGAAATCAAGAAGAAAGTAATGGCCGCAAGAACAGACTCCATCAATTCCGTGTCGTTCGATCCCGTTGGCCGGCCAGGCGTCTCGAACCTCCTACATCTCTTGTCCATCTTGAACAAGCAATCTCGAAGCCCGGAAGAGCTAGGAACGCTCCACGCCGGCTTGAGCTTGAAAAATTTCAAGACTTTGGTAGCTGAAGCTGTGGCAGAATCCCTTGATGGGATCAGTGCTCGCTATAACGAGGTGATGACCCGCGACGATGGCAAGTATCTCGATCACGTGGAGAAGAAAGGGGCTGAAAAGGCTCGGGAGAGTGCCGAGGAAACGATGGCACTTGTGAGAGAAGCTATCGGCTTTTAAAACTGAAGCTACGGCAACTTCGCAGTGACACGGAGAGGTTGGGGCTCTAGCTTATTGGCAAAGGCAAGGAGGTCGACTTCTTGAAATTGGAGGGCCTGGGATGGCCCTCCTCATAATCTTGACACAACCACTTACTGTATATTACATGTAAAACACTCTGTATACCAAAATATTAGACTGTTCACTAGTATATCCTACTTGAGTTACGGGCCACTTCATAATTTAAAATATCAATATTCGATATCACGTGTCATTAATCATGTGACACGTATCCTTATCGCATACAAAGGTCGTTTGGTATTATATAAGTCGGAAATATAAGACGGGGAACCAAGGCAGTTCCGACTTTCGGTGGTATCCAGAACCTACAACAACATCTGGTGTAGCATGCAAAGTGAAAATGACTTTGCATTTGCTAAGGTCACCGTCAAGGCCAGCCAAGCTAGCATCATTGGCCGTAGTTGCACTTAGGAGGCCTTATTCGTCTGCGACGGTATCTCCCCTCAGTTTCGACCTCCATGAGGCCCCTCGAGGAGAGGAGAAGGGGACTCCAATCATTTTCATGCATGGCCTTTTCGGCTCCAAGAAGAACAACAGGACTATGAGCAAGTAAGGCACCATGTCTATTCCTATGCTCTCAAAGTCATTGTTCTAAATTATCCGCTTGTGTGTAGAGTCCTCGCCCGTGACCTGGGAAGAAATGTTTATGCTTTGGTATGTTCTATCAAATTGGTAATTTTCAAGCATTGGCTAATGGGGTTGAAGGACATGAGAAATCATGGGGACTCGCCGCGTCATGAACGCCATGACTACGCTATCATGGCTGACGATGTTGCGCGGTTCATGGACGAGCATAAGCTGGAGGACACAACTCTCATCGGCCATTCAATGTAAGCTGGAACTCCGTATTAATTATGGTGTTAAAGATGATCCTAACAAATCACAAGGGGAGCCAAAACGGCCATGGCGTTTGCGCTCAATTATCCCAGTAGAATTCAAAACATCGTTGCGGTGGACAATGCGCCGATAGATTCACCCCTACTAAGAAGCTTTGGGCAATACGTTCAAGGGATGAAGAAAATTGAGCAGGCCGGCGTAACGAGGCTATCAGAAGCCGATGAAATTCTAAAGGACTACGAAGAGGAAAGTATCATCGAGCCATGGATTGGTCCGGCCCGTTCCAGCTACTAACTATCACGCAGTCTCTAGTCATCAGACAATTTCTCCTTGGGAATCTGTACCGTCCTGCAAACGAGAAGACGCAGAAATTTAAATTCTCCTTGAAGACATTAGCTGCCTCCCTCGGCCATCTAGGCGATTTCCCATACAGAAATCCCGACGAAGTCCGCTTTGAAAAACCCGCCCTGTTCGTTCGGGGCACCCAAAGCCCGTATATTCCAGACGAAGCTATACCCCTCATTGGGCGCTTCTTTCCTCGATTTCGACTGGTCGATATTGATTCTGGCCATTGGGTCATTGCAGAGAAGCCCGAATTATTTAGACAAGGTATGTCCCGTGTCCAACCAAACTGCATCTTCGGTTATTGACGCCCATCAGCTGTCGTAGAGTTTCTTGGCCAAGACAAGGAGAATTAGAACTTGGGTATTTGATTATACCTCAAGGATAGCTTGGAGGGGCATAATCTATAAACGACGCCGTAACAAACCCATTGTAGATGGATGTTTGAGGGCGCATAAGTGTATAATACTTGTAGATAAAGAATATATCTGACCAGCCGACGTCTACATCGACGTCTCAACATAGACATCCGGAAGAAATCTGTGACGCCGCATTGCCCAAGGTGATACCATTCGATTCCCGCTGTGTCTGCTCTACCAACCCCGGCGTGGAGACGATAGTATCAACGATTTCTACAAACGGCTTCCGCACATTCTCGCGGGTCTTCGAGCTGACCTCGCAGAACTGCGCGCCGTGGATAGACGCAAGTGCCTCCCCCTCCGAGGCGCTGACTTTTCTCGACACCTCTTTGTCCAGCTTGCTCCCGACCAAGTATGTAATCGTCCCGGGCATAGAGTTGTTCTGGACTTCTTCAAACCACCGACCCATGGACAGGAAGCTGTCCCGGTTGGAGATATCATACACTAGGATGACGCCGTGGGCACCGCGGTAATAGCTGTTCGAGAGGGTCCGGAATCGTTCTTGGCCCGCGGTATCGAGGAGGTTCAGGCGATACGAAGTGCCTCGCACCGACAGCTTCTTCACCTATCGATCAATCAGCCTTGTCGCTCTCACAGTGCTGAGGGTCCGCCCGCACCTTGAAGTCGACGCCGATAGTGGCCGTCGAGGATTCTGGGTCGAACTGGTCGTCGCAATATCTGATCAACACTCAAAGGCGGTTAGTCCACAGTCTGTAACCATAAGTATTGGTCCATACGTGCTGATTTCCCGGCTCCAGAAGGGCCGATCATGAGCAGCTTGATGACCTTGAGGTTGTCGGTGTCCATCGTGATCGCTGTTGAGCCATTCATTCACTGTTGAAATGTCCCGGGCAAGGTAGCAAGCAACTGTAATATAAGAGAGACCGCTACCCGAGCCTTTACTTGGCGACGGGACGGTTGTTCTTTGTATGGCACTCTACATGTCTATAATCTACATCGTGGAGGGGAGACAGCGATAGCGGTTTTCGCTAAAATGTGTGGGCATGTGATTGGTATTTTGAGTGGCCACATCAAAGTTGAAGCGCAAAAAGCATCACGGAAAGCAATACGGTGGCAAGCGGAAGTTTTTGAAATTTATTTGATTTTGAATGACTCCCAAATGCCTGAGAGGTGATGCAAGTCACGCCATATGCCGAAAGCAAGACCTTTGCCCTAATGAACATGACCAATCAAAACCCCGCTAGTACAGCACTTTATACCTGCTCCAGGACCGTCTCCTTGAACTCCCTCTCAACCTTTTGTCCCTGCTCATCCGTGTTTGACTCGCCGTGGAGGTTAAGAAGGGCGCCGAGGTCGAACTTGGGTGCCTTCAGGAGCTTGACTTTGCGGATGTGAACCTGAGTCATGTTAATACTGTAATCTCCTCATAAAAAAAGACGGCAAGTCTCTGATACGTACATTTTGGAGAGGGTAGATTCCCTGTGTAGCCTTCTCAATCTCGCGGCCGATAACCTCCGGGATGAGCTTGGCGGTAAGCTGGGTAAGGGTGCAGCTCGAGGCCTCGCGCTGGATGATCTCAGTCATCTTCCTGCGGATGGCTCTGATTTGCGAAGAAGCAGCGTAGGTGGTCTTCTTGATTTGGTTGGGGCGGCGCTTGGTGAAGGCGATCGCGAAGAGGCGGAGGAGGTAGTCATCGGTCGTCTTGACGGTGATGTTGGCCTCGATTAACGATTGCCACTTGCGGACCAGGGACCTCAGCTTGTCGGATGTGAAGTCGAGACCGTGGAAGTTCGTCAGGCAGTTCTTTCCCTGCACCTCATCGACACGGAGCTTGATCTTGCGGAAAGCGTGGTCCTCATCCTTCTGGAGATCGGCCAAGGAGACCTCGACGATACGGCCCTTCAGGGAGTCGTTGGCGTTCTTGAGACCGGTAGTCCTGTTGACAAGAGTCTTGCCGACACTGAAATCGATTGTTAGAATCTGTTATACACATTGTAATCGGGGTTGCCATACTCTCTAATCTGGAACGAGGTTGGTGCCTTTAAATCACTGTTAGCAAGATCCATCGACTCTGCGTCTTGAGCAATTTACCTTAATCTGGTACCAGTCCTTGCGGGTGAAGGGATCGATGGTTCTCTTCTTGATACCCTTCTTTCCCTTTGAGAGGCGCTTGTTCCTGCAGAGGTGTGTTAGAGACGCTCTAATTTGTGTGGTGTGCGCATTGATGCTCAGAAGTCGAGGCAAAATGAATTCGAAGTTTCGGGTTCCAGAGTAAGACTCACTTTCCGACAGCCATGATTGCGATAAGTTACCTGATCGCGTTGACTGTTGAGTTGAACGTTTGTCGTAGGTTGGCGATACTGACCAAATGGAAATATTGTCAAATTCAGATGTGTGTGTCGCGCTAGTGGGGCAAACTAACCGAAGCTTAGTCAGCGCATCGGTCCCTGCAAGGGCTACTATGGATTTCGGTGTGGAGCGGGGTTGTTCCCTTCCCTTTGTTCCGAATTTCGACCAACACAGCACAAAACAACACAACACAGCAAAAAACACACAACAAAATCGAGAAACTGATGATTAAAATATGAAGATTTATTTGGTATTTGTTATGCCAGTTATGCCACTTCCTATGCCTTATGTGCGCCCCTCCATTCCCATAATACCAGTCACTCACTCCATTCGCTATCCCTACCATCCCAACTACCCATGCACCGAACGCCAACGCAAGTCACTCCACCGCCCAAAACAACAAAACAATCAATTTCCGAATTCTTCACCGCCATCATCCGGGTCCTCGTGGAAGTCTTCGAAATTCGGGAAGCTGAAATATAGGCATTGTGCTTCAGGTTGTATGAGCTAAATCGTTCGAAACAAGACTGGCTCAGCCAGTATAGGTGGTGATGGGTAACTCACATGTGTATATGCTCTCCTTCTGTTCCTCCACCGAATTTGAGAAGCCGTGATCCGATACTGTTCGTCCTGGGCTCACAGAGCGGCGACAGCTATCTTGTGATGACGACAGGCTCACGGTGTCTGTCCTCGGTGGTGATGAAGAGGCAACCCGGCTGAGTATCGCTGTCGCCCTCGAGGATGGATGGAGGTAGGCAAGGTCGCTCCGGCAGGCGTTCGATGTGGCTAGGGAGGGTGCAGTCGCGGTGGAGCGCATCAACTTCGGTCGTCGACAGGTTGAAGTCCTCGATATTGCCCTCGATGCAGACTTGCCCTCTGATGAGATTGAGTGTGAGCTCGCCATTTCAGGTAACGTGCTACGGGCACTATGTGAGTAACAAAGATGTGAAGGTCGAAGCAGTGACGACTGTAGGTAGGTTGTAATTGTAATGTGTTCTTGTTGAGTGTTGTAAAAGTGTTTATTGTTGAATTCAAATACACTTTCCCAAATAGATTCCGGGTTCACAAGTCTGCCTATAAGCTATAATTATTTGTTTGGGGCTTGTGGAGTCTCCGCAGCTACTCTTCCCCATTTCGTCCCTACCATGGCCGCCACATGTCTCCAGTTTGATGGTCTAGTCATCCTGAGCGATGTGGTCCAATCTGTGTGGCTTCCATTCGGGGCTACTGCACAGCGTTCGTTAGACAGGGCGGCCGGGCTACATATGAATCTCTCGTTCCTCGCGACTATGGCCAGTAAATGGACACAGGGCGGTTTGGGCATGGGGTCACGCCTTGATTAAGTCGGCCCAATGCTGCTCGCGTTGACCAAAAAGTCCGAAAAGAAAAGAGCCCATCGCCGCTTTCAGTTGTTTACAGTAACTGTAATTAAAGTGATGGCTCTTGATTATTCACACCTACAATTATCATAATTACCGCCTTTTGATCGAGCGAGTTTCTTAGAGATTCAATTACAGGTATCAATTCTCAAGCTATGCGCAGCCCATCTTCAGCACAACACCCATCGCGATCCATCAAGCCACCCCCCAATACATTTCCGGATGTTGCTCCACGCATCAAGTTTTGGGGGGGTTCTAACGTTGCTTCTTCCCTGTTCCCACTCGTGACTGGGATCACGTAATGGTGCTGTTGTTCCCCTTCTGGCAATCCGCCCAATGTCACCCCATCCAGACCACCTTCCATGATCTTTTTAGTGATCGATGCTGTAACATAATTAATATCACGATTATACTACGACACGGGACGCTTACTCTTCCCAGGTTCTTCCTCGGACAGCTTCCAGTTCCTCACTCGTCATTCGATAGCCTGTCGTAAAGTACCCTATCCCACACCATCAATACGGATCGTCCAGATCAACAAGAAGAGCTGCACTCACCAGCCGTGATTTTCGCATCTATCTCCACTCGACCATCATCTGGAATCCACGATTCGGGCAGCTCTACTCGTTCGTGAATCGGTATACTACAAATCGTGTAAGCACGGGACTACTGTCAAAGGTGAGATATGTACCCTTGCCCAACGATTGCGTCGTGCTTCATGCTGCAAGAGAGTCAGCGCTTTGCAGCCAGAGATACATCCATTGGAGTAGACATACTCGCTCATACTCATCATTCGGTCGATCTTTGTTATGCCAAGCCAGTGAAGGATGTCTGGCATCAGTGCTTGAAATCTCATGTCCTTCACCCCTGCTACATTTTCGGTCCTCTGGAAGTATTCAGATGCTCTATCGGCACTACGCTTTCTGGCATTGTAAACGAGGTACTACAAGTTTAGAAAATATCAGTAATAGAGAAGGGCCATGGAAAATGTGAACTTACCTTTGTGACTTCCCCCAAAGCTCGTCCCTCTTTCCTAAAATATATAACAACGCCACTTCCTCCTTTCTGGGCTTCCTTTACAGCTTCTTCAATTCCAAATATTAAATATGGACGGCAAGTGCAAATATTACTAGAGAATACGTCGCTTGAATTGCACTCGTCATGGATCCGAAGGGCGAGGCGTGCGTTGGCATCTGCCATTTTTGCCGGATCGCCGAAGCAATACACAGTTAGCCCACCTACTGTGCATAAGCATGATAACGCTGAGCTTATTGCTTTTACATACCTATTGGTGGTAAGAATACCTTGATATCCCCCCTCGTGATAAGCTACTGCCATTAGCTTGGATCTCAGCTATGGGCCATGCACAGCATGCTGCAAGTTTACCTCGGGGTAGCTTCCTCCCGTATGCTCAAAGAGTGAACGGCGCAAAGTACCTTCATCTGTAAGTAATCATTAGCATGGTATATTGATGGTGGTCTGGAGTTGTTACCTATTCCGAAACGCTTAGCAACTCCTGGGAGATACCACACCTGCACCATGTCAGTACGCCGTACAGAGTCGGCATATAAAAATATCATACTGGTTCGACGGCAAATTTGGTAACTGCAAGCTCTCCCAGATCGTTCAAGCACACTTTTCCATCAGGAATACTTTAGGGGAGTTAATTGATCGACTCATCTATGACTAAGTATTGATTCGGCTTACAGTCTGCCCTCTCGAACGCTGGCTTCAAGCTCTGGAAGCTGGCAAGGTCAGTTAGCTGGACGTTGACATAGAGTGATCTTGGGAGAGGATAGGTTCATACATTCATCCGAGCTTTAGTAATGGCTACATATATCAGAGTTAATATACATTGGCATAAATCGCAGGGGCATCAATTACTAACCAATAGTTGGACGGATATCAACTGGGCAAGTTAGTAACAATTCTCACGGAAGCAAGGCTGAATACGAACTATTCTCGGAATCCATGGTGTTTTTAAAAAGCCAGGGTGCCAAATGACCAAGAGGATCCAGAGAGACTATCTTCTCCTTGTCGGCCCATTGTGGAAAAGGACCAATGTTGGAAGCTGGCTCGGTGTTTGTGAAGTCGGGTCTGAATTCCATTAGCCATTGAAAATTCCGCTATCATTTGCTGGATATCATTTTCTTGACGAGGGGAAAACGAATATACTGTAAAATATAACTTCAACCCCAGACAAGATGATTCGTTTGGTTGCGACACTGTTTGACAAGAAAACCTTATAGCTTACTTATGGTCAAGTTCTATCTCTTTGCTGGCTACGGCAAGAGCGTAGTACATCGAATATGATCCACCGTGTGCTGATATTCGTCAATGAAGTGTTTTCTGTATGTCGCATCAGGACGTGATATACCTCCTATGGCTATAATGATAACAACCGTTAGCATTGCATAACATGAGGGGTTCGTATAGTAACATACCATTACGCCTCCGAATTGTCGATTGCGATCTTGAAACAACGACTGGTCCCCTCGTTTGCGGATCTTTGTTGCCCCAGTCCATCGGCAGAGGGTTTATGCCACTTTGGCCAGGGTACGTGCTGGATATATTGTCAGCTTCAGCAACACGCGGGTCGGGACACCCCTTCAGGCACTTGTATAGGATGCCCGGGACGAGTTGACGACTGGATGGGGCGACGGGCAGGGCTAGGTTTAACCCACGTAAGAATGATCCGTGAAGTTGGAGTATGATGCAGATTCGAGGGCGATGCAGTGGAAGGCATATTGGAATGGTCAACGTCTTCTGCTGCCACAGTTAGAGACTCCGGTACCGCAACATCGTGGTCTTCTTTGTTATCTATGTGAGCCGTGGTGCTCGGGATGTCTTCTTGTTTGCTGCTGGAAACTGCTGCGGCATGTTCAACTTCCTTGATGCCAGCAAGGATATTTACGCGGCCGTTGATGGCATCTACATTTGCCGCGAGCTGGGTCTGGTTGGCTGTCAATACCTTGAGGGCTTCCAGCACGTCTTTCATGAGAGCAGTTTGATCCGCCGCTGGTGCAGCCATAGTTCGTGAGGCGGTGTTATATTCGCAAGGGTAATATAATCGTTGGAAGAGCGGCTGGTTGAATGAAGTCTTGAACTATCAAGCTCAGTCATGTACTTGTTCAAGAAAGCGCAGTTTGAGGCAATGTAATTGTAATGTATGTAAGGTCCAGATGTTGTATGATGTAGCAGTCACGGTGAGGACGCGAGGTGCGTCAGATAGGTCACATAGCAGATGCGGGGTACTCTGGTACTCCCACTGGACTATGCCATTGATTGTGTAAGAACCAAGGGGTTTGTTTACAGGACGTGGATGTGATGCTGTACTGTACCTCGTGAGCTCCTACCTACTCGACTCGTATATCCTCAAAACCCAAAACGCCGTGAACTGGCAAATGAGTTTGGCGATAAGAGGATAAGAGGATAAGAGGATAAGAGGATAAGAGGATAAGAGGATAAGAGGATAGGATAACAGGCCCTGTATCTTGCTGCGTCAGAAGGTGGAGCTAGAGTACTTGTGCGGTAAAGGCTATGTATGGGAATTTCGGAATAGATATGGATAGCGAACGGGGACACCAGCCAGCTCCTCATATCCTTACCAGCTATCAAATCAAAGCTTGACTTCTACTCTAGATGAATATCATTTTCCGCTTCTTGAACCAAGATACATGGCGCCAACTGATTCATACTTCGTACTGCGGATATCGCATATCGCAGTACGATCAACCATAATTCATGCACGGCACTCGGGATCAACGCCACTGGTGTGGTACCCAATCTTTTACCCCACATCCAACTCCCTGCGGATCCTTTTTTTTTACCCACTTTCCCGCACTCTCTACGACCCTTTCCCTTTCCAAGCCTTATCGGACGCGCCAAGACAACCAGGCTCTGTTATCTTGAGCCGCCTTTTCTGCTGTTTGCCCCAAACCTCACTACTTCAGGAAAAGAGCCCTCCCTCTGGTAAAACTGCAAAACCCAACCAACACCCCCCCCCCGCCCATCTGCTCGAAAACACCACACACCCACCAAACATGGTCAGGACCCCTCTCCCTCCAGCTGACCTCCAGCAAGCATGCAGTCTAGCATTCCAGCCGAATCTCTGACTGGCATGTAATACAGGGCAAGCGAAAGAAGGCGGCCAAGGCCCCGACGAAGAAGAAGAACGAACCCCTGGCAACCACATTCCCGTGTCTCTTCTGCAATCATGAGAAGTCCGTGACCGCGAAGATCGACAAGAAGGCCGGAGTCGGCCACCTGTCGTGCAAAGTGTGCGATCAGTCGTTTTCATGCAGCATCAACTGTACGCAACCCTTCCCCCTTGGATGTTGCTTGATGGCGATGGCATATGCTGACCTATTGACGCCAGACCTTTCGCTGCCGGTTGACGTGTACTCCGAGTGGGTTGACGCGTGCGACACCGTTGCGCAGGAGAACAAGGAAGCCAACGCGAGCCGTCCGAGGAATTTCGTGCCCCCAGGCCGAGCCGGAGAACCAGAGAGAGTTGATGATGACCTGGATGACGAGGATGCTGATCGCCACAATGGATACGGAGGAGAGGGCATTGTCGATGACGACGAGGACGACTATTAAGAGGGCTATGGCATGTACACTGAGTGAGACCCGGGGGGTACAGGCGTCCACGTGTATGGGGAGAGAGATCAAAGGGCGTCCGGCGTATCAGGGCAAAAATAATCTAGCTTTAAGACTTTCGCCTTCATCTTACTGTATTTCGATAGGCTTCTCGGGTTGCTCTCATCGACCCGAGGATATCTTAATTTGATTAGGAAGAGCAATCTACAACGAATTGATGGCTGTACGATCCCTGGCACTGGCCTTTCGTTCACAATTGATATATACATGCTCCCCATCAGCCGGAATCTGTGACTGTCCCCTCTCAGTAACCAACGAAGCGGTCCTGCTCCCCTGTGCGGCGGCAACGTTAAAGCGTATAAAATCGATCCCCAAAATCTCCCAGGCCGGGGACAATATAGCTACAATAGTCAGCACGCGATCAAGTGTGTAACGGATGTGAGAACTCAAACTTACTTCTTTTCGTCCAATCCCTGAATAAACACCACGGTTAGCAAATACCGAAAGCTTTGGTTCTCTGGAGATGCATACCTGGTCTATGAATGCCGTAACGACCCTGAGCTTGGGGAATTTCTTTGCAAAGACATTGATCCCTTCCGGGCTCGCAATTAGGTTAACGAATAAGATGCGGTCTTCCGGGACGCCCCTGGACTTGAGGACATCCACAGCCATCGTTGCAGAGCGCCCTATCACCCCAAATTAGCCTCACAGTCCCATAATCAGTCATTCATGACTCTTATTTACCTGTTGCGAACATAGGATCCAAGAGAAGCACCCATCGATCACCGATATCCTCCGGCAGCTTATCATAGAAAAGCTTCGGCATGCACGTCTCCTCGTCTCGCTGGATCAGAATCTTGCCAATGCGCACCGAGCGGCAGCAATCCCGGAGGCCCTGCTCCATGGCCTCGCCAGCCCGCATAATCGACACACCACAGATCTTCCCTTGGAACATCACACCGGCATAGCTCCGTCCGACAGGCGTGTTTATCTCATGCGCAATGACTGGAAGGTGGTTCAAGCTCTCCTCCACCAGCAGGCGGATGATGCGGTTAGAGTAGAAGATGAAGTCAGCTCGGTCTGTGTTGACATCTCTGATTATCCTATAACGCCGGCACTGTCAGCATAGGAATGCAAGGGGGCGTGGGAAGGGTATGAACTTGCGTCAGCAGTGCAATCAACTGCGGCGTCTGGGCGAGGATATGGACATTTGGGAACGAGACGGCGGTGGAGACTGTGGCCTCCGGTTTACGGTTTTTGGATACGTAGTCTGGGCCTACGGCTTCTCTGTGAATGGCCTGCGTGGACTCCTTGTTGGATGCCATCATAGAATAGATATCGGTGCGGTAATTTGAGTGACTTGGGGTTTCTTCCTTATATTGGAAGTTGGAAACGTGATATGCGAGGTTGGATCGTAGTCACGTATACAGAGGCGGGGTCACTTCAGACGCAAATTAAGTGGTAGACGGATGGCCACTTTTTGCAAAACTGTTATCTTCAGGTCGCTGCGGGTGAGGAATGAAGGTTTATTTATATTGTATGTACAGTATGACGATTGCCCCGTCTGTCACGTTGGTTGATCGCTAGGGTTTGCTGATAGGCCCGCTCGCGTGAGATTCTAGCAAGTTTGATAGCTTCGAAAGTGAAGTTAATTTGATGGCCAGTATCCACATAAGTCCAGCATATTTTAGATAATCTATCCTGTGAATAGCACATCTCCCGGTTGATATTCCATATATTCTGCCCCTGACCTCAAAGTATCGAGCTGCGGGGTTCTTTGGAAGAAGCGTTATTTAGCCTTAAATATGTGGCACCCATTGTTTGCGACTTTAGCCGCATGCACGGACCACAGCGATTGTTGACCCCGTTGCGCGCTGCTGGGCCTTGTGGGGAAGGCTGAGCCAAAACTCAAGAAGCCGCCAAAGACATCCTCAAAGACACAGCACATCAAACGAACGTACATACGGGCCAACTTATCTGTGAGTCTGATGTGGGATTATCCAATTCTCACTATATCCTGGCCTTAACTTATACGGAACAGTGACAGCTTTCGACGCGACCGGACTCCCGATACATCGTTCGCCATCGCATAATAGAGGGCTATTCTCATAAAGCAACGTGCTCGTGCTCATTGAGATGTTATACTTATGCTGATACATCTTTTGTGCTGGCTTCAGTAACACATGCAGGCAAGATGGCAACTAACAACGACACCACCTCGCGGAAAAGGTCCTTTGCGACTTACGGCAAAGCGCGACGGCGGCCTGGACCTGACTACCTGGCGCCAGCCAAAGCGTTTAAAGACGACACCGGAGGCAACAGGAGTCGCCAGTACTCTGTTCCACGCAATACAGAGCCGACCGCAGAGACCTCTATCCAGGTTCAGCCCCCGCAAGCCAGACCTTCCCCAGTCACCGATGACCCCAACGTTTTCGACTTTCCGAGCGACAGCGATAATGGCACCTCATGCCCAGACAAGAGAAAACGCATTGCGAAACAACCCCTGGCATCCCCCAAGAGGATAAAAAAAGAGCACGTTGAGGTCAAGAAGGCGGCGACAGCAGATACGAGCAATGGCCGCGCTCCCCATACAACCCCGAAACGCAACATCTCATCCAAAGCCCGCGCTCCAAAGTCTAGCATTGTGCGCCACAGAGAGACGCGGCCCAGTGGAGAAGAAATATCAAATCCGACGAACTTGGCTTCATTATCACATGTTACCTCTGGTGCAAAGCACGGCTTACTGGGTCGAGCAAAGGCAAAACCCGATACCACCATCCGTGGCGAACCACCTTCCACGACTGCCCCCAAGAAAGATAAAGGCCAAGGAACACAGCGACATAATACATATTCCCCAACAAATGACCGATCCCAATCAATTACCTCACGTCGGAATTCTCCGGTGCCAAAATCGCCGACTAGGGGCTTCGATGCGCCGGGAACGACCACTCCCGTCCGTGACAATACGGACTCTGGCCTCGATTTCAGTGGGCGGTCAACGCCAACGGGACTCACTCCAAAAAGCGTGAAAATGTGGAATGGACTACTGGGGGATGATTTTGATGGCGTCTCCCGCCAGGCAACGAAGGACACCACCGTACAAGATAGAGGGGCGAATCGACGACTTCCAAGACGGCGATTGATAGACTCTTTCGCTGAAAAGAAGGCTTCCAAGTCCGTCCCTGCTGCCCAGCGGAGCGATATTGGCCTTAAAAGAGGGATTTCAGACGTCCCTCCCGATACCAACCTGACGACTGACACGGATAAGCCTGCTAGCGTAGCAGTTGGGCAACCAGCCATTGTTGCGCCACAAGCACCAGGCCCAAGAATTACGTATAGCAGCCAGCGGTCAATGCTGGCAGAGCATGATCTTCTTACCAGCATTGAGCCCAGCTCATCTCAATCCCAAGACGAGGCTGCAGAAACACCAAGGAGACGACGGGGAGCAATACCTACCTTGACGCGACTTCACAGTTTAGACGAGGATAACGAGGAAGACGATAAGCAACCCGGAGGCGGGATCCGAACGTTCCATGAGCTGAGACAGGCGGGTGCAAACAAACGGTTCGTGGACGAGGTTGAAGACCTCAGTGAGCGAATTGGCGTGCCAACGAAGCAGCCTTCAATGAGGCGATCCGGGTTGCTGGATCTTATCAGTAAGACGCATGATAAGGCTTTCCTGAAGAGTCTTATTTCTAACGGGATGGACCAACGGCTATTCCTTCGACTAGGCGATGAAACAGATATTATTTCTGGCTTCATAATCGCTTCGATCCTCGTTATCTTACTCAACTCCACGGCTTCGCCGATCGCAACTTCTCACCTGCTCAACAAGGGGTTCTCGGATTTTATCAGCCGTCTTTTAAAGGTTGATGATAATATTACCTCCCTATCACAGCAGCGAAAAACGAACATGTCCAAATTGTCACAGACGCTACTAGCACAGGAGCATAAACAACTTTTGGAGATGCAAATATGGGGGGATGTTCAACCGAAAAAGCTCTCTCCTCGCTTAGTTGCTCTTGCTTGCCTTTATTTTGTTGTCAAGCAGAATCGCGAGAGTGGTATAGCTGGAAGCATAGTTTCCGACGAAATTGCAGAAAGTCTGTTTTCGATCGTCAACCTTTACACCGAAGAAATTTCCTGGCAGCCAACGGGACCACTTCAGTTCGCTGATCTTCATCTTACAATCTCGATTTTGGAGCTTAGTTCTCTGGGTTTGTCAAGTCGCCCTGGAGATACACCGTGGGGAGGCCGTCATCTAGCTATCGTTCGTGAAATCACACATGTGGCTCTTCGGGCTGCGCCGAGCGAGCTTTCATCAACCAAAGCCTTGGTGTTGGGCCTCGCATTGAACATCACCAACAACAATTCCCTGGCCTCAGAAATATTTTCAACAGCAGGATTCATCCATGACGCGTTCAATGCGATTCTATCAGATTCCAAACTTTTGTTGAATATGGTACCCGGAGAGAAACAATCGACATCAGTGGATGGTCTTATCCTTACGATAGGTATCATGATTAATCTGGTCGAATGGAGCGATCGGGCAAACGAACCAACACGAGCGCTTGACAATGGAAGCTTGAGAGATGCTGTGCGGGTATTCGTGATAGGGCTGGAGAAGGCACCTGAGGTTTGTTATTATTTTCGCTCCCTTAACGACTTGTCATGCTAACATTTATACAGGTTGATTCCGTCGAGGAGGCTAACCTCAATGTAACGTTTGGTTACTTGGCTGTGCTTCTGGGGTATCTGGCCCTGACGAAAGATACTGCGCGGCAAATGCGACTTGATCTTCCTGGGCACAGTTTAAAACCTCTGATAGTGGCCGTCGATGAGTTCATTGATCACCACAGGCAGGTTGACACCCAGTCTGGGAATGGCGTAGAAGTTCAGAATTCCCAAAGCGGCCTAACAGAAAAGTTATCGCGGATGCTAGCAAGGCTGGGGACCATGGCAGAAGAATCACAATGATCTGAAGCCTATCGTCTCCTCAATATGATATATATACACTTCGACTCGGCACATATTTACTGTCTTTTTGGCCTCGGCGTAGATAAACTGGACAGGGGGGTTAATAGGCAGCTATGAAAGAGATACCCATATAGAATTCCGGCGACGAGCAGCATGTTAAATGAATTTCCTTGGCTGCTTTCCATGCTATATAATTGTGGTTTGTTCCATCGTTACTTTTTGAGAGTGTAAGTAGTATAAATAATATTATTGGCATTGGGTTGCATCTCGCCAGAAATATATGCAAATTAGCCATAATAGTAAGAACTTGCTGTTATGGGGCAAACTCTGTATTGCTATAATTATGATTGTGTTTTTGATGACAATAGAAGCTATTCAAACCTCGACGAAAAAACTAAGCTGTCGAGCAGCTGCTACGAAGTCCCTCAAGCTACACTACGTGCTCGAATGACCGGCCGACCTTCTTGATGTGATTATCGACTGGTAGCTCAAAATTTAACCGACTTGGAGGAAATATCACTTCTTCGATACATATTAGATAAGGATGAAAGAGGATTTGCGCCCCGGCTAGCTGATGTGGAAGATATGGCGAATTTGATTTTAGAATCTCAAGGAAGACAACGCGTTAGAAAGCTCTAGGCACATCGATTTGTACAACGACGTCTAGAGTTAAAGACGCGTTTTAATCGCGTTTACGACTTTCAAAGGGCCTTATTCGAAGATCCTGGGCTTATTGGAGGCAATCGAGAATGGGCTATAGCGATTGTTTGCATTAATAGCGAAGGTCTAGCCATCCCTCCGTTTTTGGTGGTTTGAGCTTATTGGAGGATGGTTCCGGCTAGTGGAAAATATGCGGGCGAAATATGGGATTTAGGATTGCGATTTCTATAACTTCGACGAAACCGGCTTGATGATGGGTGTTATTTGCCCTAGGATGGTTGTTACACGCGCTGATCGACGTGGCAGAGGCAAGGCAGTTCAGCTAGGCAATCGAGAATGGGCTATAGCGATTGTTTGCATTAATGGCGAAGGTCTAGCCATCCCTCCGTTCTTGGTGGTTTAAGGCTAGAATGGCTAACTTATAGCACTTCGATAAACACACTGCTGCTTAAGCAAAGGGTCCATATCGGATGCTAGTTCTCAATGGGCACGAGAGTTCCGAATCGGCGGCATTCCAGGAGTATTGCAAGGCCCACAACATATGATGACTCAGCGCGGGGTACGATATACGAAGCAGCTTGTCCGTTATTCACCTTGACGTAGAGGGTGGCTTAAAAAACGAGTCTTCAAAGTCGAATATATGTCCTGTGCCTTGATAGTATACTCAAAGCTCGATGATGAGATGAAGAAAGAGGTGGGGCTTAGTAGTGCCCATGTGATTTGCTCAGGCGCAGTTTGGGCTTTCAATACATTCAGGCAGCAAAGATGCGTCAAGTATGAACGAATTAATAATGCTTCGGTGTGTAAGTTTCCAGATCTTATAAAAAAGTTCCATGAACGATTCCAACGGTCGCAAAGTCGACGGTGAGTAGGACTGCTGCCAGTCTGAAGGGGTATCTCTTCTCGTAGTATCCTGATTAAGATACAGGATGAGCAGATTGACTTTGCGACGAACTGCATGATTCAGGCCCCAGTGCATTTAGGCCGCTGCGCGAACGCTTCAAGCCTGCAGCTTGATTTGTGTTTGACTGTCTGTCGCGTCACAGGTCGATGAAGCCATCGTGGAAGCCGTGTTCGAGTGGGATGTGAAGTAGATTGGATGGGTGATCCTTCCTGGCTAATTTTCTTCTGGGTGACTTGATGCTGAATTGAGCCAAATCAAATCCTCTAATCACCCTATACGCCTACTGCTAGCCGCGAAGCTTTCGAGCTTGAAAAGAGTGGAGAAAGTACCCCGGCAACACTATCCTCAAGGTCATAGGTTGTAATCAGAAGTGGTCATGGTCTTGGTGTCATTTGACAGCATTTTCTCCAGACAGCGATACAACGAATGTCAAGAACTACTCAGAGTCCACTTGTATTCTACACGAGATATCTTTGAGCTGGTGAACGCTAATGGTGAGGGGCTACCCGATTCCATTTAGCCCTCAACATCGGCAAACCACCTGTGCGCCAGTGCTTCACGAGCAGTAATCCTCTTAGCAGGATCAAAATTTGTCATTGCCCCAACTAGATCCATAAAGTCCTTATCGAAGCCCGGTTTCTCAACCTTCCAGAGGCGAAAAGGCTTGCGTCGGTTCTGCTCGTTGAATCCGCTGCGGACCACCGTGAAAATCTCGCACCACAGGCTCTCGGGGCCGAGGTAGCGCAACAGCGCATCGAATGTGTCAGGTTCAGCAAAGTAAGAAAGTTGACGCTCCAGAATGATAGAAAGAGGCTCCATCTCAGGCTCTTCTATCTCTTTGGCGGAGGGGGCAAAGATGACGGTCCGGGAGAGTACGTATATACACTAATAGGAAATATTAGTCTTATAACACTATATATACACTTGAGGGCGATGCGGAGGGAATGGCCGCAGCAAACTTACAACTATACCATAAGAAAACATGTCAGAGGGTGAATTCACGGGACCTTGGGCATGAGCCTCAGGGCTGCGCCAGAGCTGATTGCCAACCTGAGATCCCACGATGTCACTACCAGGAGGTACATACGCAGCATCTTCGAGATCAGCAAAGCTGAACACTCTTTACAACGATATTTTCATCACCGTTCGTATAGTTAACTAGAATATTGTTTGCTTTGACATCTATTCAGGGTCAGTGCTTTACTGTAAGCGGAATTATTCATGGTAGAGGACGTGCCCGCATGAACGATATTTTTGTCATGCAATGCTGCAAGACCACGAAGAGCATCCCGCAGGATCCGTTTCCTTGCAGCGAGTGGTATTTCCTTCTGGGCGAGGCTGAGCAAGTGGTCGGTGGCATAGTCGTATATGAGGATCGATTGCTCGGGGATACTGTCGCGCATGAGTCGGAGATAAGAGCTGCGCTCGTGCGCAATGAGATATCTCTGCATATCGCAGGCTGGCTCAAACATCGAGGGGGGGACCTCCTTGAAGACAAACTTGTGTCCGTCATCTCTGCTGTGTTTCAAAAACGAAATAAGCCTGCTGAATGAGTGGGGACAGGGAGATAATGGAAAGCTCAATCACGTACGAGGCAAGATAGACTTTCTCCGGTCTATTGTCTTTCTCTTGAAGCACGCAGTTAATGGTATACTGACGACCAGACTCGCTAGCCAGCCTTGAGCCTACAACTGGCTTATTTATCTTGTTTTGTGCAGGTGCAGGCATTGAATCGTGAGATTGCATCGTACTTTGCGACCGTACAGGTCCGGTTGAAAGGCAGGACACGATGACGTGAGGGAGCGGCCGAAACCTTGGAAGCTGGGTTGCTGGGCGACGTATTGCATTGAGAGTTATATGGCTTTTAAAGAGTAGTCATGAGGTCTGGAGGAAGAATTGGACGTTATTAGGTCTAACCCCAGGCATTACTACAGATGATGGGCAGGTTGTTGGTAAAACGATTTTCAAAAATATGCACATACATGTTATAGCGATCTCCTATTAGCCGATATTTCCTATATAGCGATAATTTTGAGGCCACGCTAGCTTTTTATATGTAATTTTTGACTCCTTTACAATACTACGATATCGTTCCGTAATATGTAATAAAATCGTTATATTTTGTATGTGTAAAATGGCTCGGCAGGGTATTACAATTGAGCAACGGCGTGCCTTACGCCTACGCAGAAAGCCTGTATACAGTGGTTTTAGGAGACGTACGGTCATAAAGTAAGCCAGTCTACTATTTCTGAGTCCTTTAGTGCCACTTTTGAGAGGCTAGATACTGAAGCCGGAGCTGTATTAATGTCTGCCCTTCGTATCCGTTCTGGCTTTTAGCCTGAGGTCCTTTGGCATTAGCAGCTTCGAGTTGAAGCAAATAGGGCGTTTACTATAGGTGAAATCCTTCGAGAAAAGGCTCGAGAAGTCTGGCATCAACTCCCTCATTATAGGGAGAAACCTGAGCTAGAATTTAGTACTCGGTGGAAATTTCAAGAAACGGCATGGTATTCAAGCACGATTTCAACATGGCGAAGTAGGGTCAATTCCTGATGTAGAGGAAGCGATGGAAGGGCTACGGCTTATTACAAAGTAATATGAAGAGAAGGATATATATAACATGGATGAAACTGGATTATTCTAGCGTATGAGACCCTCGAGAGGTCTCCTTTCTCAGAGTATTCTAGGCGTCAAGAAGATAAAGCACGAATAACAGTTATTTTATGTACGAACGTAACAGGAGGAGACCGAATTCAACCTTAGTTTATTAGAAAAGCTAAAAAGCCACGAGCTTTACAAGGAATCAATATTTTAGGAATAGGAGGCAGCGTATGGAAGCATAATCCGAAAGCTTAGAATATAACAATCGTTATGGTCGAATGGCTTCAAGCTTTATATCGCCATATAGGGGGACGACAGGTTCTTCTTATGATGGATAATTTCAGTGCTTACATTACAGGAATTGAATTACACCCTCCTCCTTCGAATATTCAAATTAAATGGCTTCCTCTAAATTCAACAAACCGTACGCAACCTTTAGATCAAGGGATTATTCAGAATTTCAAGGTCTATTACTAGCAGCAACAGCTTCTCATAATGCTCTCTTCTTTTAATAAACAAGAAGATCTATATTTAATTATCACACTTCGACATGCAATTTGATAGGCCCTTTAAGCTTGGAATACAGATATTACAAATCAAACGATATATAACTGTTTCCTTAAGTCAACCCTTATTTTGACTACCTAGCTGACTTCTATTCCACTATGTAAGAATATTGATATTTTATTCTAAGATGTTATATAGGCTAGCAAAATCCGTAACGCCATGTCACTAAAAAGCTTCTTAAACCCTAATGAAGAGGTAGAAGAAGAGGATACGACTACTTAAGAAAATATGATTCTATAAGAGGTAATCCAAGAGCATTTAGGCCTTCTGACCGAAGAAGAAGGAGAAGAGCCAGAACAGCCTTTGCTAACACTATAGGAAGCTCGCTTGGCTCTTCAAGTTCTTGTAGAATATACAGAAGGATTGAACAAGCTTGGAAAATCATATTCTAGGGCCTTAGAATGCCTTACTACTGATATTAAAGCCCTAGTATCATTGAGGCAGCAGAGTATCCTAGATAGTTGGTTTACATAGTCATTTAATATAAATCACGTGTTTCTAGTATGCTGATATTTCAATTATAACGATATTCAAGTGTTGTTAAAATTACATCGCTATAATGTCATACTGACATTCGTTGCACTCAGTTTGCTATCAAACTCAAGAGCAAACTTGGAAGCCTAGGAGCATGAACGATAGCTCTAAAAGCTCCTACGAACCTCTATGATTCATTACATGTCATCGCTCTTTAGTTACCCATAAGATTGGTTAAGTTATGACATAATTTGTCTATGACATAATTTGTCTATAGGGGTACTCTGACCTTGGACCTCCTTTTACTTCCTATAGGCTACGAACCTAAGAGATGGTTCTATGGGATTCTCTTACGTCGACTACAGTTACCAAGCCTGGTAATCATGGAAAGTCTTGGAAAATGAGAGAACTACACTCCTTTAGCATAAATAGGATTGCCCTTTCCTTAAGAAAGGGCAAGCAGACAATACAGTAAATGTAAGGACACAGGGAATACGGCTCTCCGTAGGTGCATATGGGAGTGCGAGTCGGAGGTGATGCTGTATTCTATCCTATAGGTCTACTACGAAGGATACAAAAAAGATGAAAGGGGAGCTTATAGCTTCCTACCCCTTATGTACCTAAATGGGGTCCGACTCGGCTAGGCCTTAGCGTACCGGTAGATCCACTCCCGTCTGCCGCCCGAATCGACCCCGACCCTAGAACATCTATGCTGCTATACTACTATGTCGCCTATTCCGCGTTGTCTTACGGGTCCGAGGGTACCCCGTGTAAGGAGGCATCCTTACATTACCCCCCCCCTTGAGAGAGTGCTTTGTCCTCAAAGCGCGTGGCTCCGTGTGCCGACCGAATGGTAGCCGAGTGTCGGTATGGTCTAGGTAGTCTTTGTTCGAAGATCGTGGTGCTGAATGCGTCCGTGGGATGGATCGCGGAGCGTGCTTTGTTCCTAATAAAAGCGGATTGTTGAGGTCCGAGTTGGCACCGTATAGTATCCAGTTGTGGTGTTGCGCGTCGCGAGTTTCTTAGTTACTGTGCGCGCGCTACTACTCCTCAGAAATTCATTGTTCTAAGCGGTTGTTATGGAGCAACCGATTCCACCCAGGATTCGAAGGCTTCTTTTTACAACAACACCGCCTACGAACCCTCCTCCCGAATCCAGTAAGTAGCCCCTCTTGTTCGTATACTGTATACTAATCTGATTGTTTCATAGGAAACAAAACAAACCAGACGACCGAGTAGGTGATGATTGCGCGCCGACGCGTAGGTGATAACTTCTGGGCTTGGGGCTGACGGTTTTGTAGGAAACCTTTTCGCGAAGATGCCCGTCCTGCTGCCCCCCGGGGCCCTCCCGGCTGCGTACCGCGTCCTCTGTATGAGATGCGTGCGCCGTATTGGGACACCCGACGATGCTCCCATGGAGCACGAGTGCGTTTGGAGCGAGAAAAGCTCCAAGTGCGCCTACTGCGTGAAGCAGAAGGCACCATGTGTGCCGGTGAGTTCTCGGGTGCTGTTCGGTCTGGTGGTTGGTTTCCTGTGCTGACTTTCTGGGGGATAGATTCTCTGGTTCCTCGAGGAGGAATATGCCGCCATCGTCGCCGCCGAAGCGGCCACCCCTCCCGTCCCGGCCACCACCCTCAAGACCTACAAGGAGGTCGCGCGCGTGGCCGACCTCTCCAGCGCCGCCATGCCGGCCCTGCGCTCCCCCTTTGAGGGGGCGCAGTACATTCAGGGGCTGGCCACCCTCGCTGCCATCAAGGTAAGTTTTCCCCTTTCTGTTGTTCTTGTTCTGGGTCTGACTCCTAGGTAGGACCTCGCCGCCGCGGTGGAGGGGTTGAAGGAGGATACGGGAAGCTCCTCGCGGGGCAGGCCCGCGCCGTCTCCTTGCTGGGGACGGTGGATAAAACCACCGACAAGGTGGGGAAGGAGGTGAGCTTCGTGGCGACTGCGGTCGCGAAGGTGGAGAAGGCGGTGGGGAAGTTGGCCGGGGCTGTTGCGGTGGCTCCCCGCAATGGCGGGAAGAGGAAGAGGGGGGAGGAGGAGGAGGGGAATGGGGAGAACCCGATTGGGTGAACGGGCCCTGTGCCGGAGGGAACTCGGGCGTGGTCTTTCGCGTGGGGTCACTTCGACCCTTCGTCTCTCATGGTGGTAGCCGCTTGTTGCGACGCCGGTGAGACGTTTGGGAAGGGTGGCTTCCGCAAGGGCTACGGCTCTGAGGGTGCCCTGGCTTAGAGGGTGTTTAGTTTAGTGTCGTAGGTAGCAACGACGCTGTTTTCCTCTGCTTTGCCGTGCCTCTCGTGATCGTAGCTTGGTTTGCCTGTCTCCCATTCCGTGATCCAGCCGGGTAGGTCCTGCGGTGGTCCTGGCAGGTTTGGGTACTCCGCGTGGAACTCCCGGATTTTGTAGGGGGAGTTCTTAAAGTTTGAGGCGGGGTACCATTCCGGGTCCGGATCGTATCCGACCCAGGATACCTGGTATTGAAGTTGTTTTCGCCGGATCCTTACGGCGAGGATCTTTTCGACCTCCCACTCCTCTAGGCCGTCTACGACTTCGCTGCTTGGCTCAGGCGCTGCTTGACCGGGCAGCGGGTTATTCGGAGCCTTGATGAGTACGTCTGGAGAGAAGACATCGTGTATTTGGGAACCCTTCGGTAGGTCTAGTCGGAAGGCGTGTCCGATTTGTTCCAGTACCGTATAGGGTCCGACCCATTGTTGCCCCAGCTTACGGCTAGGGCGGTGATTTTTCAGATTCTTGGTCGATAGGTAAACCTTGTCTCCTACGTCCCAGTCAATGGCTCGTCGGCGTCGATTCGCGTATTTAGACATATCCTCTTGTGCTTTGGCCATGTTCTCCTTTGCGTAAATCCATGCGGAGTGCATGCGGTTTGCTACTGCTTTGGCTTCCTTCTGGTTCATGACTTCCCTAGGGGTCGTGGCTTTCGGGGTTTCCCAGTCCCAACTGGTGCGCGGATCAGTTCCGTACTTGAGTCGGTAGGGGGTCATTCCGATCGAGGCATGGGGAAGGGTCATTTGCACCCGATCCATGATGGGAATGAGCTCGCTCCAGTTATCCTGGTAATGTGATACGAAGGGCCTCAGTCTCTGATCGATATACCGATTCATGATTTCCGTCTGCCCGTCGGTCTGCTTGTGATAGGCTGTCGACAGCTTGATCTTGACGCCGATGATCCGGCAGAACTCGTGCCAGAAGGATGACACGAATTGGGGTCCGCGGTCACTGACGATCGATACCGGGGTGTGCCCGAATCGATATATCCATTCGATGAACAGCTGCGCCATTTGTCGTG